TAACATTTATTGTAGAGAACGAAGCAAAAATCAAAACTGAGTACAAATTCACAGATCAGAACATCAACATGAACATATAATCTCTGTGTGTGTGTGTCTTCACACACAGGAGTGGCATTTTGCCATCAGGTCGGAGTGTGCCTTGCAAACGTAGGCATCACATTTGAAACAAGTAAGACTTGGTTTTCTTCTTCACTGTCCCCACCATGGTGAGCTTTCTTTTCAGCAGCTCCTGACCAAGCCCATATGATGTGAAAAAGTTATCACATGTGATATTATGCCCCTTGAGTCCGGCTGTCATGTCCAACACAATACGCATGCCCTAATTTTTTTCTGGTTTTCCAGTAACAGGTTTTCCCGTGTAAACCTGCATATTCCAGGCATAGCTGCTCCTGGCATCACATGCTGCCCAGATCTTGATCCCATACTTGCCTGGTTTGCTTGGGATGTATTGTTTGAATGGACAGCGACCTCTGAAAGGCACCAGGCGCTCGTCCACTGTCACTTCAGGGCCTGGGTTGTACATCAGTGTTAGACGCTCCACCCACCTGTCCCAAACGTTCCTGATGGCAGCCAGTTTGTCATCTCGCCAGCGGAAAGGTCTTGTGGTTCTGTCATCAAATCTGATAACACGTGATATAACATGGAACTGTTGGAGGGACATAGGACAGGTTGACCGGAATATAGGCCTCCCTGACTCTGCATCCCACAGACATTTTGTCGCTTCATTGTTGGACCGGTGAACTCCTGCTAAAATCAACAGACCCATGTAGGCTTTGAGGTCTATCTGATCCAATAATTTCCATGTGCCTGCAAACACACGCCTCCCCTCCAGGTTTGTCATCTCCAGTATTATTTCCACAATGGACTCTGATAAGAAGAGTTGGAAGCTGGACTTGATGTCATCCGCATGAGATGTCGCATACCTTGTTGGCCCTGGCGTCATCCTAACAATATTTTCCACTCTTGCTCTGCCTCCTCTGTCCTGGGTGGATGAATACCAGAGCAAGTTGCCATCCTTGGACTGGAATGTAGCCTCAGGTGTGTCTTCCCCAGTGGCCTCTTCCTCAGGTGCCTCTTCCCCACGTGTGTCTTCCTCAGGGGCCTCTTCCTCACCATCTGTTGACTTGTCATTTTCATTATAGTCCGGATCAAAATCAGGATTGTCTTCTATTTCTGAGACATCCTCCTCTATTTCTTGTTCGATTTGAATCCCCTCTTCATCGGTTTAAAAAAAAAGATCAAGAGCCTCTCTGGCAGAAAACCGGCGCCTCGTCATTGTGCTCGGAGTCAAATGAGAGCAATGCACAAATAAAGCTATATATAGGGGGTCAGTGAGAAGATATCTTTCTATTATGATACATTTTGTATCGAAAGGTGTGGTTCACGTGGGGGGACTGAACACCTGTTCAGTCCGAAAGGGGTTCACGTGGAGGGAGAGGCACATACGGGCGGGAAAGAGATGAGGAGAGGAGACACCTGTTCAGTCTGAAAGGGGTTCCCGTGGTGTGTGTGTGTGCGTGTGCGCGTGTGTGTTGAAAACTATGGTGAATGAAAGGATCTAGAGTCACCCATTCATTTCCTATGGCGGTCATTTTTGACCGGGAACACCACAGGTGTTACAAAGTTGATTTACCCACTCAAAATTCAACGAAAGTAGTGATCATCAATTGTACATGTTCAAATGCCTAGTGTGGAGGATATCATAAGGCCTTGAAAGAATAAAATATAAAACAAAAAATGTATGTTGAAAGTAAGAAATCTGTCAGATTTGACCCGAACACGACAGAAAGGTTAAACAATTTTACTTTAGTTTATAAAGAATAGTAATTGGGTGACCCCACACTCTGCTGAAGTGTGGGATCTACTTCATCTGCACTCCTAATACATTTCCAGATTAGTTTTTTTTTTACAAACCCAGTGAGAAATGTCAAACCAAAAAAGGTTTTTAGCTGCTAGACTGTCACTGGGTTCCATGCATTTTCTCTGCTGAATGGGAGACGCTGTGTGTGTGCACTGAAATATTGTGCTGCATACAGCTTTGTTTGACAACAAGATTCAGGATCCAGCAGTTCATCAGTTATGAAGAGCTGCAGAAGTCAGCTGCTGATCCAAGCTCTGCTGCAGCATTTTGGGGTCCTGGGGTCAACAATCTACGACACAAAGGAAAATATAAAATCACCATACATTTTCACATTATAACAAGTGTTTTGGCTTCAGCAGCTATGACATTGAGATAAAAAAAACTTCAATATTCGCTAAAAACGTTACTTTGTTTTTTTTTACTATAGTATAAGCCAGTGATTGCTATAGTCACTCCCTCCAGAATCTCTCAATGTTTGAACGCAAAACCACGCAGACTCTGGGATCAGAGCAACAGAGTCCGTCTCTCTCTGCCTGTTCCAAAGCAGCAGCGGGCGCGCTCCTGACGCACCCTCCACAGTGAGACGCACCACAGCAGAATGCACAACATGGTGCGGTAAATCTAACACTGCTCATCATGGGACCTGCTCACCGGTCTGCCATGGATCACCTCCCCCTGTCCCTTCTATAAACCACACGGTAACATCATCCATAGCTCCCTGGCAGCTAATGCTGCATGTCAGACTCACACGCCTCCAAACTCAACAGGGAAACTTTAGGAAAAATGTCCCACGTAATCAAGCATTTTACCCCGCAATAATCATTCATCAATCAACAATTGCGCGCCAATCCTGGAGGGGCTGATAGTACATTAGACAAAGGGGAGAAATAAACTCGTAAATGCAACATGTTGAAGTGAAAAGCAACTCACCAGATGACGACGGGGGGAGGAGCCGCTGCCGCTGCTGCTGGACGAGGAGGGAGGGAGAAGGCTCCGAGGATCCTGGAGTCTCTGAGGTTAACTAAAACCTGAAGAACTAGCATCGTGGCATCTAGCTGCTTCATATTTATCCGTTTGATGACTGAACAGGCTCTCAAACAGCGTTAGCTGCGTGAGCCTTTCAGATCCGCGGTCCTCTGTGTAAGCATGGCTGCTCCTCTGGTTGTTTGCTGCTCACAGCACCACATGCCCCCTTCTCACTCCCTGAATCTGGCCACAGAAGAAGATGGTCCTTTATTCGTCCCACAATGGGGAAATTTCAGTTTGATGCATACACATATAGTACATACATATATACACATACACATCAAGGCATGCAGCGAACATCATATCCGCGCTCCTTATAGGCTAAGTGGGTTAAGTGTCTTGCCCAAGGACACTACAACAGCAGGCATCAGTGGGAGTCGGTGGAGAAGGTCCCGTGGTGGGCTCGAACCCACGACCTTTGGGCCCAAAGGCCAATGCTCTACCAACTGAGCTACTGTCATCTGTCACCTCTGCACCCTACAGGATCGGTTCCAAAGTGTTTACAGGTCTGAAATGTTGACACAGGATGCACAAGAGCCTTGACAAGCCATAGAAAGAAAAAAACGAAAAAAAAGCGATTGACGTCTATAGACGTCAATGGCAGTGAACTTTCGGCGGTGAATGAGTTAATAAAGTGAACATGTGCAAATCATCCAAGTTCTTAATTTTACAAAAATATTAAAAACAGACCTGTCGGCGTATTAGCCCTCACCACAACGATATCAGCAGCTTCCAGGCCTCCCCCCTCCCCTTCAGTCTAAATCAGAGATGTCAAACTAGTCCTCAAAGGGTCGGTGAGGCTGCAGGTTTTCATTTTGACAAGACTATTCATTTCCTTAAATTAACACAGACTAAACCCAAAGACAGGCACCAGATTAACTTCTCTGGTCAAAAAAAATCCTTCAGTAGATTATTTCTGAGGCCAAAATGTTTATTTAACTGGAGATAAGTATATTTTACTATAACTCCCTATTTACACCAAGACATGTGTCACTGTCCACATCTTCATCCAGATATTTTACCCTTCAACGACACAGTTTAAGTGTGAAATAAGTCCATTCACGAAGCATACGAGTTGTTTAATAATGCGACAGGTTGCTGGTTCTGTGGAGGTCCTTGGAGAAGAGGAAGGAGCCACACGCTGGGACTGGTTGTGGAGGATCTTTATTCTGCCACAAATCAAAGCCAGTAGTTATGAAAGAGCTTGCATTTGTACTCACCGACACAGACAGTGAGAAGTGATGGCGGGTGACTGTGCGCGCCAAGACCGTTGCCGAGTAGATGTTAGCGTAATGTGAGGTGGACGGGTTTGGGAGAGAGGGTTAGCGCTCATTCATTCACTTTACAAACCAGGGTAATGCACACGCTTCTGCTCAATAGATCACATTTATTATCTTTGAACTGATTAATCAAAAGGAGTGAGGGCAAGGCCACTCGAATCTTTGTCTTTTAGAAAACAACGGAGGAAAAGGGGAAACAAAAGAGCAGCCCGTAGCCTTGGATTGGCTTGTCCTAAAAGGGAAAGACATGGAAAGAGTCCAATTGGGTTTTTTTTTAGACAGTAAAATTATCAACTTAACATTGCATGAGCCACCAGAGACGAGCTTTCAGAGCATCCGCAACAACACGAGTGCTCTCAGAACCAGAAAAACACAACGTCCCGTGAAGAGTGTCCGCCGGTGCGCTCCACGCCAACTCAAAAAGTGCTCACTCTTCACGCTTGGAAACCCTCGGAGGCCAAACACGACACGGTTACGAGGCCAGTGTGCGGTTTGGGGACTGGCTCTGGGGCCGTTAAAACACAAAACCATCCTTTCATTGTCAAAAAGGAAAAGCAGCATACGAGGGAGAAAGCAGATGTAGTGGAATGGGGCGGGACGAAATCAAAATAAAAAAAAAGAAAGTTCACCTAAGGGCGCTATGCTTAGTTGTAGTCCTATGAATATTTGTTTCCTTTTTACTACAAGTTCCAAGTAAGTCTTTAAGTCAAAAGAAATCAAGAGAGTCTTCATTTAGTTTGCTGTCCGTGTTAGTTCATCACCCCTAGTACGATTTTAGAGCTGAGCAGAGGAAGGTGTTCCGCGTTCGGCCTCTCCAGTCTCTACAGCAGTTACTTGACTCGTCCCTGGCGCTCCTGAAACACAAGGAAGCCAGACATGAACGCACAGGTACGGCAGGTTTATTTATATGGCAGAGTTCACAGACTAGACATCACACAAGGCATCATCTCACTACGTCAAAAAGACTGAAGACGTGATCCTTCTGTTGTACAATAAGTCACTTTAAAGACCCGCACTGCTAGAGCCACTTTTATTTTCTATTGTACATAATATCTCGCAGAAGAGAGGCCATTTTTAACCCACGTACTGTATTTTTTTTTACCAGATTGATTCTAATCATTCCTCCATAGTAAGTTCAAAAGTTTATATCATCAGAACTGTTTTTAATTTGATCATCAGAAAAAGCCCGTCTCACATTTTCAGGAATTCCCATGTGGTAGTCCTGACTCTGGGGACCAGCAGGAGGCCAGTCCCTGTGTTCCTCGGAGTTGGTTCTTATGGCACTAACTTGGCACACACTTATGGCAGTGCTATCCACTCGGCACGGTGGCTGAGTGGATAGCACTCTCGCCTCTCAGCAAGAAGGTCCTGGGTTCGAATCCCGGTCGGACCAGGGCCTTTCTGAGTGGAGTTTGCATGTTCTCCCCGTGTCTGCGTAGGTTTCCTCCGGGTACTCCGGTTTCCCCTACCACTAAAAACATGTCCAATAGTTCTGGCATGCGCCTCCTGTACTGGCGACCCTGCTCCCATCTCTGTGTGGAGTGAGAGACAAATGCCCAAAAAATAAACAATTGTAAACCGCTTTGAGACTCAGATCTGCAGTGAAAAGGCGGTATATAAATAAAAACTTACTTACTTACTAACTTGTCAGATGTATAGATTTGTTTACAAGTCTGTCCATGTCCTCACATCAGAGCTACTTTAAAGTCTGAGCCACAGGAGCCAAAGCAGAGACCCGAGACCAGGACTAAAGTGATGGTACTTCCTAGTTCTCGTCAGGACTCCAGCTGCGACGTTTTGAATATATAATTTAAAAAACGAAAAGGTTTTTAATAGACATTCCCAACTGAGCAATCGGGAGAGAAATGTCTTTGCCGGGGAGGTGACAAGGAGCTGATGGTCATAGACAGAGGGACAATACTCAGAGCAAACGGAAGAACCTTCAGAAGGACAATCGTCAGGGCAGAAGGAAGTCTCTCCAGCAGCGGTTTGAAGGGAACACCATCCCGACCGTGAAGCTTGAAGGTGTGACTAAACTCATTGCTAATACTTGACGTCCATCTGTCTCCATTCTTACATGTGCGTGTATGTTTTTTATGCTGTTCTTTTATTTTCATCTTTCGTGGTTGTGAAGCACTTTCGGCAGCTGGTGTTGTAAAAAGCCTTTATTCATGGCTACAGTCCCAGAGTTCTATGCACTGCTTTTGTTATTGCTTCTTACAGAGATTGTATTATACGATCCAAATACTGTCTTTGAGGAGATTGGATCATTTTAAACTTTTTCCTTCATCCAATCCCTTTTCAATCCAAATCAGGAGACATTTAAAGCAGTCAAATATGAAAATCATCAGTTAACAATGACATTAATGCGATGTTAAAGTACTCTCTGAACTCCAGACTCTGACGTGGATTTAGAAAGGCTAGCATGTTTGTGCGCTAGCTGCTAACGGAGCACGTACCTGGATCCTGTAATGACTCCGGCTGCTGGGGTTGCTGGGATATGGCTCGCTGCCCGGGACGTCCACCTGTCACATACAAGAGCAGTCAGCAGGAGGGAAGTCAGAGAGAGACACGGCTACTCTGCATCTCACACCAGACACAGACACACACACAGACACAGACACAGAGACACACACACACACACACACACACAGACACAGAGACACACACACACACACACACACGAGAGGACACACGACACCAGGAAAACCGTGTGTGAGGCGTCCGTCTCAGTTACTGCTTTTAAATTGTGGTCAATTTAGTTTTACTTAACCAAGGTCTGTTCTGAACATGAAGGTTGGATATTATTTTTTAAAACAAAATTAGTTGTGGGTTTGAATTGAAAGCGAACTGGAGACTACTGCGTCTGATTTAGAGATATTTCTAAATTGAATCATTACTTTTTTGAGCAATACCTTTAGCTTTAGAGTAATCCATTTCCAGAGAGAATCAGCCGTAGTACAGGGGGAAATCTGCAGATGGCGCTATTGGTCAGGACCAGAGCTGAACATGTTTTTAATGGTGTGTCTTGCCACACAGATGTGAACTGGAGCCCCGCCCCCATCATGCAGACAGTGAATGGTTTTTTAAGTGCCATTCAAGTGCTGACGACAGAGGCTTAATCATACAATAAAATATGTGGGTTTGTCATTTTAGACTCAAAAGGTCAATTGTCTTTGGGTAAAAAGGAATCAATATAACAAAGAAAAGTTGCACATTTCAGTAAAACGTATAACATTACACCAGGTTTTAAAACAGGCAATAAATTAAGCAAAAGCTAAAAATAATGCAATTGACTGATCAAGAGAATCTGAGTCTGGATCAATCCCGCTCAGATTTCACATTTGTTGTTAACACGAGGATTCTAGCCCTCGCACTTTTCAGTCTTTTATCCATGAGTTTAAACCCAAACTCTGGGCCATCGGACACAATCAAAAACTAAGCAGGACATATATAAAAAGTCAATGAGTGGATTCTAGTTGAGTCTTTTCCATCACAGATCAATGCGGCTGCGCGTCACTTATAAAAAAGTCAATTAGAATTCAAGAGCGCCTAGATAAAAATGGTTAAAACACTAAAATAAAAGTATTTTTTCTTTTGTGACTCTTACAAATATAGTGTCACAAAAGAATCGGTATCAGCTGATCAGAACTGAGACCCTTCAGTAATACGAATTATCTAAAATCTTGATGGGACTTTGAGATGCAGCATTTTGAAGCAGTTTTTGTTCCCTTAACTCATTGAATGCCAGCCTATTTCAGAACAGGTACTCCCACAGTGCCAGCCATTTCTGATGATTTTTACTGATTTTTCAAGACCCACAGAATATTGTGTACTATGACTATCTGAAATCCGATTCTAAAAGAATGGACTGTGTACTTTCCTCAGCAAAAAGAATTTTGTTTATAGCTTTTTTCGTTCCCCTGTAATCCTCCGTCGAGTAGAGGGAAGTTTTACTGAAATCACCAGAAATCACCAGAAAGTTGAGAAAAAAGAGGCACAACATTTGCACCTACATGTTTTCAAACCATTCAGAGAGCAATGCTGCCACCTGCTGGCTCGATAAAATATGGTCTCAAGTCATCCCCATACATATTAGATACAATAGATAGACATCTGGGAACGTGAAAATAGCGAAAAAGGCAATTGACGGATTAATGCGTCAATGGCACACGACGTTACTATTTGCTTTGACGTATTTGTGCGTCAATGGGACACAATGAGTTAAAGAGTAAATATGACGGTCCTCTCTCCTCAGCACCGGCCACAGTCAGACCTTCGTGGAGTGTATGGTCCTGGATGAGAACATGGTCCGAGAAACTAACCTTGCCTGCAAGCTGAATTCTCGCGGTATTTGTGAGTTCACAAACACTCGAGAATACATCTTGTACCGCTCCCGCTTACACTTTGAGTCGAACCACTGGGTGTGCGAGCCAATCACGCGCCAGTCTGGGGGTTTAGGGCGGGATATCCGGGTTTGACGAAAGCAAGAAGTGCCGGGCCGAAGCAAAACAAACATGGCTACGCAGGAGGACGGACGCGTAGCTGAGGCTATCAAGTCAGTTTTAGCAGAATCTCTGATTTCTTTTTTGAAAGATGAACAGCGAGAGGCGCTTTGTGCATTTCTGGACGGCAAAGATGTTACCGGGATTGGTTTAAGTCAAACCTTGGTAGGCGGGCACACAGCGTCACTTCGCCCAATCAGCTTGAAGTATTCTGCTGCTTATCCCTCCTTTCCCCGAAAGGACTCTCCTGCAGAAGTCCCAGATTGATATCGCGGAGAACGCGTTAGAGTTCTACACAATCATCAATCTGGCTCTTGCCAGGTTACCGAGAAACAGCACCTCTGCTCACGCCACTTGACCACAGAACACAAAATTAAAGTTTTGAATATGTGAGTCGTGAAGACAGCGGTGGACGTTTGGCTCCTGCTCAGAGATCTCAGAGAGGTCCGAGTCTCACATCCACTTGCAGCGTGTGGCTCCGTCTCAGCTCAAACCTCACAGTTTCCCCTCTCTCCAAGATGCACCGCAAAAACACTGCTGTACAAGCGACGATCCGTTAATATTTACAGTCTGTCTGAGATCAACCAGTAGATAGTGGTCAATTTATTAAGCTCTAAACCTGGCCCAGTACTGAGGAGTAAATGCTAAACTTCAGATCAGTGATTAAAATTTAAAAAAATGAGCGTATCTTTTTCACTCTAACTGAACTTTGATGATTTTCCCAAACCTGACCAGCCCTGGGTCATTTAGACCATTTTAGACTCAAAATGTAGGGTATTTTTCTTCTTTTAACCAGTGGGGGCGGTAACATTTACGGTCAAAGCATTTACCCCAAGGGTTTGAGAAATATTTGGGCCTTGGCTTTTTACACCAGCCGAGGTTTACTGTTACACGTGTGTTTGAGACTTTGAGCCGCTGATGTTGTAAATGTGATATACAAATAAAGCTGACGGACATAACAGGAAGTGATGTTTGCAATACTGGCTTGGACAGTTGTGCGATGAACCAACACTAGTCAAGATCTGGGAACAATCTTAAAGTGATAGTATGTAACTAAATGAATTACAAATGTAAAGAAATGTGTTAAATTTAATATTACAGGTAAGTCCCGCCCTCCCTTCTCAGCTATAGCTCAGAATCCACGATGCCGTCAACGTTAGCCAATCGAGTCATGCCAAGGGCTGTTAATCATCGGCCTCATGCCCAGTTTGTTTTCGCGGAGCCTCAGAATCAAGCCTCTATTAGGCTCTGGAACTACATTAAAACTGAACAAAGAATTCTGAACATCTGGGCTGAGTTACCCATTTATATACTGAACCTATATCCATCATCATTTATATACTGAACCTATATCCATCATCATTTATATACTGAACCTATATCCATCATCATTTATATACTGAACCTATATCCATCATTTATATACTGAACCTATATCCATAATCATTTATATACTGAACCTATATCCATAATCATTTATATACTGAACCTATATCCATAATCATTTATATACTGAACCTATATCCATAATCATTTATATACTGAACCTATATCCATAATCATTTATATACTGAACCTATATCCATAATCATTTATATACTGAACCTATATCCATAATCATTTATATACTGAACCTATATCCATAATCATTTATATACTGAACCTATATCCATAATCATTTATATACTGAACCTATATCCATAATCATTTATATACTGAACCTATATCCATAATCATTTATATACTGAACCTATATCCATAATCATTTATATACTGAACCTATATCCATAATCATTTATATACTGAACCTATATCCATAATCAGATCCTCTGCAGATGTGTTCTATAATGTTCAATTCATGATAATAGCTTCTTCCGGGTTTACAGCGATCGCTTTTTTTGTGTCATGAAAACGTTAACAAATAATTCTGAAAACCTCTGTGCATGTGTATTAATAATGTATGTGTTCTCTGATTAACATTTAAACGTGTTACGGAAACGTAGGTGTAGACCAATCAGAAAGAAAGTGAGGGAGCTTTGGTGGTTTTTTTCAAATCAAGTACCTCTCTTTCTGACAAACGGCAGACTATCACTTTAAAGCAGCCTGTGCGTGATAAAGCACTATACACAATGTGGAAGCTGAAGCTTTTAAATCCGTAAGTGCAGTTTACAAACACGCAAGATGTGACAAAGCAGTCATTACAAAACAAGTGACAAAACTTTTCCATAGTTATGTCCTTTTTCTGCATCCGATAAAAATGCCATCCGTGATCGAAGGAATTATCACTATAATTCATTTTAAAATTCAGCTAAAATCTAGAACAGTCTTCCTGCAAACTAACTGAAGGATTGTTTTGTAACTTTTTTTAATGGACTGTAATTATTCATGATTTTAATGTTTTTCTTGTTTTGTTCAGCACTTGTCTGAACTGTGCTATCCAAATAAACCTAGCTTTAAATGTATGAATCGAAAGTTGTGTGTGATTGACATCGAGGTGATAGTCAGAGGGATAAGACTCATACAGGTCTCCATAAGTCTCATACAGAAACATGTCCACGTTTAAGACCAAACATCTGTCATTTTAAAAAGCTTTTACAGAATAAATGCAGATAGAAGGAACCCCACAGAATGAAAGAAGTAATTTTGTCTATGGTAATTCAGATGCAGTGTCAGCACGACTTAAGCCTGGTTCACACGGCAGGATATTTAGGCCGATTTACCCCTTACGACAATCTTAAGAAACGCTCCGATTTCCGTAACAAAATCTTAGATTATCCTGCCGTGTGTGGTGTGTTAAGACTGCACTCGTCGCTCGGAAGGACATCGGGACTGCTCCCGATCTCAAATCGGGGATATCCAACATGTTGGATTGTTTTGGCCCGATTTCTTGTCGTGTGTGGTGTCCTCAGAGGACAAGCGAGCGCGTTGCCATGACTACGGCGTGTAGCCAATAAGAAGACGAGGTGACAAGCCGGTGAGGAAACACCGGAAAAAAACCAAAACACAGCAGCATGGCTTTGACCATTGCCTTTTCTTTGGATTACGTGTCTTCTCTGTTAACAACAAACTGCACACTATCGCCACTGCATCCTCTTCGTCCGCCATGACTGTTTACTCTGAAGTCACGCTCGATCTCGAGAGATTTTGTGAGATTTCCGTCTGACCTGGGAATGCTCGGGGGGGCGTGTCGGTTCGTGTGTGATGTTTGTGGCTTGCGTGATCTTGCCGTGTGGCTACGCACCACACACTGCACAACCAAAGTGGTTAGACGCAGGATTTTTAATCTCCCCGTGTGGGGTCTAACACGGAGAAAAATCGGCCGACAATTTTAAAATCGTCTCGTGTGAACCAGGCTTTAGACGTACTCTGTGGGACCATAAGGATAACAGAATAAGGAACAGTTGAACTTAGGAAGTTGATCAAGATATTACACACACTTTCTCCAAAACTAAATACAGTGTGAAGTTCCCCGTCTTGTATTCAACAGTTACCTTTTTGACACACTCCTCCTCCTCCTGGCGTTTCTCGTAGTGGGAGAAGTCGTCGAAGATGGACGTGGTGTGTTTGTAGGCAGCGATGATCTTGAGCACCTGCCGGGCCTTGTCCAGAGGCACCTCCTGCGTGTCCCGGGAGTTTGTCACTGGTTTGTTCTCATTGTTCTCCAGCCGGATGTGCCTGAGCTGACTGTTGGGAACGTCCTTGACAAAGATCCAGCGCACATCGAAGCGCCCCTTCCACTTGTCCTGGGACCACACGCCTGCAGACGTGTTGTAGTCCACAGGAGAGCGCATCTCCGCCACGCCACAGAAGTGCCCACTGCCATTGACGCTGAAAAGCAGGTAGAGCGGGCCCTTGGCCCCCAGGGAGCGGTAGGCCGAGTCCAGGCGCTTGTTGCCGTGCTCCGTGCTGCACCAGATGTTGTACTTGATGGAGCGGTGGATGTCGTCCTCAGAGTAGCTCTTAATGATGAACACTCGGCCCTGTTTGGGGTTCCAATCAAAGTCCTTGGGGTTGTAGTTGTTGACCATACGCAGCTTCTCCAGGACAGGGTGAGGTTCCGAGGGCACTCCTGGGACCACCGGAACCCCGGCAGAGGGGGGAGACTGGCCTGGCCCGCCCACACCACCATCCCCAAAGCCATTGGTGCGGCTGCGAGGGGGCACCCAACGGCTGGCCTGAGGAGGTGGGGGCTGCTGACTGGGGATGGGAGGGCCCTGGGACAGAGGAACCAGAGGAGCAGTCTGCAGGCCCATCTGGGACACAGGGGACATCAGCTGCCCGTTACTCAGAGGCAGTTGGGGCACCCCTGTGGCAGAGACCGCGGGCTGGGGGGAGGCCTGCTGAGGGGGCTGGCCGTTAGTGGGGACAGGAGGCACCTGCTGGGGCGTGCTGGCCTTGGGCACAGGGCCCTTGTTGTCCCACGTGCCGATGTCCATGTTGTGTTTGATGGGTGGAGGCGGCAGGTTGGCTCCAGCCATGCCTCCCTTACTTTTCAGCTTGGGCTGAGGCTTGGCTGGCTTGCTGGCAATGTCTGCCCAAGAGGCAGGCTTGGCAGGAGCAATAGACACTGGGGGCATGCTGGGGGGGCCCACAGAGGACACAGGTCCCAAGGGGCCCCCACCAGGTAAAGCAGAGCCCACCACTTTAGGAGCAATGTCCACGCTTCCCCCTGGAGCAGTGCTGTTGATCTTGAGTCCAGCCATGCTCTGGTCCAGGCTGTTCATGCTGTTCATTCCTGGAGCCTTGTTCAGGGGCTCGTTGGAAGGAGCAAACGGGGATTGTCCGTCCATCATAGCACCTCCTAAGGAGCTCGGGGCGTAGGCATAGTTGCTGCTGTAAGCAGAACTTTGGGGGGTTCCAGACTGTCCCTGAGAGCTGCTGCTGCCCCATGCAGAAAAGTCGATCCCGCTGGGGAAGAAGTTGAAGCCATGCTGTCCCAGGAAAGGGTTGCTCCCCAGGGGCCCCGGCTGACCAAACATGCCGTCTGGGAGGTAGTGGGGCTCCCCATTGCTCAGCTGTCCATAAGAGGCCAGGTAAGGCATGGGAGGGTCTCCGCCCGTGGACCATGCTGCTTCGTTCAGGGAGTAGGAGAATCCTATGGAGGGGCTGTAGTAGCTGGGCATGTACGAGTCTGACATGGCCGTATAGGCATTGCTCTGTGGGAAACAAACAACAGTCAAACAGCAGCAACTACTTTCACATAAACAGTGTTTCAGTCCAGTCTGGATAACCGCACTGAAGAAGAAAACATAGTGGCATGACTCCTGGTGTATGTTGTGTGAAAAGGAAAAAGCAGTTCTTTAAAAATCACTTCTAGTGTCGGGGTGGGCGATATGGGAAAAAAATAATTTCCAACTCCTGATAACAATATTGTCACAATATCTTTAAAATCAATCATTTTTACACAAAATGATCTGCAATGTTTAGCTTGCCAGGGCATCTATAGAGACAGTGTCGATCAAAAGAGCAGCTTTTTATTTGTAAAGTGCTTCACACATCTTTGAAACATGCACAAACATATACTAACATTAAAATCAAATTCAAGTAACACGGGAAGAACAAGTCTTCAAATTTACTTTTGTGATATCATCTACGATATATATCGCCCACTCCTATTCCAAGTGTTGTTGAGAGCGCGGCAGAAACAAGTGAAACGGCGCAGAACATGTGCAGTTAACGGTGATACACGTTTTTCCAAAAAAAGTTTGGAAACTGCAACTGGTCCACTTTACACATGTTCAATAAATAAAGCAGTGGCTTTTAAAGCTCAGGTACCTAACCTTCTCTTCACGTTTTTGTCCCAACGTAAACTGAACAAATGTTATTGTCTTATTATCTTTTGCATACTTTCAAGAACGCGCTCTTATTAATGATGCAATGATATATTTATGGTAAACTGCAGTCTTATTCTTTAAATTATCCACAAATTCCACTTCAAAACCAAGAAGTGGTTATAGACACCACTTTTTACAAGTGGTGTCTATAAAGGGCTGGAAAGTGGAAGTGCGAGATTTCCACCTGCGGATACAAACAAACCACACGTGCCAGTTGTATGCTGCTGAGATCGCCGACTTCTTCCTCAATGAACTTTTCTTTGTCGTTTTGGACACAAACCTGAGTGGGCGGTCGGGAATTAGCTGTGAACTCTGGCCATGTCCTGACATTTCTAAATGACGGGGAGATGAGAAAGGTGCAGGGTCGTGTTTAAACTCATCGTTTTTTAATCCAGTTATGCATCAGAAAAAAAATATAGGACCACTATTCCCATGAAAATAAATGGATGTTATCTTTGCTGCTTTGGTTATAAGACAATGTTTATGAATGATCAGTTCATTAGCTCCATCTCCACTTCACTGCAGCTCAAGAATTACATGTAGTTGGGTTACCTCTTCATTTAATACTAAAATTATGATAGTCCGTTTTCTGTTATATTTGAACATTTGTTAAATGTTATCAAATATGCATTGTTCCTCCTTTATCTCTCAAATAAAATACAAGCCACAATTAAAGGCTTGGCCGCGCACTATTTACAGGTTAGCATTAGCTACAAGTTAGCTTGAATACATATTCAAGATAACAGTCAAATCAGAAGATGTTTTATCAGAACTGCACAGCTTTTCCCACAGCTTCAGTTGGTCTTTGGGAAATCTAAAAAATGAGCATGCATGCAAAGTAAACTTTGATGATTACAGCCGAAAACAAAGCAGAGCATTTTGCACCATTCCATTAAACCGCCTCTTCAAACAGCAGGCGGTTTGATTGTATCTCTGGGACGGGACTTTCCAGCCCTATATGATATACACAGGGATCCTGCTGCAGGAGTGCCAGCCCGGGTCACTAGGCCCGGTCACTAGGCCCGGTCACTAGGCCCGGTCACTAGGCCCGGTCACAGGGCTTGCCTCTCACCTGTCGGGCCTGAGTGTTCAGGTAAGGCTCAAAGTCATCGTCATTCAGGGTATCCTTTTGGGTCACAGCTCCGTTTTGCACTGAAACACAGAGCACAGAGACACAAGGCTTTAACTCAAGATCAAGGATAATCAAGAAACAATAACATTATGAACAGTTCTGGACTGTGGTCGTCCCGCTCCCGATGGACCAATTGCTCCTATGACTTCATCATCATTGCATTTCTAGTGTTTAAACAGTTTGTTTGTCTGATCTGTTGTAGGTGAATCTAAAACTTTGTAAAGTCCTCAAATATGAAGGCTGCTGTGATTTGAGGCAATACAAATTAATTCAATGGAAATGTGCACTAATGATACCCATCACCAGAAACAGGGAAATGCAGACCCCTGGACTAAAGACAGCAAATGGATCAGATAATCATTTAGCGCAGTATAACAAACTAAATCCTTTTGAGGCATGGATCAATTGAGTCTGATCAGAGGTGGTTCTGGATGCACTAATTCTCAATATTTTGTAGAATCGTTCCATATGGCCTCCTATTTTACAGAAATATGGTCGATATGAATTGAATTGATGCGTTGCTGCCGTTTCCTGGCTGCGCTCTCAGCCGCCTCTGAAGGCTGAGCTGAAGTTGGCTGGATGAAGTATGTTTATGATAAAGACTAAGTTTACGACTCAGAGGGCCACATAAAACAACCCGAGAACCCAGTCCCGGGCTTGGCTAACGCCTTTTGTCGATGGAAGTGGATTTCTCCTTCACTGGGGTTGCCCCCGGGATTTCTCTTTCCCTTTGGGTTTGAGTCTTCCAGGAAGCACCATATCTAAGATTTACTTCCTGCAGAGTAGGAAGTATTCATTGTGCAGTTTAATCAAACTTTACTGCATTAGTTCCAAATGAAGACTGACTGGCGGGAGTTCAGAGAAGGAAGGATCCCAGCTTCCACAGTTAGACACACGGGAACCACAAATGACAGCCGTGGAAGACGTCATTGTTTGGAACACACGGACCCGCTCCAAACACTGTAGCCGCCATAGATCCATGACACGGGGCTGATGTGCACCACACAGCCGGGCCAGGGCACCTGCTGCCCGGCCACACGTGCTGCCAGTCCCCGGACACCTGGAGAACAGACCCCGCACAGGCCTCACTTCCGCATGGCCTCTCCAACCGGGAAGCTGTGTCCTGAATCCCACCGGGAGCCGCGAACGGAGGGCCCTGAGCGGGGACTGCTGCCGCCCACATGTCACGGTGGTGTCAGAGCCGAGCGCAGGGGGAGGACCAGGGGGTAAAGTTCAGAGCGAGGCCCGGGTCCACCGCGGTCCACCCCCGGAGAGGGAGAGTCCGAACAGCTGCTTACCTTTGTTAGCCTGGCCTTTCGGTCTCTGGATTGGGTCCAGGTGATTCATGAAGGTTTAATTTCTGAGAGGAGCGGAGGGGGAAAAAGAGGCAGTGAGTCCGGTCGGTCCGCGCAGGCCTGTGGAGCTAAGCTAAATGCTAACAGCGCTGCGTTAGCCGTGTGTGGGGCCTGGCTGCTCAGTGCTGTCCTCCGCTCTGGGACATGCCTCTGGGGCCGGGCGCAGGCTGGGGTCGTGCTGGGGGTCGTGCTGGAGGCTGTGCACGGACAGAGGCGGGTTCGGCGGTGCGTGTGTCCCCGGGCTGGTCACACAATGGCGGGCTCAGTCAGAAGGCTCTCACGCTCTGCTTCAACATGGTGGAGGCAAGTGCAGGGCTTTATGAGGGAACACACGCCCCCTGCCGCCGAGGAGGACCACACTGCAGCAGGCGAGAGCTGCTGTAAAGCTGGGGGACCTGACTTCTACAGCACACAAAAGCACTACGTAATGCAACACGGGTCACTCATCACAAGCCACACACATAGTAGCTGTGTGTGTGTGTGTGTGCTGTTTGGCTGCTGTCACATCTTTAGATCAGGGAGAATGAGACCAGAGAGAGACCAGAGAGAGATCAGAGAGAGATCAGAGAGAGATCAGGGAGAATGAGACCAGAGAGAGATCAGAGAGAGATCAGAGAGAGACCAGAGAGAGATCAGAGAGAGATCAGAGAGAGATCAGAGAGAGATCAGAGAGAGATCAGGGAGAATGAGACCAGAGAGAGATCAGAGAGAGATCAGGGAGAATGAGACCAGAGAGAGATCAGAGAGAGATCAGAGAGAGACCAGAGAGAGATCAGAGAGAGATCAGAGAGAGATCAGAGAGAGATCAGGGAGAATGAGACCAGAGAGAGATCAGAGAGAGATCAGGGAGAATGAGACCAGAGAGAGATCAGAGAGAGATCAGAGAGAGACCAGAGAGAGATCAGAGAGAGATCAGAGAGAGATCAGAGAGAGATCAGGGAGAATGAGACCAGAGCGAGACCAGAGAGAGGCCGGAGAAAGATCAGAGAGAACGAGACCAGAGCAAGACCAGACTCTGACCAGAGAAAGGCCAGAGAGAGGCTACAGCGAGGCCAGAGTGAGATCAGAGAGAGGCTGGAGAAAGACCAGAGAGAAAGAGACCAGAGCAAGACAAGAGAAAGACGAGAGTGAGACCTGAGGGGAAGACCAGAGAGGTTCTATCACTAGTTTTCAAATGAATGTATTTTTGGCGTCTGTCATCTTTTTCAGCTTTTTCGGACCACCCTCACTCCATCTGCTCAAAGAGTAAAATAGTGATTCAAATGGTTCTTTCTTCCAAGTTTGTAGAAAATATCATGATTTCTCACAACATGAAGACTGCAGGTTGTGGTGTGAATTGTTTGCAACACCCCTGGAATGAGGAAGCACATAGTTGAGAACTAGACAAAGGGACCAACATGTAAGGCTTTAACTTACCGGACCTGTTTTAGTTCTCAGTGTCTGATAAATGTATTTGTAGAAAGAGAAACCACATATACCAGAGTTATAAAGTCACCATATGTGGATACAGTTAGATTAGATGAGGTGAGGTCATAGCACAATGAGTTTGAAACCAGTGCATTTGGACAGAAGGGCAGTGTGTGTGATCAGGAGCAGTGTTCGCTGATTGCATAAGATGTGTTGACACAATAATGCAGTGTGAGGCTTCTGTCAACAGGGGGCGCCAGCCCACGAGACAACCACGTGACACGTGTGCAGACGGCCAACAAGAGCAGGAGTGACCACCAGGCGGCAGCAGATCCCCATGTGTTTGCCAGTTATGTGATCACAATATCATTTTGTCTTAGTCTATGGATCACACACAATATGATCCTACTCAGTGGTGGAACAAGCACAACATGGACGTTGGTCAAATATTACTAGTTTTACGTTACATTATTATGCCTCTGTATAAAAGCAAATTTGCTCATTTAAAAAAAATAGTGTTAAGTATTTAATCTATAGGGTGGGAATCTTGGGGCACCTCACAATTCCATTAGGAATTATATTATATATAATATATACATAACTTAACATATAACTTAATGACAGCAGTCCTGATCCTCTTTGAGCCATGTCTTTGGCTGACTTTAAACAGTTAACAGTTTAAACCCTCACTCCTTACTGTGCAGTAAGTAAAACGTAAACATTACATGTATTTTCTCCACTGGGTTTGAGAGTTTTCCTCTGATGCAGGAGTCTGTTGGACAGTTAGTGTCTAACAAGAAGGACTGTGGTGATCCAGGACACTTTCACATTCTACATGACATGTATCAACATTCATGGACTTTGGTCTCTCCCTATGGACCTATACCCTGTGTTCTATATTTCTGTGTCTTAAATGTTGCTGCATCTGTTCCTATTTGGTGACAAATTACCATAAATTGTGACAAACTAAGTGTGATGCATTTGATCATCTTAGAAAAGTGCTTTTTAAAAGACAGTGTTGTGTCGAGCTCCACACATATTGAATAGACTCCACAACAGTGAGTCTGCATCAAGATTTAAGAATTGATTTGCCCTTTGCAGTAAAACCACATTGGAAAAACTGTGCAAACCCCGTGTGCACCAGAAGATATCACACACCAGAGCCATATTTCCCTTTTCAGGTGGACAGATTATACACGCTGACAGTTTATGGTCAAACATGAGTTCACCACAACTCTCTCTGCAGACTGGAGGATAGACGCAGCTCTTTGGCTGTAGTACGGTTATTTGTACTGTAAAGAACACTTAAAACTGAGATGATTATATCTGATCTCCCCTGTGTTGTCTTGCAGAGATGTCCAGATGAGAGCATAGGTCACGTAAATGTAGCTGTTTGAGGATTTTACCATAATATATTAATATCAACCAAACTCTCTCTGAGCAGGCAAGGCTTCTGCTGGTCGAAGGCCGAGCGTTGAGCTCCAAGCCCCTCTACTGTGGAATCATCTCCCCATCCACGACAAGCACAGATGAAGTCTCTGCAATCAAGGCCAGGCTTAAAACAGTCCTCTTAAACTCAGCTTTTGGCTCGATTGGTAAGATACAACTTTAAGTCAAAAACACAGATTGTCAGTGACTCTTTGTATGAAGACCCCTGCTGAAGAAGTCTGGGAACAGCACTATTCTATCCTCTTTACTTTATCTCTCATCATTCACCATGGTCCCGTTGGCGTGAGGGTGGGACCCCTGAATCCTGTTTCTTTAATTATTAAAAGAATAATACACTGACAGAAGCAAGGAAACCAGTATGTTGTGCCATCGGCCCTTCTCGGTTGGTGGTGGTGACCTGTGGCACCTGGTGTCCTCAGAGGTCTCCCATCACACTAATAACCAGGCCATGTCCTGCTGAGCTTCAGGGATCTAACGGAATCTGGCTTGGAATCTGGCTTTCACCTGCATGTATGGGAATAAAAGAAGCCATAAATGACAAGAGGTGCAATAAATATATTCAGATGAAAGATTTTAATCGTATGAGAAACATCAGAGCCGCAGTGATTGACAGGCTGCATATCCGGGCTCTGTGGGGGGGTCCCTGGAACAGTAGCCCGGCCGCGTGCTTTCGGGTCGCCCCTTTCAGCTCGGGATCATCCTGGTGCTTGACTCTCTTCTCCGGGGGCTTGTTGACTCCGCAGCAGGGACAGGTGGCGGAGCACGGCCCGCGCTGGACCCAGACCAGCCAATAAAAATAGCTGTGGTCTCCATGATGTCACCGGGAGGTAAATCAGAGCTCCTGCCGGCCGCGCACCAGTGATGTCGCACGCACCGGGGCGCAAGGAGGCTTCTCACAGCAACAGGGCTCCGCAGTCCACTCACTCTAGGCAAGGTTATTTGTATAGCACAGGTCATGCACAAGGCAACTCAAAGTGCTTAAAAAGATTAGATTGAAACAATACAAAGCATCAAAAATAATAAATAATCACAGTACATTAAAACTTGAGTCTAACATTAGTCCACGCGCTCTTACATCACATGGCCATACCTACAGGTGAGAGCCAGATCCTCTCACACCTCTGAAGCTAAGCAGGGCATTGTCTGGTTAGTACTGTGATGGGAAACCTCTGGGAAGTGTGGTTGTGTCCGTAGGTATGAAACTTCCCCCACATTAGAATGAGTCTGGTGTGTGTGTGAATGGTTGGTGGTGGTGGGAGGGGCCGATGGCGCATACTGGTTGCCTCGCTGCTGTCAGTGTGCCCCAGGGCAGCTGTGGCTACAGTAGTAGTTTATCACCACTGTGTTTTTGGGGTGCAATGACATGTAAAGAGTCTTTTAGAGTCCAAAAAAGTGTCATTATAAAACTCAGCATTATTATTATTATTATTAGTTCACTCACTCTTACACAGTGGGCTCCTACCCGAAACTAGAGAGAGACCAGAAAGAGACCAGAGTGAGAGACTAGAATGAGCGAGACCAGAGTGAGACCAGAGACAGACCAGAGAGAGACCAGAAAGAGACCAGAGAGAGAGGCCAGAGCGAATCCAGAGCAAGACCAGAGATAGACCAGAGAGAGACCAGAGTGAGAGACTAGAGAGCGCGAGACCAGAGTAAGACCAGAGACAGACCAGAGAGAGACCAGAGAGAGAGGCCAGAGCGAAACCAGAGCAAGACCAGAGATAGACCAGAGAGAGACAAGAGGGGGGGTCTAGAGAGAGCGAGACCAGAGTGAGACCAGAGAGAGACCAGAAAGAGACCAGAGAGAGACCAGAAAGAGACCAGAGTGAGAGACCAGAGAGAGACCAGAGAGAGGCCAGAGAGATAGTCAGTGGAGGCCAAGAGACTAAGAGCTAACTGAAGATGCAGGGACGAGACACAGGTTCAGTTCAGTTCTACTGTATTGTCCCGTTGGGAAATTCACCCTCTGCATTTGACCCGTCCTTCATTGCCTCATGGGCCTCTTACTGGAGCCGTAGTCGCCACAGTACGGCACCAGGAAACCCAGGCGAAATCTCTGTGCTCCTACTCTGGTGTTTTGTCTTTCCTTGTGGATATTCTGCCCCGCATCGCCCCACATGTCCAGAAGGCGAGAAAGAACAGAAAGAGCAGAAAGAGCAGAAAGAGCCGGACACAGGGCTAAAAGCAGCGCTGAGCTCACCCCATAGCCTGCATTCTGAGGGCCCATCAGCACGCGGCCCACCAGGAACCCGAGCCCTCGTAAATCCGCCCTGTTTGACCATGTGACATGCCAAATCTGTGATGTGCCCCGCGGAAGGCATGTCAGGGGGCTGTGTTAGCGCAGCGTCTTTAGTGACATTTTTGGCCCCACGCTTGTCAGGAATGTAGCACTTGTCAGCTGCTCTGAGGATGCTGTTAATTCTCATTCCAGAGCATTCAGACAGTTAGCTTCAATAAACAGCACTTACAGCCGGCGGTATAAGCTACAGGGGGTCACAGATAGAAACCCCCCAAAATACAGAGGACGGAGAGATTTAACAAGTTTGTTTACCATAGAGGAGTTGAGAAGGGAGCTGAGACCAGGAGACCGCGAGCTGACTGGGATTCAGGGACGTGAGAGATACCGGAGATAGAGAAAGAGGGAAAGACCAGAGCGCAACTATACAATACAATACAACACAATTTATTTTTGTATTGCCATAAATCACAACAGTAGTCATCTCAGGACTTAACAAAACCAATGAAATCACCAACACAGATCAGAGAATGAACAGTTAAAACACAAAAAGAATATAGAACACATGTTGATAAATGTCATGCATGTTGTAGAATGTCTTCTTGTTAGACACTAACTGTCCAACAGACTCCTGCATCAGAGGAAAAACTCTAAAACCCAGTGGGAGAAAAGTGAGAAACCTCAGGGAGGTTGAGAGAGGGATCCGCTCCACACCGACAGACGGGCTGTAGATCCAGGACTCAGACTGTAGAACGAGGACTGAGGCTGTAGATCCAGGACCTAAGCTACAGAACGTGGACAGGTCCGGTGCAGGACTGAAGCACTCCCAGGCGGGTCGGGCGGGGCAGTCCGCAGGTGTAGATGGAGGACCAGAGGTCCCGTTGTCGTACCATGAAACAGACATTGGGACAACGGGTGAATAGCAATGAACACACTACAGTCAAAATCTTAAAAATGCAAAACAGACAAAGTATGAAGGAGGAGAGGATAGTGCTCAAGTTACCATACTTCTCCAGCAAACTGACTCATTATGCAGCTTGACTGTCTGAGGAGTTTAGCCTTCACTGAGTCTTACCTTCCTGACCATGTGCTAAACTGAAGAGGACTGTTTTAGCCTAGCCTGGAACGTAGGGCTGAAGATGCAGCGGACCGGGTCCTGGACAAGCAGACTCCAAGACCGGACAACCGAGAGACAAGAGAGAGAGAACCAGAGAAACACCAGAGAGAGAGAGAGAGAGAGATAAAGACCAGAGCGAGAGAGACCAGAGAGAGGCCATATAGAGAAAAGAGAGACCAGGGAAAGAGAGCAAAGAGAGAGTCCAGAGAGAAACCAGAGAGAGAGACCAGGGAACGAGACCGGGGAAAGAGACCAGAAAGTGACTTGAGAGAGACCAGAGAGGGATGGAGTTTCCAAATGCTAAGAACAGAATAAATGGGGCCATCTGTTGGCTGTTTGCCAGAAGTTCACATGATGAAGTTACGTGAATCTTTAATACAGATTTGGAGCAGAGGATTGAATTATAAGATTTAAGCTTCAGTCCTGAGTAGAACCACCAGGAAGTCCTTTCACATTGGTCCTGGTCTCAGGTCTCTGCACTGGCTTCCTTTGGCTCAGAGAATAGACTGTTGAGCGGCTATGGTCTACAAGTCTCTCCATGGTTTAGCGCCAAAGTAGATCTGTGACATTTTGTGCCATATGAACCAACTCTGAGGAGCACAGGGACTGGCCTCCTGTAGGGACTCTGAGGAGCACAGGGACTGGCCTCCTGTAGGGACTCTGAGGAGCACAGGGACTGGCCTCCTGTAGGGACTCTGAGGAGCACAGGGACTGGCCTCCTGTAGGGACTCTGAGGAGCACAGGGACTGGCCTCCTGCTGGTCCCAGAGTCAGGGCTAAAAACGGGGGTCAGCAATTCAGATTCTATTTAGACTGTTTTTAATTTTAGTTTGTTGGTTTTGGCCTGGGAAGCACTTTGGGTTACACTGCAGGGATTGTGCTTTATACTGGAAATATTGTAAATCATTTTCTCTTCATATCATCTGCCCCTTTCCCCGTTAATCAAAATACACAGCTCTTAAAAGAACTTCAGTTATTTGTAGCTTAATCATAAAGTACTGAAGTCTGGTCCATCATTTCCATGGATAAAGTCTAGTCCATCGCAGCAATAATACAAGACAGAGACCCGTGAAAAGCTTATGCAGCAAAGAAGAACTATTGGACTAGTCTCATGGATCTAATGTAAGAAAGCTGTGTCCAGTATCGCTCTTGTCTGCCGTCGTGTTGAGCTCTTCAGTTTTCTCCTGCTGCACAGAGAACCGTGCGGACTGTGGACATGTAGGAAGAGTGTGTGTATGAAGGGATCATTTGTTTGTCTTTCTCTGTGAGGAGCAGGAGCGCTCATCCCTGCAGCTCCCTTCAGCGTGTTGGAGCCCACACATGCTCATCTCTGTCCATTGTGTGCAGGATTGATGTGCACACATGCTGCTGACCTGAGGCTTTGTGAGGCCTGTGCTGACGGAGCGCAGCAGCTGAGAGGAGTCTGACCTCACCCCCTCACCCCCAGCTCTGTCCTCCTCACCCTCCTCAGACTGTCCTCCTCACCCTCCTCAGACTGTCCTCCTCACCCCCAGCTCTGTCCTCCTCACCCTCTCAGACTGTCCTCCTCACCCCCTCAGACTCTGCTCCTCACCCCCTCAGACTGTCCTCCTCACCCCCTCAGATTGTCCTCCTCACCCCCTCAGACTGTCCTCCTCATCCCCTCAGACTGTCCTTCTTACCCCCAGCTCTCTGTCCTCCTCACCCCCTTAGATTGTCTTCCTCACCCCCTCAGATTGTCCTCCTCACCCTCTCAGACTGTCCTCCTCACCCCCTCAGATTGTCCTCCTCACCCTCTCAGATTGTCCTCCTCACCCCCTCAGACTGTCCTTCTCACCCCCTCAGATTGTCCTCCTCACCCCCTCAGATTGTCCTCCTCACCCTCTCAGACTGTCCTCTTCACCCCCTCAGACTGTCCTCCTCACCCTCTCAGATTGTCCTCCTCACCCCCTCAGACTGTCCTTCTCACCTCCTCAGACTGTCCTTCTGACCTCCTCAGACTGTCCTCCTCACCCCCTCAGACTCTGCTCCTCACCCCCTCAGACTGTCCTCCTCACCCCCTCAGATTGTCCTCACCTGCTCAGACTGTCCTCCTCACCCCCTCAGACTCTGCTCCTCACCACCTCAGACTGACCCAGCGCTCCTCACTCGTATCTCAGAAGATATGTTTGTACCAATAAGAAACTTCTCTAAGCACCAATCACGCGACCCCATCCTGCCAATAGGATGCACCTCACACACACTCAGCTGATCACTGTGTTCTTATGTACACTCTCTCTATTCCATGTACACATGTACACATGTACACATATATGTGTACATGTACACATATATGTGTACATGTGACCTGTAATAGACACATATATGTGTACATGTGTACATGTACACATATATGTGTACATGTACACATATATGTGTACATGTGACCTGTAATAGACACATATATGTGTACATGTGTACATGTACACATATATGTGTACATGTACACATATATGTGTACATGTGACCTGTAATAGACACATATATGTGTACATGTGTACATGTACACATGTACACATATATGTGTCTATTACAGGTCACATGTACACATATATATGTCTATTACAGGTCACATGTACACATGTACACATGTACACATATATGTGTCTATTACAGGTCACATATACACATATACACATGTACACATATATGTGTCTATTACAGGTCACATGTACACATGTACACATATATGTGTCTATTACAGGTCACATGTACACATATATGTGTCTGTTACAGGTCACATATACACATATAAACATGTACACATATATGTGTCTATTACAGGTCACATGTACACATGTACACATATATGTGTCTATTACAGGTCACATGTACACATATATGTGTCTGTTACAGGTCACATGTACACATATATGTGTCTATTACAGGTCACATGTACACATATATGTGTCTGTTACAGGTCACATGTACACATATATGTGTCTGTTACAGGTCACATGTACACATGTACACATATATGTGTCTGTTACAGGTCACATGTACACATATATGTGTCTGTTACAGGTCACATGTACACATATATGTGTCTGTTACAGGTCACATGTACACATATATGTGTCTGTTACAGGTCACATGTACACATATATGTGTCTGTTACAGGTCACATGTACACAACAGAGCAGATTGAGGCTCTCATTTGGGTTGCCAGTTTGTTAGAAAAAAACAAAAACAAAATGTCACCAAAAATGTTACAAGACGAAATGCACCAGACATTTGTGCAGGTACAAAAATGAGAAGACAGTTTCTACCTAAACCCCAGCAAGTGGATTGCATCAGTAATCAGTGCTTAGGAGGAAGATTCTGCCAACACAGGTGTGACTGTAATGATATTACATACGGCCCCTTTAAAGGACCCTGCACTTGCCTGTAGATTAGTTTTATGATTTTCTCCTGATGGTGTCTTTACAACTGTGTAAACGCCACATGACCGAGAAGTCTCTTCTCAAACCTGAGATCAAAGCAGATCGTCTCCAAGAGCCTTCTACTGTGCTGTGTTTCATACTTTTAGTTTCTCTTTGATAATGTCCAGTTTGTGTTTCCTGTCTCCTGCAGAAGATAAACATTTTTATCTATCGTTACGTACAAAACTATTATTTTAAATCCTACACAAATATTACAAGTGTTCAGAAATAACCGCGCCTCGACTTTGATCCTGTTTATTGGTCATAAAGTAGCGCCGCACACTTGTTGCTATTTCGTTTGGTATTTGCAGCATAAACTATTAATGTCACTGTTGCAATGTGAATAGGGCTCTAAATAAAAAGCAGGTTACTACCCCGACCGGCCAATGGCAGGGCCGGCCCGAGGGGTGATGTAAGCCCATGTATTTTGAGCCTTGCACACGCACATACTGTTCTGAGCAGTGCGCGCCGCGTCTGTCTGCTAACCTTACACCACGGTTCATCACAGGAACCAGCACGTCACAGGGACCCGCACATCACAGGGACCAGCACGTCACAGGGACCAGCACATCACAGGGACCAGCACGTCACAGGGACCAGCACATCACAGGGACCAGCACGTCACAGGGACCAGCACATCACAGGGACCAGCACATCACAGGAACCAGCACGTCACAGGGACCAGCACATCACAGGGACCAGCACGTCACAGGGACCAGCACATCACAGGGACCAGCACATCACAGGGACCAGCACATCACAGGGACCAGCACAGAAACATCAGCTTTGAGAAGTATCTGCTGCTGATGGTGGATTCAAGTCACGTCTGAGGCCTCATGTTCTCGAGGTTTAACCACGTTACAAGAGTCAACAAACGCAGAGGTGTCTTTAAGTCCATCTACAACAATCACAACTTCTGCCACAAATAAAACTTTAAAAATGCAACAGCAACTAGACACATTTGTCTGGGATTCTTAGAGATTTGCAAACTCTGAACCAGGGACCCTTCAACCTCCCCCAGCCATGTGTGAATTCATAGATATGTAGATATTTTATTGATCCCCAATAGAAAAATTCAAATGTCCAGCAGCAGAAAGACATGCGTCCATTCACATAAACCAATAAATACATCATTCGAAAAGTCACTAACAGTAGTAAAACAGTATTTTAGGTTCCAGCAGCAGGTGGTGATGAGCTGCTTCCTCTGGTTGATGTTAGCAGAGTGTGCTTGGTTCGGACCATTTTCACCGCTCTGGTTCAGATTCTTTAAAAGTGTGTATTTTGTACTGGTTTGTGTCTGGTACTGGTCTATGTGTCTTGTACTGGTGTGTATCTGGTACTGGTCTGTGTATCTTGTACTGGTGTGTAACTGGTACTGTTCTTTGTGTCTTGTATGGGTCTGTGTATCTGGTACTGGTCTGTGTTTTTGGTACTGGTCACTGGTCCTCCTTCTCCTTGTGTTTGCTGAGGACTGGACTCCCACTGTCCCGTCTCCACTCTGTCCTAGTTTGGTCAGTGCAGGACAAGTGTGCGTGTCACAGTTAGACGCACACTCACACATGTTCAGAGGGCTGTCCGGGGCTGGGGGGGTGATAGGGGGTGGTGGTGAGGGGGGTTGATGTGGGGGGAGTCGCTCTGGCCTTCTTCCTTCACTCGGCTGCAGCTGTTGATCAACTCTGAGACTGTGTGAAAGTGTGAGCTCAGAGTGTTGCATCACCGCCTCCTCGCTGGGACAGGTCTAATGGGACCTACAGAGACACTACCACCTTTAAAATACACTGTTTTTGTTCAAATGTATCAAAAACTAGACTTAGATGTAACTCTCTCTTTCACCACCAGATGGCAGTGTTGCTCATTATCATCTGATACCTCAATGTTTATCCATTCCTTATACAGCATCTATAAAAAGACATTTCATTTGAATTCAATGATCTTTGTGCTTCGCCTTAAATCACAACAGCAGTCGTCTCAGAGAACTTTCCAGAGTTGTGGATTCACCAACTATAGGTCTTTGTTTACACCTGCGTGTGCATGCGCCCCTCGCTGAGTGGCAAAAAGACAGAGTGGCCCATACTGGAGCAGGGATGCGACGAGTACTTTTAAAAGACTCAGTGGGCGAATAGCACTGTATATAAGCACTTTATGAAACCGAACTGAACAGATTCAAAGCCCATATGAGACCTGGGATGACGAGAGAAAACATTGGTCAGACTCACCTCTGTCTGGGCACCGATCTACTGGGACTGAGACTCAGGGACATGTATTCTTACTTCATAGAAAACCCGGGACCTTCACTCAAGAAGGGTCCGTGGTGAAAATCCATTTCTCGCATTTTTCACTACGGTAAAGTGGCCCTGATTTTTTCTCCCCTCATCCCCCCGGCTTCCCGTTCTACGTTTACCGTAGGTAATAGCATAAAAGGGCAATACCTTTATCGCGACCATTTTTCGCTGTTCTTTTCCGAAATAATTAGAAAAAAACGTAAACTGTCCCCAGCGGGCTGTATAACCAACAACACAACAAGAACGGACCATTTGATTTAGTAAAACCTCTCTACAAGCATCTAAAACTAGCTAACTCTCTAGCATCCAAGGATTTTCAAGGATTTTCAAGGATCCAAGACTGAGGCTATAGATCCAGGACTGAGGCTGTAGATCCAGGACTGAGGCTGTAGATCCAGGACTGAGGCTGTAGATCCAGGACTGAGGCTGTAGATCCAGGACTGAGGCTGTAGATCCAGGACTGAGGCTGTAGATCCAGGACTGAGGCTGTAGATCCAGGACTGAGGCTGTAGACCCAGGACTGAGGCTGTAGACCCAGGAGTGAGGCTGTAGATCCATCCTCATCTTAGAAATGTCTGTATTTGGACGCGTTGCATTAACTCACTCATGTTATTAATTATGCAGAATACAATCCTTCTGCACTGGTTCCTTTGTATGATTTTAGCCACGTGAAGCAAATGGAAAGTTCACAGAAAACATAGTGCTTCATATGAGGGCGTGTTTTTTTAAAACACAGTTCAATTGGATCCAGATTTGTCGAAGTAGTTTGTTTTCATAGCCTCAGTCCTGGGTCTACAGCCTCAGTCCTGGATCTTCAGCCTCAGTCCTGGATCTTCAGCCTCAGTCCTGGGTCTACAGCCTCAGTCCTGGATCTTCAGCCTCAGCCTCAGTCCTGGAATTTCAGCCTCAGTCCTGGATCTGCCTTTTTGTGGGAGCGGATCCCTCTCATCATGGGCACCCCCTGTGTTTCTGAGGGGTTTCTCTCTGATGTAGGAGGGTCTAAGGGCAGTGGTCAACCCTCTGGACCAATGACAATTGCTTGTTTGTTATGATGCATTTCCTGTGTTCTGTTTTTGGTGAATCCACAACTTTTTAAAATCCTCCGAGACAACTGTGTGATTTAGAGCGATACACAAATACATCTCTCCATCCATTTTCTTCCTCTTAATCCATTTCTGGGTGTGTGGACAGAGCACCAGCCCCTCACTGATCCTCCTGCAGGTGGTGAGTCCACAGGAGGACGGCTGCTCTAGTTTGATCTTTCAACGGGGGCTTAAGGAAAACTGGGGTGTCTTGCCCAAGGACACAACGACAGCAGAGTTGGTGGAGAAGGTCTCGTGGGGGGTCGAATCCACGGCCTTTAGGCTCAAAGGCCTAAGTTCTACCAACTGAGCCACTGTCGCCCCAAAACACAAATACATTGAAATATACACATGACTCTGCCTGTCTTCTATGACAGTATAGAGTGTAACTATGAGGTCCAAGATGGTCCTGGTTTAGATTCCACCTCCATCCCTGTCTGTGTGGAGTTTGCATGTTCTCCCTCAGGTGCTCCGGTCTTTCTGGGTCTTGTAGGTCTGGCATGTGCCTTCTGTATGGCGACCTCGCTCCCATCTCTGTGTGGAGGGAGAGACAAATGCCCACAACAAATGTAAAGAGCTTTGTGACTCTGGTCTGTGAAAGGCGCAATATAAATGCTGGACCATGACTGTCGCCCCCTGCAGGACACTCTGTCTATTCTGGAAAACAGTTTCAGTGACAGACTTATTCACCCTCGCTGTGTGAACGAGAGGTTCCGCAGGTCTTTCCTTCCTGCTGCTGTCAGACTGTACAATGAGAACTGCTGAGCCTGTAAATGTCATTCATCTGTATTTAAGTAAATATTAAAATCATGTGTAATGTGCAAAACTGCAACTTCAGAATGTCCACTGAAAGTCACTTTTTTTACTTATTATACGGCTCTATAAGTACAGCAGGTGTCTCAAACCTTTTTCACCCAGAGAACTACTTTCCCGGGACAAAAAAGGCAGAGAGCTACTCCTTTGAGCGGCCCTGGGAAAATAATTGGTGATATATTGGTGTGAAAAAGCCTGATATTGGGTACAGTCATTATCTATCATCACATATTTGTTGTTAGTGACACAGTAACTGCATTTACAAATATAAATAATGATAATGAATAATACAATCGAAAATACTAAGCATAATATTTGATTTGTTAATTTCTAAATCCTTTGGGGAGCTACCTGGAAGGGGCTGGCGAGCTACTGGTGGCTGGCGAGCTACTGGTGGCTCCCGAGCTACAGGTTGGAGACCCCTGATGAACAGTATATAACTCTGCACTAAATATATATACATTTTGAAAAACTGGTTTTGAAGCATTTACAACATTTACAGCTAGCTAAAAAAAACATAGCAGCTACTTACTTATTTTGTATATTTTGTGTGCTCCCTGTGTGCTCTTACTACTGTCCTGTTTGTGCGCTGCAACATTGAAATTTCCCACTGTGGGGCGATTAAAGGATCTCTATCTTATCTTAAAAGCCTCACTTACTGGCCTCAGTGTGGGGAGCAGAGAGAGCAGAGAGAGCAGAGAGAGCAGAGAGAGCAGAGAGAGCAGAGAGAGCAGAGAGAGCGGAGAGAGCAGGGAGAGCAGAGAGAGCAGAGAGAGCAGAGAGATCAGAGAGAGAGCAGAGAGCAGAGAGCAGAGAGAGCAGAGAGCAGAGAGAGCAGAGAGAGCAGAGAGATCAGAGAGAGCAGAGAGAGCAGAGAGAGCAGAGAGAGCAGAGAGAGCAGAGAGAGCGGAGAGAGCAGGGAGAGCAGAGAGAGCAGAGAGAGCAGAGAGAGCAGAGAGATCAGAGAGAGAGCAGAGAGAGCAGAGAGCAGAGAGAGCAGAGAGCAGAGAGAGCAGAGAGAGCAGAGAGAGCAGAGAGAGCAGAGAGAGAGCAGAGAGCAGAGAGCAGAGAGAGCAGAGAGAGCAGAGAGAGCAGAGAGATCAGAGAGAGCAGAGAGAGCAGAGAGAGCAGAGAGATCAGAGAGAGCAGAGAGCAGAGAGAGCAGAGAGCAGAGAGAGAGAGAGAACAGAGCGAGCAGAGAGAGCAGAGAGAGCAGAGAGAGAGAGAGAACAGAGAGAGCAGAGAGAGCAGAGAGATCAGAGATCAGAGAGAGCAGAGAGCAGAGAGAGCAGAGAGAGCAGAGAGAGAGAGAGAACAGAGAGAGCAGAGAGATCAGAGAGAGCAGAGAGATCAGAGAGAGAGAGAGAACAGAGAGAGCAGAGAGAGCAGAGAGAGCAGAGAGATCAGAGAGAGAGAGAGAGCAGAGAGAGCAGAGAGAGCAGAGAGAGCAGAGAGAGCAGAGAGAGTAGAGAGAGCAGAGAGAGCAGAGAGAGCAGAGAGAGCAGAGAGAGCAGAGAGAGCAGAGAGAGCAGAGAGAGAGAGAGAACAGAGAGAGCAGAGAGAGCAGAGAGAGCAGAGAGAGCAGAGAGAGAGAGAGAACAGAGAGAGCAGAGAGAGCAGAGAGAGCAGAGCTCCCACAGCCTGATGAAGACGTTGCGGTTTACGTCACTCATGTCCTGTGACTTTTATCCTTGTGCTGTTTGAGAAGAGCTGAAAGTTTATCCCGGTCCTAAAACAGCCGTCGGTTGCCAAGTAAACCTCCTCGTCATCCCAACTATTTAGTGTGTTCCCAGAAGCACATAGGTGTCAGCTGCAGGCTCATCCCCAGCAGGAGGGAGCATGTGCACAAATCTGTGGCAAATTATCACCTATGACTGAAGCAAGCAGAGACCAGAGAGAGACCAGAGACCAGAGAGAGACCAGAGAGAGACCAGAGACCAGAGAGAGACCGGAGAGAGACCAGAGACCAGTGACCAGAGAGAGACCAGAGAGAGACCGGAGAGAGACCAGACCCAGACGTTACATGCAGGGAAATGATAATTGAGCGGAGTGTACTGATGGCTAAGGCCAGGCTAGTTCAGACCTGGTTCAGACCTGGTTCAGACCTGGTTCAGACCTGGTTCAGAGCTGGTTCAGACCTGGTTCAGACCTGGTTCAGATCTGTTTCAGATCTGGTTTATATCTGTCTCATTCCCAGTTCAGATTGTGTCTCATCAAAGATTGAATAAATGAATCTGAATCTGATCACTGGCTAAAACTCTACAAGTTCAGTCCTTATTTGAAAAGCACAGTGCGCAGCAACATTAAGCTCAAAGACGGATATATTCTGCACAGAGAGAATCTCTGCAGTGTCAGGGCTCACGACGAAACAATACAGTAACATACAATCAAAATGCACCTGGAGGAGAGTACAGTAGCATAAAGAACAAGTTTGTGAGGATGTATTTGTGGGTGTGTGTGTGTATGTGTGTGTGTGTGTGTGTGTGTGCACCTGCATGTGTGTGTGTGTGTGTATGTGTGTGTGTGTGTGTGTGTGTGTGTGTACGTCTGTGTGTACCTGCATGTGTGTGTGTGTGCATGTACGTGTGTTTTTGTGTGTGTGTGTGTGTGTGCACCTGCATGTGTGTGCGTGTGTTTTTGTGTGTGTGTCAATTTTTGATGAGAAGCTGTAAAAGTCATAAGTAAAGCTTGGATTTCACTCCTCTGTGAGTTCTCTCTGCTGCATGTGACTGATAATATCCGTCATGTAAGATTTCAGCGAACACACAGAAAACATGCATCCTCTGCTGCAGGGTTCTCTCCCTCTCTCTCTCTCTCGTTCTGATGTCTCACCTGTGTGGCTTTATGGATGTTCCATTGATTATAAAGTGTTTTATTGAACGATTAATGGTCACACTAACACTAACACTTTCCTACCTTATCAAGAGTTGTTCATTCCAGGGTCCTCCTTCAGTCTCTGCCTCCTGCCCTCTTCCTGAGCTCCTGCCATCATCACACGGACCGACCAGCTGGTCTTGTGGTCTCGCTCAGCCTCTGGTCTCTCTCTGGTGTCTCTCTCTCTTTCTCTGGTCTCTCTCTGGTGGTCTCTCTCTCTTTCTCTGGCCTCTCTCTGGTCCCTCCCTGGTCTCTCTCTCTCTTTCTCTGGCCTCTCTCTGGTCCCTCCCTGGTCTCTCTCTCTCCTTCTCTGGTCTCTCTCTGGTCCCTCCCTGGTCTCTCTCTCTCCTTCTCTGGTCGGTCTCTCTCTGGTCCCTCCCTGGTCTCTCTCTGGTATCTCTCTGGTATCTCTTGTCCCTCCTCAGGACTCCCCCAGATTTAAACATTGAAGAAGCCTGTCTCACATTTTCAAGAAGACGCCGCCTCTGGCCCGCCCGGCTGGCCCGCTTGGCTGGCCCGGCCGGCTGGTCCTGTTGTCTCCCTCAGCCTCTGCAGCAGTTGTAGGTTTTGGACGTGCCACTCTGTTTGACGGGCAGTCCGCAGCGGTCCGGGGAATAGTAAGTGAAATGTGCAGAATTCCTCGGCCGTGTGTCAGGTGAGGTGGAATGTCTCTGAGGCATGTGAGCGACTGGAGCCCGGGCCCCGGAGCCACAGCCAGGCCCCGCACCAGCACATAGTGGGCATAGCTGCAGCCCCTCATCGGCGCGCTAATCGATCCAACATGCCGCTCGCTGGCAGCAAATAAAAATGCCATGACAGACATTTCAGCACTCGCTCTGTAGGTACTGCTCTGACACCGGCTCATTAGAGCAATAACACTTGATGGAGCTTTCTCTTGGATCAATCGTGATGATGTTGCAGTGGATCTGCTCGTCCACATCCACTGAGAGAAGTGGAGCTAAGGAAATACAGACTGGAAGAACTAAGATCGCTCAAAGTCCTCCCACTGTTGCTCAGTGGCAACAGCAATCAGATTCAGATTCAGACTTCTTTATTCATCCCACCAGCGGAAATTCGTTTGAGCAGCACATACAATAAAAATACATAAATGAAACAGAAAATAAGCGATATGATATGAAGTGGAACCCCATACTAATGACATAAAACAACAATAAAGCTCAGATCAAAGTCCACATCACCACCAGCTACAGAGAGTTCAGGCTAAGAGAGGTTGGGACAAAAGATTTTAAGTGACGATTGGTTTTACAATATGGTGCAACATAACGTCGTCCTGATGGAAGTGAACTCATCATTCAAAACATGATCAGTGGACTTTATGATGCCAGCCTTTCTCACAATCTGCTGGTTACAGAGACCAGAGAGAGACCAGAGAGACCAGAGAGAGACCACAGAGACCAGAGAGAGACCACAGAGACCAGAGAGATACCACAGAGACCAGAGAGAGACCCGAGAGAGACCACAGAGACCAGAGACCAGAGAGAGACCCGAGAGAGACCACAGAGACCAGAGAGAGACCAGAGAGAGACCAGAGAGAGACCACAGAGACCAGAGAGAGACCAGAGAGAGACCACAGAGACCAGAGAGAGACCCAAGAGAGACCACAGAGACCAGAGAGAGACCAGAGAGAGACCAGAGAGAGACCACAGAGACCAGAGAGAGACCAGAGAGAGACCAGAGAGAGACCACAGAGAGACCAGAGAGAGAGACCACAGAGACCAGAGAGAGACCAGAGAGAGACCACAGAGACCAGAGAGAGACCAGAGACCAGAGAGAGATCAGAGAGAGGCCAGCTGACAGTTCCCTTTATCCAATTCCTGTGACTTTTGAACAGATGTGCACAATTCAATTAGACTGTTTTTGTCTTTGTGTGAGAGACTAGGGAGCCAGCAGATAAAGGAGAAGCACAAAATGCTCTCAATGAAGGCCTGATAAAACCAAGACAGAATTGCCCCTGGTGGGATAAATAAAGTAGTCTGAATTTGAATCAGTAAATCAGCCACACTGCCAATGCTCAATCTAGCATTGTCTTGCATCTGGGCTCATATTGCTAGGAAGCTTCATTCGTGCAGCAACCCTCCTCCTCCCCATCTCTGACTCGTTCCAGACCAGCTCTTTCACCCTTCTCCGAGCTCCCGTTGTGGACCCGGGGGATTTCATCTCATAATCTTTATCTACATTTCCACTTCTGTAATTGTCAAAAAATGCTCTGCCTTGGTCTAAGCACCAAATCTTAACCACATTTCTCGTACAGTTTGTAATCAATGTAATCTTGCAAATATCGACTTCATTCCATACCATTCCATTCCATCTTCTTCCGCTTCATCCGTTGCCGGGTCGCGGGGGCAGCAGTCTAAGCAGAGACGCCCAGACTTCCCTATCCACACACACCTCCCCCAGCTCGTCTGGGGGGACCCCAAGGCGTTCCCAGGCCAGCTGAGAGACATAGTCCGTCCAGCGTGTCCTGGGTCTTCCCCGGGGCCTCCTCCCGGTGGGTAAGTAATGTTTATTTATATACCACCTTTTCACTGCAGATCTGAGTCTCAAAGCGGTTTACAATTGTTATTTTTGGGCATTTCCTCTCAGAGATGGGAGCGGGGTCGCCAAACAGGAGGCGCATGCCAGACCAATTGGACATATTTTTAGTGGTAGGGGAAACCGGAGTACCCGGAGGAAACCTACGCAGACACGGGGAGAACATGCAAACTCCACTCAGAAAGGCCTTGGGCCGACCGGGATTCGAACCCAGGACCTTCTTGCTGAGAGGCGAGAGTGCTAACCCCTCAGTCACCGTGCCGCCGGTGGGACGTGCCCGGAACACCTCCCCAGGGAGGCGTCCAGGAGGCATCCGGAACAGATGCCCGAGCCACATCAACTGGTTCCCCTCGACTTGAAGGAGCAGCGGCTCTACTCCGAGCTCCTCCCGTGTGACTGAGCTCCTCACCCTATCTCTAAGGGAGCGCCCAGCCACTCAGCCAAGGAAGCTCATTTCGACCGCTTGTATCCGCGATCTCGTTCTTTTGGTCATTACCCAAAGTTCATGACCATAGGTGAGGAAGGGAACAAAGATTGACCGGTAAATCGAGAGCTTTGCCTTTCGGCTCAGCTCCCTCTTTACCACAACGGTCCGATACAGCGACCGCATCACTGCGCACGCTGCACCGATCCGCCTGTCAATCTCACGCTCCATTCTTCCCTCACTCGTGAACAAGACCCCGAGATACTTGAACTCCTCCACTTGAGGAAGGACCTCTCCACCCACCTGAAGAGGGCAAGGCACCTTTTTCCGGTCGAGCACCATGGCCTCGGATTTGGAGGTGCTGATTCTCATCCCAGCCGCTTCACACTCGGCTGCAAACCGTCCCAGTGCATGTTGCAGGTCCTGGTTCGTTGGAGCCTACAGGACAACATCATCCGCAAATAGCAGAGATGAAATCCTGTGGTCTCCGAACCGGACCCACTCCGACCCCTGGCTGCGCCTAGAAATTCTGTCCATGAACACAGTGAACAGAACCGGTGACAAAGGGCAGCCTTGGCGGAGGCCAACATGCACCGGGAACATTGACCTCAGAGTTGTCTACTAAAACCTGAATCAAACCCCAAATTTCAGATCAGACAAAGACAGAAGAGAGCGACAGAACAAGAGGTGGGGCAGGTGGAGGTCTCTTCTTTAGGTTCAGTTTTCTTCAGATTGTTATATTTGAGAGCAACACATACTTTATACTTGAGGAGGTAGAAGTAAAACACATTTATAAACGTCAACCTCTTCATTGCATGAATAAATTACGTGGAGCTGTTGATGCTGCAGTGAACACATTGGACGACCTCCAACTTGCACTGGGACGGTTTGATTATCACTGGGTTGATAATCAGGACGTCCAAGTCCTCTGGCCTGGTTCTGGACCTTTTTGTCCACATGAATTAAGTCGTAATGCCTAAAGATGCTGTGACTCTCTTCCAGGCCTGTGGGTGGCGCTGTGTGGAAGTCTGGCCATCAGACAGACTTAAGCAGGACACACACAAAACGTACAGCTCCCGTTGATGTTAGTTCTCAGAATCTCTTCAGACACAACACCCACAGAGCGATGTGCACGTCCTCCAGAACCTGGTTTAAAAATGTATGATTTCACAGCTCCAAAACGCCGGCTTCCCAAGGATAATATACTGGATCTCTCTGATCTCTCTCTGCTCTCTTTCTGATTCAGAGAGAGTCTGGTCTGTCTAGTATTATCTCTCTGATCTCTCTCTCTCTGGTCTCTCTCCTCCTCGTGTCCCTCTCTGATATTTCTCTGGTCTCTACCAGGTCTCTCTCACTCTCTCTCTCTCTTTTTCTGGTCCCTCTCTTGTCCGTCTCTTGTCTCTGTCTGGTCTCCCTCTGGTCTCTCTCTGATCTCTCTCTCTCGCTGGTATCTCTTGTATCTAGTATTTGCTCCCTTCATGTTCTCACAACATGTTTGTGCCTCCTGTGTAGCTGTATGTGTCTGTTCTGTGCACGAATGAGGAGGGGGTCAGTTGGAGACCTCCCCCAACACACACACACACACACACACACACACACACACACACACACACACACACACACACACACACACACACACACACACTCACAGGACCCTCGTGGCTGCTCTGCTGGCCCTTGCAGCTGCTGTCACACCAGTCTTCTCTACTCTCGCAGTCGGCTTGGAGTCTCCCCTCTCGCTCCTTCTGCTCCTCTCCTCCTCCTCCTCCTCTGCTCCTTCTGCTCCTCTGCTCATGGTCCCCGCACATGGTTTCGTCCCTGGGCTCCGGGCGCAGTGACCGCTGACCATGAGCTGTCTGGATGTTATGTACCCGGCTTATGGACATTACACAGCGTACGGCCCCAGTGCTCCAGCCTTCATCAACAGCCTACAGGTAAGACTGCTCTGTGGGACTGCTCTGTGTGGGACTGCTCTGTGGGACTGCTCTGTGTGGGACTGCTCTGTGGGACTGCTCTGTGTGGGACTGCTCTGTGGGACTGCTCTGTGTGGGACTGCTCTGTGGGACTGCTCTGTGTGGGACTGCTCTGTGTGGACTGCTCTGTGTGGGACTGCTCTGTGGGACTGCTCTGTGTGGGACTGCTCTGTGAGACCACTCTGTGTGGGACTGCTCTGTGGGACTGCTCTGTGTGGGACTGCTCTGTGGGACTGCTCTGTGGGACTGCTCTGTGTGGGACTGCTCTGTGGGACCGCTCTGTGTGGGACTGCTCTGTGCGACTGCTCTGTGTGGGACTGCTCTGTGGGACTGCTCTGTGGGACTGCTCTGTGTGGGACTGCTCTGTGGGACTGCTCTGTGGGACTGCTTTGTGTGGGACTGCTCTGTGGGACTGCTCTGTGTGGGACTGCTCTGGGACTGCTCTGTGTGGGACTGCTCTGTGTGGGACTGCTCTGTGGGTGGGACTGCTCTGTGTGGGACTGCTTTGACTGCTCTGTGTGGGACTGCTCTGTGGGACTGCTCTGTGTGACTGCTTGTGGGACTGCTCTGTGTGGGACTGCTCTGTGGGGTGGGACTGCTGCTGTGTGGGACTGCTCTGTGGACTGCTCTGTGGGGACTGCTCTGTGGGACTGCTGGGACTGCTCTGTGGGGACTGCTCTGTGGGACTGCTCTGTGGGACTGCTCTGTGGGGACTGCTCTGTGGGACTGCTCTGTGGGACTGCTGCTCTTGTGGGACTGCTCTGTGGGGACTGCTCTGTGTGGACTGCTCTGTGGAGACTGCTCTTTGTGGGACTGCTCTGTGTGGGACCGCTCTGTGGGACTGCTCTGTGGGACTGCTCTGTGGGACTGCTCTTTGTGGGACTGCTCTGTGTGGGACTGCTCTGTGGGACTGCTCTGTGGGACTGCTCTGTGGGACTGCTCTTTGTGGGACTGCCTCTGTGTGGGACTGCTCTGTGGGACTGCTCTTTGTGGGACTGCTCTGTGTGGGACCGCTCTGTGGGACTGCTCTGTGGGACTGCTCTGTGTGGGACCGCTCTGTGGGACTGCTCTGTGGGACTGCTCTGTGGGACCGCTCTGTGTGGGACTGCTCTGTGGGACTGCTCTGTGTGGGACTGCTCTGTGTGGGACTGCTCAATTCAATGAATTTTAGTATAGCCCTAAATCACAACAGCAATTATCTCCCAGGACTTTACAAACCTATCATTTTGCCAACACAGATCAGAGAATCAAACAGGTCAAACACAAACAACAGAACGATTAAAAACACATTGATCCATAAGGCGCAGATGACCAAAGTCTATAAATGTTGATAAAGTCCATTAATGTTGTGTCCATGTGTCCTGGATCATCTGCAGAGAACTGATCTGCAAACAAGATCCACTTAGATTGTGTGTCTACGAACTTGCACCTTCTTTCTGTTCAATTCCATTGAATTTATTTTTGTATCGCCCTAAATTTACAACAGTAGTTATGTGGGAGGACTTGAAACGGTTGATTCGCCAACGCAGATCAGAGAATCAAACACAAGAAATGCAATGAGAGAAAAACACACAGAGCCGTTGGATCGGACGTTGCAAATTATCCTTGGCCATAAATGTTGTAGTGTTTCACATGCTGATTGTGTACACTTGTTCCGAGCAAGCAATCAATAAATACATTTATAAATGTTGTTGAATGTTGCGTGTCGTGGATCCTCTGCAGAAAACTGATCTGAGCTCTGCAAACAAGATCCATTTAGATTCTCTGTGTGTACGAACTTACGTCTTCTTCCTGTTGTTTTGGTGATTGGGGAAAAATGTAAAAAGTCAGAATATGGTGATTTATGTTTAAGCTGCAAGTAAAGTTTAGTGCCCGACTCGGGGAATTGGTTTTGCAGAAAGAAAACATCTACAATCACTATGCTATCACAATGAATACAATGAATTTCTCCATTGTGAGAGAATAAAGTTTCTCTCTCTCTCTGAAGATGGACGAGAGGAGGTGATGTCACGAAGCGGGTTTAAGCCCAGTACAAATGTTCTACGCTGTAACAAAGGACACAGACGCTTTTGGGTTCAAGTAACAGAAACACAGCTCTACCGATATAATAATTAAAATAGATGGATAGATACTTTATTTATCCTTAATTCAATGCAATTGGACGACTGTGAATGATGTAATAGAACATGAAATGACCATGGAGACATGAATCATTACTTCATCTCGTTGAGTTGACCACTTTATGTCTGTATACAAGGTTTTTGAGTCTTGGGTTAGCTTACCCTAACCCTTGGCTTGAGTCTACAATGTAAAACTCTTGAATTGTTTTTGAATCTGTATTTTCAGTGCCTCACTTGTTAAAGCTGCAGTGTGTATTTTTCTAAATGTTCTTTTTTCGTCTATTAACCATTTTACACCATTGTCCCTTGTCAGAAAGTAAGCTGGATTTGTTGCTTATTTAGTCATGGGTTAAAGACGCAGTTAGCGATGTTGTTAGCTTAGCCGTAGCACCACTCTGGAAACCACTCCCCCCTCCCCTCCCTCTCCACCAAACCAAACATCCAGCATTTTCTTTTCTTTGTCACAGGGAGAGTGGGCGGCAAACGTGAAATTGGCATTTTCTGTTCAGTCATTTTAGGTTTTAGAAAGTCTGATAACTCTGGTGCACTCGCGAGAAACAGGAAGAGGGTGAAGGCGGTAGACACATCCCATTGGTTCGTTGGGAATGAACGAATCCCATTGGTTTATTTTTATCGGTCCTCTCCAAAATATTTTGTATTCATTTTTGGAGACTATAGACATCTGGTCAATTCCCTTACTATTTGAAAACACATGATAACTTGATACTTTTAGGGTTTAGGGACATTTTCCCACAATATATATAAAAAAAAATGCATCTGGAAATAATCACTGACTGCATTTTTAAGTCATTTTAAATCTGGAGTACCTGAATTTCCGACGATTCAAAAAGGATTGTTCCACTCCATCACCAAAACACAGTGGCTCAGTTGGTTGAGGAATAGTCAGTGGTTAGAGCAATGGTGTTTGAACCTAATGGTTGTGGGTTCGATCCCCCCACGACTCATCTCACCTGCTCCCATTGACTTCTGCTGTTGCTGTGTCCAAGGGAGAGACACCTAACCCCACTTTGCCTGAAGCCCCCACTGAAACCAAGGCTGTGTTTTTATTTACGAGAGCAGCCCTCCTCCTGTCGACAAAGAGAGTGAAAATGGCAGCTCTCATTGTCGCTCCCTCGACCCAGAACTGGACACATGAAGAGGATGAACATGAATGAATGAATTGCATAATAAAGTAGATCCTGCTTGCACTGCTCACAGCTGTTTTATACAAACAAACACTGTTATAGATAGTGTTTAGTTTACACTTCACATATACACATCTCCAGAGGCTGAACCTTTTCAGGACCAGAGCTGGAAGCAGGCACATGATTTTAGTGGTCGGGGAAAACCTGCACCTGGAGGAAACCTAAACACACACAGAGAACATGCAAACTCCACTCAGAAAGACCCTGCTCCGGGATTCGAACCCAGAGCCTTGTTGCTGAGCGTGTATACAACGTCTTAAAGGGGACAGTGTTATTGTCGTGAGGTGAGACAAAGGAGGACTCAAAAGCAGGAATGCCACAATAATGATTAAATAAAATAAAGTCCAGGTGAAAATAAAACGCAAAAAATCCTACATCGGAACCAGGAACGAAGACAGACAAAGACAATACGATGGACCAGAAACAAGGGGAGAGGAGCACAGGTACATATAGACACAGGTACATGAGGGCCCTGTCCCGATACCCACACTGCACCTTACACTCCTCTACGAAGTGTGCATTTGTTTGAAGTGCGCAAAAGGCGGAATCGGGACATTTTACGATACGTCATCAACTAGTCAAGACATGGTCATTTTCAGACTTATACTTTATAAAAAATAAAGGTCATTTCGTCCGACCCTGTGAGAAACAAAAGCAGTAGATAATGAGTTGCTCCACACACGTTAAAATAAAAGTATTCTAAGTATTCTTGGGTTTCATTAAACTGGCCACTAGGGGGCGAATGAGCAGAGGTGGGACAGATTTGGTCCCATTGAAAACCATGTAAAGTCTGTTTTGGAGTCAAAGGCTCTCCTCCTGTGCGGTGTACGGTTGTTGGAACAGTCTTAATCGGGGACACTCAATTCTAAGGGAGTAATAACAAATATTTCTCAAAAGAGTCTTGATGTCGAGCATTTTTGGGAAAAAAACAGAATAAATTGCTGCGTTTCATTGGGGTGGCCTGCAGGGGGCGCTTATCTGGGAAAGCCTTGATCCACCTCGCCCGCCTCATTCCAGTGATTTTTTCAAAGTGTCCTCCTTTATCTGAGACCACAGTTGGAACATGAACAAACTCTGGTCTTTCTCTGTATTTGTGCGGTTGCTACAAGCGTACACCGCACAAAAAGATGGCATTTTGACAGCTCTTCTTCTTCTACTATATCTCCGTGTATAAACCACTTCTTCTTCTACTATATATCTGTGTATGTAAACCCAGCAGACTGAACCACCAGGATACGTCACGTCCTGTCCTACGTTTGTTGTTCGCGCCACTGCCCTGACGTCATATGGAACCCAAGAAAATTGGTTATTCGTAATTAGAGATAGCTGTATAATTTTAAGTTAAATGTGGGTAACTAACTGTTATCCCTCGACCCAGAGCGGGGCGGGGCCAAAGACCTCCCTGGAGAATTGGGACACCCTACGCACTCGCACCCATCATCGGGAACGCGCAAATGAGGGGAGAAACACATCATGGTAGGGCAGACGATCAACACAGGGGAACAAAACAGGAAGTCAAACTGAAACCAAATTAACTGAGAACTGATATCAAAATAAAACCAAAGTACGAAATAACACAAAATCCACACCGTGACAGTTAAAGGACTCTGTTTGTGAATGTGGCAGAGCACAGCAGTTATTCAGCTCTTATTAAAGCTGGGCAACCTAAATTAAAGAAGCAGTATGTAAAAATGTGGCCAAAAGTGGTACTGCAGCCTCTCCCACTCTCCCTGACTCAGGTTGCCAGATATGCAGACGAATCCAGCTGGGACCATAACAGCTGAATAGACAAGAGTTTTGTCAACAACAAATCTATAACCAACACCTTTTTCACAAAGATAGAAATCCTGGTTTTATTCCTTGTTTTGTCAGAATCATAACAACACCTTTTATAGTTCTGCGCCACATGGTACTTTACCAGTGAGATTAGCTCCACACGGTGAGCTCTGGCGCTCAGATCACAGACTTTCTGATTGGTGAAACGGTGGAGGGCGGGACATTGAAATGAAAACAATAACAAGATTTAGGGGCTGTAAAACTCATTTTGAAATTAGAATATCTCGGCTGAACTTTGTGATCATTTAAACGAAGTATTGGAAAAGAGCATGTTTTATTAATGCCTTTTGACAGATTATGGCCACTTGACATGAAAATCTTTAGCCTGGCCTTATCCATTCATACACTCCGCTCAATCATCATTTCACTGCATGTAACGTCTGGGTCTGGTCCCTGTGTTTGCGATTACAACCTGTTGAATTCTCTCCGACCAATCAGAGAGCGCGGGAGGCGGGTGTTGTAGTTAAATGTGGGTGACGTCAAGAGTTTGCGTCGAAAGGGAAGGTTGTAGTTTGGCAGTGGTGAGAAATGCGAGAAATGCGAGCAAAAGGAATGTTTAGCAAATGTAATCGCTGGCAAAAATTGTGGCGCTACTCCCCACGGGCTCTGTTAGCAGCAAAAGAGATGACTAGGCTAAATGCTAAAGCTAGGCTAAATGCTAAATCTCTTTGAGCTGAGAGCTGATTGGCCGGGTGAGGATGATCCTTTCTTTTTCGCTTTTCCGTCTGAAAAGCTAAAGTAATCCAGGTCCGACCTCTTGCACATGGTCTGTGTCCTACTCCCACTTTTTATCACATTTTAGCTGAAAAAAACAAAAACCATCCATTGATAAAAGATTAGAACTTGGATTAAGGTGCAACAGCTCAAGGTCTGCAGTGACGTTAAAAGTGACGTTTTTTACGGATTCTTCTTCTCTCTGATTAGCGTCTGCTCCGTGTTGGCTTTAGGTGACGTCGATCTGCCCTGTGTGTGTGTGTGTGTGTGTGTGTGTGCGTGTGTGTGTGTGTGTGTGTGTGTGTGTGTGTGTGTGTGTGTGTGTGTGTGTGTGTGTGTGTGTGTGTGTGTGTGTGTGTGTGTGTGTGTGTGTGTGTGTGTAGTTTTACACATGGATTATGGATGACAGAAGCGAGGCAACCAGTCTGTGCCATGACCAACCATTCACACACACACCAGACTCATTCTAATGTGGGTGAAGTGTCTTGCCTAAGGACACAACCACAGTTTGGCACTTTACAGCTGCAGCCACCCCACTGTGTCACCTGGTGTTCCCATCACAGCACTAACCAGACCCTGCTCTGCTTAGCTTCTTTCACCTGCAGTGTAAATACTACACAAACAAACATTCAGCATTTTCTTTTCATTATGTCCCTTGAACATGGTGTTAGACCAGCAGAACACAGAGACCAGCTGAGCACAGAGACCAGCAGAACACAGAGACCAGCTGAGCACAGAGACCAGCAGAACACAGAGACCAGCAGAACATAGAGACCAGCTGAGCACAGAGACCAGCAGAACACAGAGACCATCTGAACACAGAGACCAGCTGAGCTCAGACCAGCTGAACACAGAGACCAGCTGAGCTCAGACCAGCTGAACACAGAGACTAGCTGAACACAGAGACCAGCTGAACACAGAGACCAGCAGAGCTCAGACCAGCTGAACACAGAGACCAGCAGAGACCAGTGAATGGGGACTTGGGGCTCATTAAGAAAAGCGTGTTTTGGATGCGAGCCGTGCGTGCGGGAAGCGAGTGTGCGTTTATGAGCCGCGCCATGTGTGATGTCGCTGAGTAAATATAGCGAGCTGCTGTAAGAGCAGGAGGACAGGCCAAAAGTGACTTCATGTAGAAACACTATCTCCCCCAGCGACTCCCCCCACACCCCCCTCACCCCCCTCCTCCCCTCCTCCCCCCTCCACAGCAACAGGGACTGAGGTCCGACCCCAGCAGGTACTGCGGGGTGTTGTTTTCTACTTTAATACTAATACTAATACTTTAATCTACTGAGCCCTGTTTCCACCAGTCCTACTCTACTCTACTCTACTCTACTCTACTCTACTCTACTCTACTCTACTCTACTCTACTCTACTCTACTCTACTCTACTCTACTCTACTCTACTCTACTCTACTCTACTCTACTCTACTCTACTTTAGTCCCTCATGGTACTGGTTCAGTCCAGGCCGAGCTGGTACTAAAGTGTTCTGACTGCTTCTAGAGCAGTTTCTCTCTCTCCGTCTCTCTCTCTCTCATCTCTCCCTCTGGACTCTTTTTCTGGTCTCTGTATACCTCTCTCTTCTCTTTCTCTCTGGTCTCTCTCTGGTCTCTTTTTGTTGTCTTTTGTTTCTCTCTCTCTTTCTTTCTTTCTCTGGTCTCTCTCTCTCTCTGGTCTCTCTGTTCTCTCTCTAGTCTCGCTTTCTCTGATCTCTCTGGTCTCTCTCTCTGGTCTTTCTCTAGTGCAGTGTAGAGCAGAGCAGAGCAGAGCAGAGTAGAGTAGAGTAAAGTAGAGTGTGTTGATGCTGTGACTCACATCAGTCACATGGTGCAGCAGCTCACATCAGTCACATGGTCCAGCAGCTCACATGGTGCAGCAGCTCACACCTGTCGCCTCAGCCCACAGAGGCAGAGAGTGACGTATGTGGCCTTTTGTTTTGCCACAGTTAGAACTGGTCCAACAAGAACCATTTGGAACAAACTCACATCTGGCGCTAAGACTCGCACACAACTGAGAGAGAGGAAAGTTCTGGTCCTTTAAGGTGTTTGATCCAAATCACAACCGAACCCACACTAATTAACAGCTAATTAACTGCTAATTAGGTAATATGTTTGCCTAATTAGCTATAATTGGTATTTATTAAGCACCAATTCTACATGGCCTTATTTAACATCTAACTAACTACTACCGGACACATTTCCGTGTGGGTTAGAGTTAGAGTTAGAGTTAGAGTTAGAGTTAGGCTACACTAATTAGCACTTTATCTGCTGTTCATTAGTGAGGGCTAATCTAATAGTAATAGTAGTTTTTCGTGGATCATTTTTGTCTTAATGGTCTTTCCCATGATGCAATGGGGTGGATGGATGCAAAAATATAGTGATGCATTAGAGCAGGGGTGTCTAAACTTAGATCTAGTAGGGCCACTTTAGTTCACCAGACGTGTCCAGGGGCAGAGGCAGAGTCATACTTTTCTGAGCTTTAAAATAAGCTGAGGTTGGAGCTGAAGTTGGCTGAATGACAAATAACCATCTCACCAGCTACATGAGCATCAATAATGGAGGTACTGTCTGACTCGTTATGACTCGTTATGGGTCCATGGGTCTCGGTAAATTGTGTTTTAGAAAAGCTTTAGAGCATTGTGTTTGCACGCTCTCTGCCGCTAACACAATGTAGCCATGGAGATCATAAACACAGAGTCATCCAGCCAACTTCAGCTCCGCCAACACGCTCAGGTCATACCTCTGAGATCTAGCTGTAGACTTTTTGTATTCTATTGTACCAGAAAATTCCATAAATGCCGCTAAATGTTTCTAGTGAGAATGTAAACATGTGTCATTCAGCCAACTTCAGCACAGTCAAATGTGAATCATTATGGGCATGATGTAAGTAAGTAAGGTTCTTTATATAGCGCATATATACAGTACATACCAAGGACATAAGAATGTCATACCTCATTTTAAAACCAATTTTAATTCTTTTTTTCTCTGCCCCTGAACTGGTCTGTAGAACTAAAGAGACCTTTGTTTTTGGGGAAAGTGACCAAACAGGGTTCAGGTTGATGGTTGTGTTTGGGGTCTAAGTGACTTCAGTTTTGTGGACATTAGAATTTCTGACAAAGGGTTCTGCACATGTTGTTCTTCTTCATCACTTTTTTTCTGTCTGTAAATGTTTCTGCAGCACAGTGTTCATGGTTTTACACTGATCCAGACCAGAGCAGAGACCATGGAGGAATTTACTGTTTTTGTTGTTGAAAAATGCTAATAAAGCATTCAGAATTTCACATCAACCAGAGGAAGCAGCTCATCACCAGCAGCTGCACTTTTGTACTGTTGTTAGTCACTTTTAGAAGGATTTATTTATGTGTTTGTCTGGATGGATGTGTTTCTGCTGCTGGACATCTGCATGTCTCCGACTGGGATCAGTAAAGTATCTGTCAAATGTATATTATTGTACTGCACAACTGCACTCAACTCAGTCCTTCACTCTGTGTGTGTGGCTGTAGAAAGAACTGTTAAATGTTTTGGTGAAACTTAACTTAAATAACAAGATACTGCTTCAGGATTTTAAAGTTAACTGTTTCCCTCACTCTCTGGTCTCTCACTTTCTGGTCTCTCTCTCTTTGATATCTCTTTGGTCTCTCTCTCTTGTCTCTCTCTGATCTCTCTCTGGTCTCTCTCTGGTCTCTCTGGTCTCTCTCTGGTATCTCTGGTCTCTCTCTGGTCTCTCTCTGGTCTCTCTGGTCTCTCTCTGGTCTCTCTGGTCTCTCTCTGGTATCTCTGGTCTCTCTCTGGTCTCTCTCTGGTCTCTCTGGTCTCTCTCTGGTCTCTCTCTGGTCTCTCTCTGGTATCTCTGGTATCTCTGGTCTCTCTCTGGTCTCTCTCTGGTCTCTCTGGTCTCTCTCTGGTCTCTCTGGTCTCTCTCTGGTCTCTCTGGTCTCTCTCTGGTATCTCTGGTCTCTCTCTGGTCTCTCTCTGGTCTCTCTCTGGTCTCTCTCTGGTCTCTCTCTTGTCTCTCTTCAGTTTTGCTGCCAAATCTTATTAGAACTGAAAAAACGTTTGGTCCTGACCCAGATCTGTGTCCCCAGGCCCCCGCTGCCCTGACGCCTCCTCACAGCAGGGACCGCATGGACACGCCCAGGGGCCCCGAGGGTCCACCTGGGGTCCCAGCCACTTCCTCTTCCTCCACCTCTTCCTCTGCACTGTCATCTCCGACAACCGTGGGCCCCCGGTCAGAGGAGGGCCCCAAAGAGAAGGCAGAGGCCCCTGAAGCGGAGTACGTGAGCGCGCGCTGTGTTCTCTTCACGTACGTCCAGGGCGACATCAGCAGCGTGGTGGACCAGCACTTCTCCAGGGCCCTCAGCTCCTACATGGACGGGGAGGGCAAGAGGCGGGCCCCTGAGGCCCAGGCACCAGGTATGGTCACACTGCATCATAGGACACAGTGTGGGCTGGTTACAGGGCTGGGACGCAGAGGTGGGTTGGAGATGGATAGATACAGTAGATACTTTATTGATCCCTGTAGGAGAAATTCAGGCGTCCGGTAGCAGCGAAAATACAACATGAAATTGATCATTCTAAAAAGCTGACAATAGTAATGTTCAGGAACAGCCCTCCAGGTCACAGCAGCAGAGGTGGAGTCGCCTCTGGGTGGAGCAGGACGGGTCACAGCAGCAGAGGTAGAGTCGCCTCTGGGTGGAGCAGGACGGGTCACAGCAGCAGAGGTGGAGTCGCCTCTGGGTGGAGCAGGACGGGTCACAGCAGCAGAGGTAGAGTCGCCTCTCGGTGGAGTAGGAAAGGTCACCAGATGGAGTAACCACTGGTTCGGACCATTGTCTCTGCTCTGGTCCAAAGTAAAATGCTCAATGCTTCATTAGCCTTTTTCAAAAAGTTAGCATTCCTTCAGTGGATTTTCACCTGATCCACTTGGTTCAGACCATGAATCCTCTCTGCTCTGGTCTGGACCAGTGTAAAACCATTAAGACTGTATTGCAGAAACATCTCTCTTGGAAAATAAAAATAAAACTTGTAAAACAGAAAACAACAACTGTTTCAGAGACACTTAGGACTTTCTGCCGTTTTCAGCTCATTCAGAAGTAAACACTTGGATTTGTGAAATGATCTCAATACAATTCAATTCATTTTTTGTGTATCCCTTAATCACAACAGTGGTTATCTGAGGACTTTACAAAACTGTTCGTCAACATAGATCAGAGAATCCACCAGCCATTGGTCCATAAGAGGCATGACCAATGTCCAGAAATGTTGATATCAATGTCTTTGAATTTGGAGTGTCCTGGATCATCACCACTGTCCTTAGACCAGTACCACTGTAAAAACCAAGTGGGAGAAAAAAAGAGAAACCTCGGGGCCCACATTTCGAGCAGTATCTGCTCCCACAGACGGACGAGCTGTAGATCCAGGACTCAGGCTATAGAACAAGGACCGAGGCCACACAATGCCCATGAGTCTGGGCTGGGGAGGACAGTGGGGTCCCATCATCACAACATGAAACCGACAACGGGACACTATGTGGAGTGTGTTGCTGCTTATACCCGTCTCCACATAGACTAGAGGCCACCTGCGGTACTGCATCCTAAATCCACACGGACTGTAAGGAGTTTTCAACACAAACCTCAATGTTTACAAAAAACGGCTCATCCTCAGAGACAGAACTAAGATTGTGTGAGGATTTAAGAGTCTCTTGTAATCAGGAAATCCTATAGTTTTATAAAAATCCACACTCTTGTGCCACACACTCGCTCTGATTGGTCCGAACGCTCACATGACCGTTGTCCGTCTCTGGAGACAGAAGTCCTGGGAGTTAAATGTTGCAGCGTTGGAGCTTGTTATTTCGGAGCCACACAGGACGCGCTGACCCTTCGCTTTGGGGCAGCTGGGAGTCTGCCGGGGTCAGGGGTCAGGGCTGATGTCCCACTGATGAAGGAGGGTGACAACTGTTGACCATTCTGAGCACAGACACAAGCCCTCACACCACAACACATGAGGTTTCAAATGATTTATTCCGAGCCGGTCGTGAGAAAAAGCAGATCTGACACGACACCAATGTTTTGTGAGTGATTGTGATTTTTTTTTGCACAGCGTTTTGAGTGACCTTGGTCTGTAAAATGAACTATATAAATAAACCCTACTTACTCACTCTCTGGTCTTACTCTCCTATCTCTCTCTTTCTGGTCTCTCTCTGGTCTCGCTCTCTGGTCTCGCTCTCTGGTCTCGCTCTCTGGTCTCGCTCTCTGGTCTCACTGTCTGGTCTCGCTCTCTGGTCTCTCTCTGGTCTCCTTCTAGTCTGTCTCTGGTCTCTCTCTAGTCTGTCTTTGGTCTCTTTCTGGTCTCTCTGGTCTCTCTCTGGTCTCTCTCCGGTCTCTCTCTGGTCTCTCTCTGGTCTCTCTCTGGTCTCTCTGGTCTCTCTCTGGTCTCTCTCCGGTCTCTCTCTGGTCTCTCTCTGGTCTCTCTCCGGTCTCTCTCTGGTCTCTCTCTGGTCTCTCTCTGGTCTCTCTCTGGTCTCTCTCTGGTCACTGGTCTCTGGTCTCTCTCCGGTCTCTCTCTGGTCTCTCTCTGGTCTCTCTCTGGTCTCTCTCTGGATCCTCCTGAGGAAAAACTCTAAAAACCCAGTTGGAAAAAATGAGAAAATAAAACCTTTTATAAACATAGAAACAGAAAAGTCACTCATTAGGCCATCAGAACTAAAAAGCCGTCAAATTGACTGCTCTGGGAGTTCTGGTGTTAAATGCCCCGTCAGCTCAGGGGCGTCGCCGCTGCCCCTGCCCCACAACAGGCTAAGTTTGAACAGCAGCATAAGCAGCCAGTCCCGCGGTCGTGTCGCCTTCAAACCTCACTCTCACAATGCACACCCCTCCCCCCTCCTCCCCCCTTCTCCCCCCTCTGGCTCCTCACAGCTCAGATTTATTTACCGCATGAAAGGTGCGCAAGGAAACACAAGCCAAGCCGCCGCGTGGTGCCTGTGTGCAGGGCTACAGCTAAATATAAAAGTATACGTCCAAAACGGCAGAATGGGTCAGTGACATTTGGTCAAGGGCGAGAGGGGAGGGAGGGGGAGACAGGTGGGGTTAGGGTACATGCATAGAGACACCCCACCAAAGCCTCGGATTTGCCCCAAAGTCTTGATTTCCTGAAAAAAAGGTGCTTGAGACATGATTCTGTGGCTGATGTCTATTGTCCCGTTCACACTGAGGGAAAGCCCAGGACCACTTCCCTCTGTGCTGACACGGGCTGGTGGGTCAGAAAGACTCGCCCAAGAACCCGCCTCACAACTATGACTTGAGCAACGTCCATTTTGCTTAACACGGGTTTGATCATACATTCATGATATATACATACACTATACACTACATACTGTACACTACATATATACACTACTGTTGCAAAGACAGCCACGCATTTGTGCATAAGCTATAAATATTGTGTGTGTGTGTGTTTGTGTGTAGGTGCCTGCATGTGTGTGTGTACAGTACACACGTGTGTGTTTGTGTGTAGGTGTCTGCATGTGTGTGTGTGTTTGTGTGTAGGTGCCTGCATGTGTGTGTGTGTTTGTGTGTAGGTGCCTGCATGTGTGTGTGTGTTTGTGTGTAGGTGCCTGCATGTGTGTGTGTGTTTGTATGTAGGTGCCTGCATGTGTGTGTGTGTTTGTGTGTAGGTGTCTGCATGTGTGTGTGTGTTTGTGTGTAGGTGCCTGCATGTGTGTGTGTGTTTGTGTGTAGGTGCCTGCATGTGTGTGTGTGTTTGTGTGTAGGTGCCTGCATGTGTGTGTTTGTTTGTATGTAGGTGCCTGCATGTGTGTGTGTGTTTGTGTGTAGGTGTCTGCATGTGTGTGTGTGTTTGTGTGTAGGTGTCTGCATTTGTGTGTGTGTTTGTGTGTAGGTGTCTGCATGTGTGTGTGTGTTTGTGTGTAGGTTTCTGCATGTGTGTGTGTGTTTGTGTGTAGGTGTCTGCATGTGTGTGTGTGTTTGTGTGTAGGTGTCTGCATGTGTGTGTGTGTTTGTGTGTAGGGTTTCTGCATGTGTGTGTGTGTTTGTGTGTAGGTGTCTGCATGTGTGTGTAGGTTTCTGCATGTGTGTGTGTGTTTGTGTGTAGGTGTCTGCATGTGTGTGTGTGTGTTTGTGTGTAGGTGTCTGCATGTGTGTGTGTGTGTTTGTGTGTAGGTGTCTGCATGTGTGTGTGTGTGTTTGTGTGTATGTGCCTGCATGTGTGTGTGTGTTTGTGTGTAGGTGTCTGCATGTGTGTGTGTGTTTGTGTGTAGGTGTCTGCATGTGTGTGTGTGTTTTTGTGTAGGTGTCTGCATGTGTGTGTGTGTTTGTGTGTAGGTGTCTGCATGTGTGTGTGTGTTTTGTGTGTAGGTGTCTGCATGTGTGTGTGTGTTTGTGTGTATGTGCCTGCATGTGTGTGTGTGTTTGTGTGTAGGTTTCTGCATGTGTGTGTGTGTGTTTGTGTGTAGGTGTCTGCATGTGTGTGTGTGTTTGTGTGTAGTGTCTGCATGTGTGTGTGTGTTTGTGTGTAGGTGTCTGCATGTGTGTGTGTGTTTGTGTGTAGGTGTCTGCATGTTGTGTGTGTGTTTGTGTGTAGGTGTCTGCATGTGTGTGTATGTTTGTGTGTAGGTTTCTGCATGTGTGTGTGTGTTTGTGTGTAGGTTTCTGCATGTGTGTGTGTGTTTGTGTGTAGGTGTCTGCATGTGTGTGTGTGTGTTTGTGTGTGGGTGTCTGCATGTGTGTGTGTGTTTGTGTGTAGGTGTCTGCATGTGTGTGTGTGTTTGTGTGTAGGTGTCTGCATGTGTGTGTACTAAAAATCTATACCTGACACAGAAACTTACATGAGAATAATTCATGCAGTCACTTTGTAAACAAACACATGGTGAAGCGAGAACGAGGGACCATGTGTGTCCTGCAGCCTCAGGGACCAGCATCACAGACAGACGATAACCACTCAGCCACAACATGGTCTGAACCAAAACCCTAGACAATGTAGGCAGGTCAAACTCAGGCCCGTGGACCAAATTCGGCCTGCAAACCCCTTGTTAGTGGCCCCTGTAATGATTTTCAATGATCCTGTTTACAGTAACTTGCAGCATTGATGGTGGTGGGCTACTATGGCATGTTATACTTTATTTTAGAGCCCATTATTTCAGGAAAACAACCATATAATTGAATCTGTTCTAAAATGTGAACTGAAATGTACTTAGAAGTTATAGTTACACAAATTTTAGGAAAAAACCACCCTCTCCACTTGGTGAACAAAACTCTCTGGTCTCATTGGACGAGCACGTATCACCAGAATTTTTAGCTATCAATCTCACAATACATCTCTTCTTTATAATTGGCCCATTTTATACTTTTTTATATACTTTTTGCCCGTATCAGCTCTTATGTTTTAAAATTGTACCAGACCAAAATGAGCTTGACCCCCCTGGTCTAATTTTGATCCACTCATTTATTCATGGACCAATTGCATTTCTTGTGTTGGAACTGTTTGATTCTCTGATCTGTGTTGGTGAAGCTTTGCAAAGTCCTCAGATACTGTCACTACTGTTGAGATTTAGGGCGATACAAAAATACATTGAATTGAATTGAACAGACTTCCGCCTTCGTCAGAGGTCTCTAAGCATTGTCTCTCTGGCCTCATTCTGGTCTCTCTCTGGTCTCTCTCTGGCCTCATTCTGGTCTCTCTCTGGTCTCTCACTGGTCTCTCTCTGGTCTCTCTCTGGTCTCTCTCTGGCCTCTCTCTGGTCTCTCTCTGGTATCTCTCTGGTATCTCCCTGGTCTCTCTCTGGCCGCTCTCTGGTCCCACTCTGGTCCCTCTCTGGTCTCTCTCTGGTCTCTCTCTGGTCTCTCTCTGGTCTCTCTCTGGTCTCTCTCTGGTCTCTCTCTGGTCTCTCTCTGGTCTCTTTCTGGTCTCTCTCTGGTCTCTCTCTGGTCTCTCTCTGGTCTCTCTCTGGTCCCACTCTGGTCTCTCTCTGGTCTTTCTACGGTCTCTCTCTGGTCTCTGTCCGGTCTCTCTCTGGTCTCTCTATGGTTTCTCTCTGGTCTCTCTCTGGTCTCTCTCTGGTCCCACTCTGGTCTCTCTCTGGTCTCTCTCTGGTCTCTCTCTGGTCTCTCTCTGGTCTCTCTCTGGTCTCTCTCTGGCCTCTCTCTGGTCTCTCTCTGGTCTCTCTCTGGTATCTCCCTGGTCTCTCTCTGGCCGCTCTCTGGTCCCACTCTGGTCCCTCTCTGGTCTCTCTCTGGTCTCTCTCTGGTCTCTCTCTGGTCTTTCTCTAGTCTCTCTCTGGTCTCTCTCTGGTCCCACTCTGGTCTCTCTCTGGTCTTTCTACGGTCTCTCTCTGGTCTCTGTCCGGTCTCTCTCTGGTCTCTCTCTGGTCTCTCTCTGGTCTCTCTCTGGTATCTCTCTGGTCTCTCTCTGGTCTCTCTCTGGTCTCTCTCTGGTCTCTCTCTGGTCTCTCTCTGGCCTCTCTCTGATCCCACTCTGGTCTCTCTGGTGTCACTCTGGTCTCTCTCTGGTCTCTCTCCGGTCTCTCTCTGGTCTCTGTACGGTCTCTCTCCGGTCTCTCTCTGGTTTCTCTCTGGTCTTTCTCCGGTCTCTCTCTGGTCTCTGTCCAGTCTCTCTCGGGTCTCTCTCTGGTCTCTCTCTGGTCTCTCTCTGGTCTCTCTAAAAACCCAGTGGGGAAAAATGAGAAACCTTGGGGAGGCCCTTTTTTAAATATAGAAACTAGACCACATAGACCACAGATGTACATACGCCCATTACGCTTTCAGAACTAAAAGCCGTCAAATTGACTGGAAGACTTTTGCCTGCGTCAGAGGAATCCAAGCATTGTCTGTACCAGAAGTCTATAATAATCAACACAACACCAATAATTGTTGATTAAAAGATAAATTGAAAACAAAGTTCGAGATACGCCTTCACCCGAGGAATCTGCAACTCCCTCGTCTGTCACAGGCTAAAGGGAATGTTCAAAGTGCATCAATGTCTGGCTCAGAACATGGAGAACGTCTGCCATGCTTCAATGTCAGAGTTAGGGTTAGGGCTTGTTGTGTTGATTCTGTGGTTGTTGATGGTCCTGGCCCCCACTTTGAGAAGCACTGTGCTGGGTATTGTGTTCTGACAGTGTGTGATGTGATGGAGCAGATATGTAGGACACTCATGTGACGCCCCACACACATTTGTCTCCATAAATCAGTCTGCTCCCCCCTCAGCCCCCCCCCCCCCCCCCCCTCACTCTCCCCTGACTCCCCCCTCCCTCCCCTGAAAGCTGTTACCATTCCATCTGAGCAAGCTCGTCCGACCGTAGTTGTACCGAGGTAGCTTCATTCGTTCAGATTCAGTTTATTTGCCATTTGCAGTAAAACCACGTTGGAATAGACGTGCAACAGTCCCCAGTGTGCAGCAGACAAGTACATTAATAAAACAAGCTAAATAAGTACAAGAAACAATTGTTGCTGTGAAATGTATCAACAAAAACAGCTTCTATACAAGTGAGAGATCATTGAAGAGCTTTGTTAGCATGTTAGCATATCCAGATGTCCTGCAGCCAACAATGTCTTCTGCCAGAGGCAGAAGATGGAACATGGCTTTTCCAGGAGCCAGAAGAGTCATTGATCATTCTAAGAGCTGGGTTTAAGAATCTGGATTCAGAGAGAAACAGTCCTCTTTCAGAGCGGAGCATGGTTTGAGGGGACTCGGGGAGAACATCCAAACTCCACACAAAGGCTGAAGGTGGAATTTAAAGCAGTACAAGCGTTAACGTACAGTTCAGTGTATCGGAGCATTTCAAAGGCTTGACTCTCTCTTAGGCCCTTCTCTTTCTGGTCTCTTTCTGGTCACTCTGAAAAGTTCATGTTCTCTACTTCATTTGTTTACCTTTGAATGCTCTGGAAACAGTGGCGAGTCCTTAGTCGCTCTGAAACAGTTGTTGTTCTGTGTTTTACGATAGTTTTGTTGCTTTTTTCTACCTGTCAATGTTACTGCAGAACAGTGTTCATGGTTTTGCACTGATCCAGACCAGAGCAGAGACGATGGTCCCAATCAAACAGATTAAGTGGAAATCCACTGGAGGAATGATAATTATTTTGTATTTAAATGCTGTATTTAAAAGCATTCAGAATTTCACTCTGAACCAGAGCAGAGAAAATGGTCTAACCAGAGGAAGCAGCTCATTACCAGGGGCTGCACCACCGGCTGCTGTAGCATAAAGTGCTGCGTACTTTGTTTCTATTGTTGGTAATGTTTAGATTGATGTATTTATGTGTTTGTTTGGATGGATGTGTTTCTGCTGCTGCTGGACACCTGCTTTTCTCCACCTGGGATCAATAAAGTATCTATCTGTGACCTTTGTGAGCTCTGGGATTGGCTGAAGTCTCTGACTTCTGTGAGCTCTGGGATTGGCTGAGTCCCTGACCTCTGTCCTCTCTGTCCTCAGAGGCGCCCCCCAGTGGCCGCAGGAGCTTCCCCCCTTCCTTCTGGGACAGTAACTACACGTCGCCCCCGAGTCGGTCCCACTGTGAGCCCGCCCCCTCGTACGCTGTGGACCCGTACGGCCTGTCCCACCCCCACCACCCTCACCACCCCCACCACCCTCACGCCCCTGAGTCCTGGGGCTACCCTCAGCCTCAGTACGCTCCCCCCAGACCCCTGCATGAACTGTACCCGCCCTCAGCCCTGGAGCCTCACTACGGGCCACTTCTCATGCCTAGTGTGAGGCCCCCGCACCTGTCTGCCATGCCCCCCCACTACGAGGTCAGCAAGCTGGAGCCCCCCAGCCCCTGGCCCCCAGGACTACTGCCCGCGGGGGACATGGGCCAGAGCCTGGCCCTCAACATGGACACAGGTACGCGGCCTCACCTGAGGGTTCATTATGTCTCTTCATGTTTAAGGCTTAGAAGGTTCTCTCAGGATTCTGGAACTACCAGAACGCCCAGAGCTGCTCCCTTTTAAACCCAAAGAAATCTGAGAAATTCCCCCCAGAAAGTTTTAGTTTTATTAAAAGTAAATTCCCTTACCTTAGAATATGGGTTCTCCAAAAATCACTGTGAACCCCTTTATGTGATCGTGGTCAGAGAAATATAAAAATACAGATGAGGTACTGCCACTAAAATCCTTTACAATCAGTAAAATCCTCCAGCTCTGGTCCTGAAGAGCATCAACACCTGGTCCCTGTTACTACGGCGACCACTGCTCCTGACAGAGCCTAAAGATAATGAAGGTCTGACTTAGAAAAAGACAAAAGAAAAGTTGTTGAAATCCATTGTCGTTGCAAGCTCATTCGAACCATTTTCTTTCTTTATTTCAAGCTCATACAGGAGTAAATGATTGTATTGTACAACGAAAATATGTCTCAAACGTACATGAACATACATTTTACAGTTTCCTTTGTTCACTCCTGTCGAAGCCTGAACTCGGAAGAAGTCTGACGAGCAACACATGAGCCTCATCATACGCTTCCATCTCAACACAGAACTACTCACCTTTACGTTTATGACACAGTTTTAAGAGAAGAGCACTTATCAAATTCTCTACTTATACAGTTTTGCATGTATTTTGCTTCCACATTCACTGATTATTCCCCTTGTGTGCCTGACTCTACCCTCAGACCAAAGAGGCCTTTATTAGTTTTTTTTTCAGAGAGACAGCTCCCTCTGCACCATGAGCCGCTACCAAAACACACGCTGGTAGCCACACATTTATAATTATTTTCCATCTGTACATTAGCAGCATGAGGCTCCGGGTAAAGAGACAGTGACACATGTGGTTCTACATCGCACATTCTGACCTTAGTTCAAAGTATTGCACAGATGAACAACATGTGAGCTCCGGTCGGCAGTGTTCGTTAGTCCTAATTGTTCGTTGTACAGTCTGAGACACTGGTCAATGACTATCCCCATGTGTTGTGTTCTCCGTGACTCTCCAGGTCCCAATAACAGTCTCCTCTTTCTCCTGCTCTGGACCTGTGTCTTCGCCATGACGACCGAAGCCAGTCTCACCATTGTCCTCTCTCCGCAGGTCTGCCGCAGCACAAGAAAGCCAAGGAGCTGTACTGGTTCTAACGAGACCTAACGAGGGAGCCAATTAGCTACCCCAACCCCCTCCCCCACCGCAGCCGGATGCGTGTGCGGCCGAGATAAAGCGCTCACACGGTTACAATTGTGTCGGTGGAACGGACTCTGGCGCCGCGCACTGACCCGGTTGGAACGGACTCACAGGACAAACGGGGAGAGGGGGGGGGGTCCATCTCATTTCACATGTCATTTTTTTTTTTTTCGTTTTTGCTTTTCAGTTATTTATTGCATTTTTGTGAAATTTGGTGCCACTTTAGCAAAAGGCTGCTTCCACTCAACAGTGTTTATTTCCTATTGAAGAAAATTGACAGATTTGAATTCATATCACTTCACTGTATCTGTGCATCGCCTCAAATCTCAACAGAAGTCTTCTCGGGGGACTTAACAAAGTTGTGGATTTGCCAACAACAAATCAGAGAATCCAACAGTTCAAAGACAGGAAATGCAATAATAACTAATACATAGGAGCCATTGGTCCATAGGGAACAGGACGACCACTGTCCAGAAATGTTAATAAATGTCCTTACGTGTCCAGGATCATCAGGCTGTAGATCCAGGACTGAGGCTGTAGATCCAGGACTGAGGCTGTAGACCCAGGACTGAGGCTGTAGATCCAGGACTGAGGCTGTAGACCCAGGACTGAGGCTGTAGATCCAGGACTGAGGCTGTAGACCCAGGACTGAGGCTGTAGATCCAGGACTGAGGCTGTGGATCCAGGACTGAGGCTGTAGATCCAGGACTGAGGCTGTAGATCCAGGACTGAGGCTGTAGACCCAGGACTGAGGCTGTAGATCCAGGACTGACTGTAGATCCAGGACTGAGGCTGTAGATCCAGGACTGAGGCTGTAGACCCAGGACTGAGGCTGTGGATCTAGGACTGAAGCTGTAGATCCAGGACTGAGGCTGTAGACCCAGGACTGAGGCTGTAGACCCAGAACTGAGGCTGTGGATCCAGGACTGAGGCTGTAGACCCAGGACTGAGGCTGTAGACCCAAGACTGTGGCTGTAGATCCAGGACTGAGGCTGTAGACCCAGGACTGAGGCTGTAGACCCAGGACTGAGGCTGTAGACCCAGGACTGAGGCTGTAGATCCAGGACTGAGGCTGTAGACCCAGGACTGAGGCTGTGGATCTAGGACTGAAGCTGTAGATCCAGGACTGAGGCTGTAGACCCAGGACTGAGGCTGTAGACCCAGGACTGAGGCTGTGGATCCAGGACTGAGGCTGTAGACCCAGGACTGAGGCTGTAGACCCAGGACTGAGGCTGTAGACCCAGGACTGAGGCAGTAGATCCAGGACTGAGGCTGTAGACCCAGGACTGAGGCTGTAGACCCAGGACTGAGGCTGTAGATCCAGGACTGAGGCTGTAGACCCAGGACTGAGGCTGTGGATCTAGGACTGAAGCTGTAGATCCAGGACTGAGGCTGTAGACCCAGGACTGAGGCTGTAGACCCAGGACTGAGGCTGTGGATCCAGGACTGAGGCTGTAGACCCAGGACTGAGGCTGTAGACCCAGGACTGAGGCTGTAGACCCAGGACTGAGGCTGTAGATCCAGGACTGAGGCTGTAGACCCAGGACTGAGGCTGTAGACCCAGGACTGAGGCTGTAGACCCAGGACTGAGGCTGTAGACCCAGGACTGAGGCTGTAGACCCAGGACTGAGGCTGTAGATCCAGGACTGAGGCTGTAGACCCAGGACTGAGGCTGTGGACCCATGACTGAGAAGGCTCCCAGGCGAAGTCCAGGCCGGGGGAGACAGTCCACAGGTGCAGATTACGGAAGCCGGATTCAGGGTTCCCTTCTTCACCCCATGACACAGACAAAAGAACAGCAGGTGAATAGCAAGAGACAGACTACAGCTGAAGTAATAATGACGACAGATAAAGCAGTTTGACTTTGGAATTACATTTGACATTTTTCTGTGTTTGATCATTGTTACGAGTGAACGTCTAAAACTGTGGTAAATGTGGGAGAGTAGAGCTCTTGTGAGAAAAAACACACCACAACACATTGTTTCATGCAGTTTTAAAAGATCGTTCTAATACTTGATCACCATCCCTCTGGGTCGTAACGGTCATGGAAATGCTTTTTGCCTTTTTAGACGTTTTGCAATTAACCTTACATTTCTCCAAATTAACCCAATATGTAAGTTCCCACTTCAAACACAAGGTGGAGTTGTTTCAGGAGCCCAAAAACCTCCTTTATCCACTGTACATTTTTATCCCATGTTAATTCTACTTGAGGATATTTGGCATTTAATGTTTTAGAATGAGTTCTAGAAGCTATTGGTCCTGTTGGCACAATGGCCACATGTGGTGATAGTGTCCATAATGAAGGGGTCTCCATGTGGTCTTTATGTGGTCACAGCTTGATCTCTATGTGGTCTCCATATGGTCTCCGTGTGGTCTCTATGTAGTCTCCGTGTGGTCTCCATGTAGTCTCCATGTGGTCTCCATGTTGACCCCTTTTTTCTTACAACTTGAGTCTGGCGTCCAGCCGCTGTCCAAGGGTCTCCAGCTCTGTCCAGGGGTCTCTATCTCTCACATTTACATTAAACACATACAATTCTACGGTCCCCACCTTTAAACCTAACTTTGGTTCAAACGTTTTTTAATAAAGTGTTTTTAAAAATCTTTGTCTGGCCTATTTGGAAGCACAGTGTTTTTTAAGTGATGCTCATGTAAGAATAAGATTAAAATGAAAAAAGAATACGTTTAAAATGAAAATAAAAAGACACGAGAATACATAAACAAGAAAGTGCAGTAGAGCTCAGAAATTTCAGTTTGGTCCAATTCTGCATCAAATATAACAATAGTTCCTGCATGAGTTCATGCAGTTTTAGGATTTATTCATGATTCATTACTTGTTTATAAAAGAGGCCACTGAAGTCGGGATGAAAAACATGTTTTTGTACTGGATCAGCTGCTGACGTCTGTTCAGAGGAGTCCAGAGAAAGTTTGAGAGTGTGATAGTGCTGCCATCTACAGGCCGCGGAGGGAACTGTCAGCTCCATGAATAAATGTACAGCAGGTGAGAGCAGGGACACGTCATGAGGGGTGAGAAGGACCTCCCCCCACCTCCACCCCCCTCCTTCTACCATGACATAATACTTGTGTGTGTGTGTGTGTGTGTGTGTGTGTGTGTGTGTGTGTGTGTGTGTGTGTGTGTGTGGGTGTGTGTGTGTGTGTGAGAGAGAGAGAGAGAGAGAGAGAGAGAGAGAGAGAGAGTGTGAGCTCATATAAATGTATGTACAGAGAGATAGTGAAGAATGGGGGCTGGGTGGTTTCATTATAACTTGTGGTAAATTCAATTGAAATTTCTGCCTGATTAATGCAGGCTGTGTCTCCATCTACTTTTATTTTACTGTTTTAGAACCACCTGCTCAGGGCTTCAGCTGTAGATTAGCAACGCTGCTAATACCTGGTACAGTGCATTTCTCCTCTTGCCGAATGTTTATTGTACACTGTCTCTGTAAAAATAAAAATCATACCATACCTTTATTCTTTTATGTAAGTGGCAAAACAGTTCCCTCATAAAGACCTGAAGTTGTTTTTAATTCCATCCACACACGTTTTCAGACTAAGACATCATAGTTTTCTTGTTTTCAGCTAGAACAGGATGTGCCAAGTCAGCATTCTCCAGCCTCCGTCCTCCATCCCTGCTCTGACCAAGCCCTGACCTGCTTAGTTTCTGAGAGCTCACCAGGTCAGGCTTTGACAGACGGGAATGTGGCTCTGATGAAACTATAATAAAAACTGCATGATCAGGTTTGGTGAGAATCAGCGCCAACTCTTTCTGTGAAAATCACCTGGTCCTCTGGCGCCCTCTGCTGCTCACACTGAGTAGTCACTGAGGCACTTTCCCAGCATCATCCAGCCAACTCTAGCTTCACCTAGTAACCCATGCTGTACCTCAGACATGTAAAGCTCAGAAATGGAGTGAATTTGTTTTTGATTTTGTCACAAAAGTCCATATATTACAGAGATGTAGATTAAGATGAAGAGATCCTCCATGACAGCGGGGGAAATGTCAGTGTTGCATCAGCAGTTACAGAGCAGTAGGAATGAGGAGCACACAGCACAAGATACATGAACAATAACTCTGTACTCAAATAAAATCTCTAATTTTAGCATAATGAAGAAGCAAGTCTAAAATCTCTATCCATAACCAAATGAAGAAGCAAGAATAAAACACTGTATATTCTAATGAATTCTGACATTAGTTCAAATTATTGCACAGATGCACGACATGTGAGGTCACGTCGGCAGTGTCGGTTAGTCCTCATGGTTCGTTGTACATTCTGACAGCAGCAGGAAGGAAATACCTGCAGAACCTCTCCCTCTCACAGCGGTGGTGTGAATCATCAGATCGTGGAACTGTTTTGATTCTGGGCTTTCAAATGGAGAGCATTTGAAAGCCCAGAATCAAAACAGTTTTACGATATGTGCTGTCGGCCCCTGGACAAAAGTTTGGGCACCCCCGACCTCATGGCTTGGTTTATCTTGACTAGATGACTTATTGGTGAAGCTCGAGTCTGACTCGTGGAGCAATAATTTGTGTATTGCTGAGTCATTAACTGCTGCGGTCATGTGCCGTGGACTGACATCAAACCTGCAGCACTTTACTGTTCTCCTCTGGACTCTGCAGGAAATATCTGAACAAAACATTTAAATTCAGTGTAACTTCTGTGTCGCCTGAAATCACAACAGTCGGTTTGAAGGACATTAAAAAGTTGTGATTTGCCAGAGAGATCAGAGAATCAAACACTTCAAACACAGGAAATGCAATCATAACAAACAAATACAAGCCATTGGTCCATAGGGTGCGGGGGGAACCCTGTTCTTAGACCCTCCTGTATCAGAGAGGAACCAAGGCTATGGACCCAGGACTGAGGCTGTAGACCCAGGACTGAGGCTGTAGATCCAGGACTGAGGCTGTAGAACCAGGACTGAGGCTGTAGATCCAGGACTGAGGCTGTAGACCCAGGACTGAGGCTGTAGATCCAGGACTGAGGCTGTAGACCCAGGACTGAGGCTGTAGAACCAGGACTGAGGCTGTAGATCCAGGACTGAGGCTGTAGACCCAGGACTGAGGCTGTTAAACCAGGACTGAGGCTGTAGATCCAGGACTGAAAAAAGGTTGATCCAGGCTCAAAAATGTCCAAAATGACATGTGCTGACGTACTGCAATACCACCCCGGGCCAGTGGGGGTGGTACCGGAATAAGAATTAGCTAATGCCAATGATTAGAAAGTAAGTAAGTAATCTTTATTTATATACCGGCTTTCACAGACCAGAGTCACAAAGCAGTTTACATTTGTTTTTTTTGGGCATTAGTCTCTCACTCCACGCAGAGATGGGAGGGGCCAATACAGAAGGCACATGCCAGACCTTTTGTACATATTTTTTGTGCTAGGGGAAGCTGGAGTACCCGGAGGAAACCTACGCAGACATAGGAAGAACATGCCAACTCCACTCAGATAGGACCTGGTCCAACCGGGATTTGAACCCAGGACCTCCTTGCTGAGAGGCAAGAGTGCTATCCACTCAGCCACGTGCCGAACATAGCATCTTCTTACCTCTTAAAAAACGTCTTTACAGGATGGTCCCAAAGTGTGTCTTGGTCCAAAGCTCCGTTCCTCACGTGTCAAAGCTGAGGGAGTGTCAATCAATGAGGCTGGTGCACCTGACACATGCACAAATGCGGGTTTTTTTTCACATTTTCCAGCCCCCGTGGCCATTTTTAAAGTGCCCACAGAAGCCAAAAGCGATGACACATTAGTTTAAACGTTGGAGATAGACGTGACTACCTTCGTTATTATTTACAGTCTATGGTCCCAACATCACGCCATCAATAAACAGCCCACCTCGAAATGTCCATCTCTTTCTTCTTGGCTTTGAACCGGTGTTGGGGTCCACCATTCACTGCGGCCATGTGACTTCACGTCCTGTTTGTGTGAAGCAACTTTCAGATTCAGATTCAGTTTATTTGCCATTTGCAGTAAAAAAAACCACATAGGAATACATTAGCAAAAAGTCTCCAGTGTGCACAGACAAATACAGACATAAAACAACATTAAAAGACAGAAATAAAACAAATAAAACAGTAAACAAATGTCACTGTGAAATTGATCAACTAAAACAGCAAATCATTAAAGTGCTCTGTTCACACTGATAACAGCTTGTGGATAAAAACTGTTAGCGTAGCCGTAACGAGATGTCCTGCATCTCAGAGAGCGATATCTTCTGCCAGAGGGAAGAAGCTGGAACATGGCTTTCCCAGGGTGGCCAGAAGAGTCATTGATGATTTTAAGAGCTTTGTTTAAAAGTCTGGATTTATAAAGAACCTCCAGAACAGGAAGCTCACAGCCCACGGTCCTCTTTGCAGAGCGGAGCACCTTGTTTAAAGCTCTCTTTTCTTTATCTGTGATGTTTCCAAACCACACAGACACAGAACCAACAAGTAAACTCTCAATGGTGCAGCGATAACAGTTAAGCACAATCTTAGAGTTAGTGGTAAATTCTCTAAGTTTACGCAGAAAGTAGAGACGCTGACGAGCTTTGATCTGCTGATGGTTTTAAAGTGATCTATAAATAAAGTTGAGATCGGTTCAGAAAGTGCAGGTGACGGAGCAGGTTTGGTGACATCGTTCATGCGCCGATTGTGTTGTTTGTCGAGTGTGGAACATGTTGTGCGTCTTCATCCACCACCTGTTCCTTGTGTAAATAATACAAAACCACATGCGTCCACTGTCACTTACTTTAGTCCCTTTAACATGAACAGATGTAAACATACAACTGGATATTTCTTCTTCATTATGCTAAAAAATATTAGAGTTGGAAAATTAAAAAGTTTTTGATTTAATTAACGATTTTTAATTGTGTGACATACAAACACATTTACACAAAGAGCATTAGTAGGATGATGAAGACAAATCCATGAATAGAAGATATAGATACACAAGAAAAACAAGTGCAAAATTTGAATGGCATTAAACACCTGCAGGTTAGATTCCGTCAGACCTCTGAAGCTAAGCAGTGCAGGGCCTGGTTAGTGCTGCGATGTAAAGTGCCAAACTGCAAGAAACTTCCCCCACATTAGAATGAGTCTGGTGTGTGTAGCCCCAGGGCAGCTGTGGCTAGAGCAGTAGGTCATGACCACCGCGTCTGGAGTGAATGAATAAAAACATTTGCCTGTTTGAGTGTCCTGCTGTGTAAAACCAATGCATTATGGGCCTCCCTGTATCCTGACCCCGACTGAACAGAACAATGTCTAGATTCATAGATTATCAGAATAATCGTGAGTTACAGCCGCTTTGTGATGTAACTGTAGGAAAGACACAAGTGCTAAAAATAATACTTCTGTTTCTCCAAAAATGAAAGCAAAAGTCACAGAAGGGGAAGGATAGAAAAGAACCTTCCCTCATGCAGATCTCCTGTCGGCACTCACCGCAAAAGATTCAGTCAGATGGGTGTAGTTTACAGGATCCACAGCCTCCTCCAGGTTTCTCCCTTTTCTCTCATTGGGTTTATTATTATTATTATTATCTTTATTTATCAGACTCGAAGTCCATAAAAAACAAACAAACACATCACAAACACAACAGACAAACAGTTATAAAAGAAAACTGTACCAGAGCTTCCACAGAGCTGACTGGTAGCGCACAGAACTCATACTGGGGTTCACCAGAGACCGCACAAAATAGTTCTCACTGACATTCAGACGGCATATAAACCTGTACATCATGTTTCTCATGAGAGCATGGAAAGAGTTCACACGACTCTGACAGAACAGCAGACTAGCACTACTGGACCTGGGCTTTTTCAGCAGAATCCTGAAAGCATCATTATATGCAACTTTGAGCTTCTGTAGTGCAGCCTTCTTATATCTGCTCCACAGTGGAGCTGTATACAAAGGTGAACAGTACATTTATTTTAGAGTTGTTCCTCTGATGCAGGAGGCTCTAAGGACATGATGATCCAGGACACATGCAACATTTATGGAGATTTGTCTCTGTGAAGCACTTGTGGTCGGATAGATGAGAGTTCAGAGAGTTTAGAATTATCCTTATTTTCAATTGGCGTTTGCACTGAAACACAAGAGAAACGACATCACCACGCATTCCCGTCTGAGCACACTTTTCAATTAGGACAGGGGTGTCAAACTTATTTTGATTGAGGGCCGAATAAAAAAAGACAGAGCTGGTCAGGGGCCGAAAAAATAAGTGGGTTTCATTTATTAAAATGTTTTGGAATATGAAGGTACTGTATCTAAATAAATGGCTTGTTTCACATTATTTAGATGGATGTTCTTTTCTGATTAGCATTAGTCCAGTTCCTGTGGACTGAACCAAAACTGGACCAAATATTGAATGTAGGAGGATTTTATACTTTTGTGTGTATCAGTATGGTTAATGCTCCTCCCAGTTTTCAATCATTCTAGTTATTTGTGATCGTCAAAAAAGACCAGAGAGTTTTGTTCAAAAAGTGGAGAGGACGGTTCTTTCCTTAAAAAATTGGTAAATCTTTTATTTCTTATGGAATTGTATTTAATGGTTGTTTTATTTGTAATGAAAAACATGCCATTGTCGCCCATTACCATTTATGCTGCTATTTAATATAATAATTCAAAATCGTCTCTGGAAATGGTCTCGCGGGCCGGATCTGACTTTGACACCTGTGAATTAGGACCTCCCAAGCCCCCCCCAAGCTGCCTCAACCTGCCTGCGTGGGTCACCGAAGTCTCTCCTGTTGAAAAATATGTTGATGTCCTTGTACTTACACATGGAAATTAAACAAAAAATAGGAGGTGGGTGTTATTACAGCGTTATTGTTGTAAATGTCAATTATCACGGGTCCCACATGTGCCCCTCATGGACCAATGTCTCTGTGTGTTTTCTATCACTTTGAACGGTTTGATTCTCTGATCTGTGTTTGCGAATCCACATCTTAGCAAAGTCCTCAGAGATAAAATACTGTCGTGATTTAGGGGTGTTCAAAAATAACTAGTTGAATTGACGTTGAAGTTTAATTATAAAAAGGGGAAGAAAGAAAAGTGGTCACGTCTATAAACGGTATGAAACAGAGCAACACGAGGCCACATTATGCAAAGTCATGGGCCGTGTGTGTTTTATGCCCCTGACAGCTGACTTCCACCTGAGAGACACCGTGGGTAATAACATCTACGGGACTATATAAGAGCCCTGAGGGACCCCCTGACATGTTCCTGTTCCTGCCCTCTGCTCAGGTAAGAGACACACACACAGACGCACACTCACGGCAACACTAACGCACACACCCACAGAAGGAATTACTCATGTGGGTCAGGTGCTTTCCGAGATAATGCAGAGAGGAAGAAGGAAGCGAAAGCTCCGGGTTGGAACGTTAAAAGAGTGGCGCGGGATGATCTGATTCAGTGTGTTGTTGTGTTGCGACAGGATGAAGCTGCTGTTGTGCGTCTCTGCGTGTCTGGTCGTGGCCAGCTGCGTCAGTATCTCTCTGGAGGATCTGGAGTTCCACGCTTGGAAGCTCAAGTTTGGTAAGAAATTAATTGGTTTTCATGTTAGTTTTTTAATTTGTGCAGGTGAGAGAAGAGACTTTAAGATTCATCAGTGAGAACTTTGTCCGTGTTTGTCCAGTTGCAAAACTAGAGAGAAGCTTTTGTGAGTGTTTTGTGTGTGTATGAATAAAGCTGTCATTTTGTCTGCTTCCATTCAAACCAAAAGAAGTATGAGAAATCCCCCCAAAAAACCAGATTCATTGAAATACATTTTTTTAAAGCTTTTGCTAATATCAGAATCAGAAATATTTGTATTACCGTTGTGAGTAACAGTTAGTCACAAACTAGAAAATAATATTGGCTTTAGGTGCAAACAGGTGATAAAAATGACATGACTATAAATACAACAGACATAGTGATAATACATTTTATTTCTTAGGCTTCTTCTTGACACTAACGGTAAAAGCACAAATAAAAACAGTTAAAATACAAAGTAAAAACAGAGGGTGTTGTAGTTGCAGTGTTAGTGAATAGGTTTGTCTAAACAGATGAGTTTGGACGGTGGCTAATGCTAACTTGTGACTGCAAACAGTGTGTGGCTACGCTAACTAGCACTTGGTATTCTCTGGACAACAATGAATTAAAGTTAGTAAAACATAATTTAATTTACAGAAATAAAACGTGACATAGAGAAAAACTATGTAAAGATACAAAGTCACAAAGTTACGAAGACCAAGAATACGCGTGAGATTAGACACTTCCAAAACGAAAAGGCGTCAAATCGACTGCTCTGAGAATGTTAAAGCTGTGGTACAGGTTTCCGAGGTTACAGGACAGAGAGGAGACTAAAGCCTCGTCAGCGATTACACAAGTTGACAGCCAAAAAATGGTCTGGGGTTTCTCACTGATTCAGACTAATGTTGGTGTTCTGAGTCTGAATATCACATGCATTTTGCTCTATCAGGTCAACTTTTTGAGATACAGCCATAGTGTTACGGAGGTACGTCTACGTTATTATGAATTCTGCTTATCAAACTTTGAGTAAATAAAAACTGAATGACTTTGGATACGTTGACTTTTATTTCTTGAGGAAAACGGAAAAAACGTCAAGGGTTTCTCAGCTGATGATCCGCAGAAATTTGTTTTTTACGCAAAATATATTTAAAAAAATATTTCTGTAGCCTGACCTGATTGAGCAAAACCAAGGTCATTTTCGGACTCAGAGCATCAACATTAGTCTGATTCAGCTGAAAAACTCTGGACTATTTTCAAAAAATATGTTTTTGTTACCCAGTGTTATTGTCACCGCACAAAGTGATAAAATACAAGTACAAAACTGCTCAAATTTGGCACATTCTGACTGCATTAAAACAAGATTTTGCAAACGAGACAAAGAAAAATAATCTTGTTTAATAGAATTGAGAAAATACAGCAACAGACTTTGAAATAAGACTAAATGTGGAGTTTTAACAGAATTAACTCAAATTAAGATACACTTGATTTAAACGTTTATTACCGCATATTTAACTTTTTGCAGTGTTGTCCATGTTTGTCCTCTTACAAAACCTGAGAGCAGCTTTTTCACAGTGGATTACACTCTCAGCAGCTCTCAGCCCAAAGAGGCACAAAGTGACTCTGGAGGCTCTGGATCCAAACACCAGAGAGTTTCCTGTAATCTACTGTTTTAGAAGAACTAATCGTGTTTGTAGGAAGCCCTTCTGCTGAGACAGGATTCTGACAGTGTGTGTGTGTGTGTGTGTGTGTGTGTGTGTGTGTGTGCGTGCGTGCGTGTGTGTGTGTACTGTATGTGTACTGTATATGTGCGTGTGTGTTTGTATGTATGTGCATGCATGGGTGTGCGTGCATATATCTGTGTGTGTGTATGTATATGTCTGTGTATAAGTTTGTGTGTGTGTATGTTTTTGTGTGTATTTGCGTGCCTATGTGTACTGTAAGTGTGTGTGCGTGTATTTGTGTGCATATTTGTGTGTATGTACTGTGTGTGTGTGTGTGCTTGTATTTGTGTATGTATGAGTATGTGCGTGTGCTTGTGTACTGTGTGTGTGTATACGTGGTTGTGTGTGTTGAGAAAGAGATTCCTGGTATTTGAAACAAACCTCAGACTGATGTCAGGATCATGTGACATCAGTGTTTTAGATCCAAGGCACTTGAACATATGAATACATACACACACACAGATACACACACATATACACACACCTATACACACATTGGAGTTCCTATAACTACACAACAGACACAAAACCACCCAAGAGTGTGTTTAAAGCTGAATCTTCTGAACACACAATATTTTTATGGTTTGACTTTTACCCTTTTGTAAATCTGCTCAAACCGGTTTATGGAGTGACGGCTGTAAAGAGTCACATGCAGCGAGTTCACGAGTCTGCTCTATGATCCCAACGAACAACCACAGAAGAAAAGCAGCCGATTCATCCAGACCAGATTAGAAACACACAATCGTAAATGTACTTTTGAATATACTCAGATTTGCGATAAAAAATTATAAATGTGTCAGAAGTCTATCTTGTCTCATCTTATCTTAAAAACACTCTGGCTAAAGCTGAATTTGACAAAATACTAGTTGTGGTCTGAAACCGTCTCCGTCTGGACAGAGTGTGTGGTAACCGCGGTAACCAGGTCCAACTTGTCTGGTGCTTCCACAAACAAAGCGTATTTAGCGTTAAGTTTGCTAAACTCAGCTTCACTCTGCAAGAAGAGATGGAAAACAAGGCAAAAAGTGCTCACATTTGGCAAAATATAGCTTCATTTGAGAACACTCTGTCTGAGCCTTAAAACAAGATTCTCCAACAAGACAAAGCAAAATGATGCAAGAAATGTCTCTCTTGGAAAAAGAAAGTTACGAAATAGATCTTGAAGTAAGATTAAATGACTTTGTCCCGTTGGAGAATCTGGATTTATGTCAGAATGTACTTTTAACTCATTGAGACTGAGACTCTTGATTTCTGTCAAACTTCCCTCTGTTCGACCGGGGTTTACAGGAGAACAAAAATAGCTAGAAACCACAATTATATACCACCTTTCACAGACCAGAGCCACAAAGTACTTTACAATTGCGGGCATTAGTCTCTCACCCCGCACAGAGATGGGAACGAGGCCACCTACAGGGGGCGCTGCCAGACCTGTTGTACATCTTTTTAGTGGTAGGGGAAACCGGAGCACCTGGAGGAAACCTCTGCAGACACGGGGAGATCATGCAAACTCCACTCAGAAAGGCCCCTCAGTCACCGTGATGCCTGAAACCTGAAATATTGAGTGTACAACCTTTGGCGAGCTACCTGGAAGGGGGTGGAGAGCTACAGGTGGCTCCCGAGACTCGACGGGAGTGATTCTTTGAAGAGACGGAGAAACAGAGACAGCTTTGTTAATGTTTTACAGATTCTGTGTGAGTTTCCAGTGAATGCGACTGATAAAAACGTTTGCGTCTGAACTTTGACCAGAGTCTGACGCCGAGAACATACTGTACACTGGAAAAAAACCTGAAAACAATATATGAAGACAAATAATTACTGCTCAATTATATATCTGCTCAAAGAACAAGAAAAAATGACTTGACAAAATTCCTGAAAATAAATAATAATTAATACCAGCCCCAAAAGACTTGATTCTAGAATAAAAAAAAATACATTCACTTATTTCTTAAACATGTTTGAGAAAATCTTAAGATACAGCAGAACATACGTATTTTAGCTAAACGAGAAAAGTTGACTATAGGAAAAAAACGGTAAAAAGCGCTCAGACTTTTTAATCTAATGAGTATTGAAAAATTGTTATCTAGTAAAATAGAAAAACTAAATTCTAGCCAAAAAAACTAAATCAGGATTTGACTTTTTTCAGTGTATCTCTGCAGCGAATCCAACATTATTCAGATTAATGAATGAAACTTGAGTGAAAAAGTTCTAAATGATGGACTCTGTATTTCACATGTTTTCTACTCAGTTGCTCTCACAAACTCGTTCACTACTTTTACCGTTTGGAGAAAAAAAAAGGGTTTTGAAAATGTTGTGTTTATGGCGTTGTAAAAAATAACACAGCTGCCCTCAGACAACACTGCAAAAAAGTGTTAAATAAGTCAAAAAATGCTTGAATTTGGAAAAAAAAAACATATCTTCATTTGAACACATGTGACTGAGCCTAAAAACAAGATTTACAAACGGGACAAAGCAAAATTATGCTGTTTTATAATATACAAAAAAAATTTTCCTCTGAATGAGAAAATAAAGCATCAGCTCTTGAAATAAAACTAAATGTCTTTGTCCCGTTGGAGAATCTTGTTTTAAGTCAGAATGTGTCAGATTAAGATAAAAAACACTGAAATCAAGCAAATATGACCTTATATTTTTGACACTTTTTTTACAGTGTAATAACTGAATCTACACCAAATGTGGGTTTTGGAGCAGACAGCAGCAGAAAGAGGAAGGGGAAAAAACCAACGGCAATTTTAGCTCCGGAGTTTTTTTTCTATTTCATCATCATATTGCTTATTATTATTATTATTATTATTTTTTCATCTATCATTTTAAACAATGGACCCTGTTTGATGTGTGTGATTTGGGCCACGATGACATTGAAACTTCACCCACTGTGGGACGAGCAAAGAAATATCAAATTTCAAATGTTGTTACTGAATCATTGTGATGATTAACCCGTCAGATATTTGGAGCGCCTTTCACAGACCAGAGTCACAAAGCGATTTCCAAGTGTGGGCCTTTGTCTCTCACTCCACACAGAGAGCGGGGCCAGTACAGGAGGCACAGGCCTACATAAAGGAAATGCCTTATTTTATTTTTTATCCTTTTTTTTAATGTGTTTTTATCAGTTTGGCCGAGTCCCAGCTCAAAAGTGTCCAAAATGGCGTGCGCTGACATGCTGCAATACCACCCCGGGCCGATGGGGGTGGACCCGGAATAAGAATTAGCCAATGCTAATGTATAGCACCTTCTTATCTCTCGAAAACGTCTTTACAGACATCCACATGTGTGTCAATGCTGAGGAGGGTGAATTGTTTTGGACCAGTCTAGTTTAGCCGCTGTGGACTTCAGAATGCACTCCTCAAATGAATGGGGCTTGTGCAGCTGACGCATACATCAAATGCTTTTTTCACTTTTTCCAGCCCCCGCGGCCATTTTGAAACTGCCCATAGACTGCACAAGGAAAAAGCATATTCATTTAAATGGCAGAGATAATCGTGACTAAATCTGTTAATATTCACAGTCTATGGTTCTTGTGGATGTCTTTCTGGTTTCTAGACCTTTTACCCTTGTGTCCAAAATAAAGTATTGAATTGAACTGAACAAACAGAACATGATTATGAACCGCAGGAAGAGTGGAGGTTTGTGTGAGACGAGTGAGACTGAGGCTGATCTCTGACACCATCAAGTGTTTGTCCAACGCTTCTCTCTGGTCCTTCAGGAAAGTCCTACAGCTCTCCGTCAGAGGAGGCCCGGCGCAGAGACGTGTGGCTGCAGAACAGGAAGTATGTGCTGGTCCACAACATGCTGGCCGACGAGGGCATCAAGTCCTACCGCCTCACCACCACCTTCTTCGCCGACCTGGTACACTACACACATGCTATTGATTTATTTATGAACTTGATACAGACAGTTACAGTGGACAGACCAGATGCCTTTAGTGCTGTAGCAAGACCACTGCAGAAAGTTATTAAAAACAAGTCCGAAATTGCTAATATTTGGCAAAAAATGTATTCTAGTTTGAGCAGTTTTTGACTGGGCCTTAAAACAAAAATAGCCAATGGGAAAAAAGCTAAATTAGGTTGTTTTGAAAAGACACAAGAAAAATAAAAAGCTTAAAATAAGTTTAAATGTCTTTGTTCCATTGGAGAATCTTGCTTTAACACTGTCAAAATGTGCACAAATTAAGATAAAAACCACTCGATTCAAGCAATATCAACTCATATTTTATCATTTTTTGCAGTGCATGCTAATTTTCAACACACTTTTAGGACAAAAAATGCACACATTATAACAATAATTAAACATGTGACGAGGTTGCTCTGATTCCCGCCACAGTTTCAGATCTTCAGTGCTTTTACCACCGACTGAAGCAAAGCACTTTGTTTGTGAGACAGAGGATAGAACAGTGGGTGAATAGCAATGAACAGACTACAGCTGAAGCCATAAGGATGACTGATAAAGCAGGAGAGAGGAGAGTGTAGAGACAGTGCTGTTCCCAGACTTCTCCAGCAGGGGGCTCCATATACTGCATCACTGATCATCTCTGAAGTTCAAAGGTTGTGGCAAAAGAAGAATCACTTTTTGGTGTTAATGCATTAGCAAATGTATGTGACAAGAACCCAGAGTAGCTAATATGCTACGTTAGCAAATTTGGTCATTGATGCTGCTTTACAAAAAAAGGTTATTTTTATCAACAATTATCTTTATGTCTGGGTTCTACAGGGTTAAAGTTGTAGACGATTTCTTAGACAAATAGACATAGAAAAAACCCTGAAGGATGTTTAGTAACTACAGTAACCATAGTAACTAAATCTTTCCATGTAATATAAACAAAGCGTGTTGAATAGATAGATAGATCCTTTATTGATCCCCTGTGGGAGAAATTCAGGTGTATTAGTATCATATAAGTATAAGATTTGAAGAAAGGCAAAGAGCTGAGTCATTCTGTAACGACAGAGACTGAGGACTGGTGCTTTCATGCACGGTTGGAAAATCCCAACACGAAAAACCGGTTTGAACAGAGAGAGCCGGAGATTCCAAGATTCCTTTTACATCCACTTTGGTAATGACTCTTTCCTCGGCAACTGATTTATTCTTTAGTTCAACAGTTTCTCACAATAAATCTGCACAAGACACTTTATTACAAGAAACAGCACAACGTTTAAGTTACAGAATCACAGCCCTACACTGCAAAACGTGATGAAAAATAAGTCAAAAATGTATCTTTATTTGAGCACATTGACTGTCTTAATGGGACAAAGAAAAATGATCTTGTTTTAAACAGATGAGAGAGGAAACAGAGGAATGAGAAAATACAGCAACAGTTCTTGAAATGAGACTAAACAGCTTTGTCCCGTTGGAAAATCTACTTTAAACACAGTCAGAATGAACTGAAATGAAGACAAAAAAACACTTGATTCAAACAATTATTATCTCATATTTTATCATTTTTTGCAGTGTAGAATTGAAAGTCAGACCCACATTATTACGGCTGCGTTTCAAAAGCTGCTCTCACCAACTGTGTTTATTCGTCTGTCATTGTCTCCTCAAAAACAGAAGCGATGCCTTCACTATGTGTTGTGTGTTGTGTGTTGTGCGTTGTGTGCTGTGTGTTGTGTAGGAGAATGCAGAGTACAGGAGCCTGGTGTCCCGCGGCTGCCTGAAGTCCTTCAACAGCTCCCTGCCTGGTCATGGGTCCTCCTTCCTCCACATGGCTCAGATCTCAGACCTGCCCCCGACTGTGGACTGGAGGGACAAGGGCTACGTCACCGATGTCAAGGACCAGAAGCAGTGTGGCTCCTGCTGGGCCTTCAGTGCTGTGAGTACTACTACTACAACTACTACTACTACTACAACAATAAAAACGTGTACGAGGCATCAGTAAGTTTATAAAGACATAAGTAATATGCTCCTCATTATTGCTTCGATGTGACCGTCGTCTCCCAAAAACGACTAAACTCTAACCCTCTGCTGTCGTCCTGTGGTGTGGCTCAGACGGGCTCTCTGGAAGGACAGCACTTCCGGAAGACGGGGGAACTGGTGTCTCTGAGCGAGCAGCAGCTGGTGGACTGCTCTGGGGCCTATGGGAACGAAGGCTGTAACGGAGGTCTGATGGACAGCGCCTTCAAGTACATCCGGGCCAACGGAGGCATCGACACCGAGGACTCCTACCCTTACGAGGCGCAGGTCAGCGCCGCACTGCACCCACTGCACCCACTGCACCCACTGCACCCACTGCACCCACTGCACCCACTGCACCCACTGCACCCACTGCACCCACTGCACCCACTGAACCCACTGCACCCACTGCACCCACTGCACCCACTGAACCCACTGAACCCACTGCACCCACTGCACCCACTGAACCCACTGAACCCACTGAACCCACTGAACCTTCTTAACTCCATGTCTAAGCCATATTTGACGTTCCGTTTGATTCTAACGAGTGATGTGCAGATGAAGCCCCGTAACACACCAAGGCTTTCTTTTAGCCAGATTGTTTCATGTGGAGGAGCTTCTGAGCTAGCTCAGACTAGCTTGTAACACTGACATCTAGTGGACGAAAGTAATCATTGTAGCTTTTGAATTCGAGTCCACAGCAAGCACTGCATTATAGTAATGACTATTTCACCATGAAAGATAAATGGTAGATAATATAAAACATATAAAAAAAACGTATAGATGTCCTTGTTAGGTTAAATAGGTTAAATAAATGATCCCAAGCCTTGCATCTCTGTTTTCCACTTCCAGATGCCATTAAAGTCGCCAAATCCACCAACTCTATACAACACTGTTTTCAGTCTGTGATGTCAGTCCCTGGACTAACCTGGTGAACTGAAATGTTTGGACACCCCTGTAATAGATGATAGAATAAAAACATAATAATAATACAGTCACTGTTAATAACATTTTAATACTTGGTTGCAAATCCTTTCCACGTCGATTGCAGCTTGGAGCGTGGAAGTCAAGCTAATCTCACTGGTAAAGTACCATGTGGCCAGAGAACTAATAAAGGTGTTGTTGTGATTCTGACAAAACAAAAAATAAAACCAAGATTTCTATCTTTGTGAAAAATGTATTGGTTATAGATTTGTTGTTGACAAAACTCTTTCAGCTGTTATGGTCCCAGCTGGATTCGTCTGCATATCTGGCAACCTGAGTCAGGGAGAGTGGGAGAGGCTGCAGTACCACTTTTGGCCACATTTTTACATATTGCTCCTTTAAATCAGCGAGTATGTACAGTATACCGGCCTTTTATTCACAGACCTCACTCTCACTGTTTGCAGGACGGAGTATGCAGATATGATCCTTCCAACATCGGAGCCAAATGCACGGGTTTCGTGGACATACCGGCGGGAGACGAGAAGGCGCTGCAGGAGGCTGTGGCCACGGTCGGACCAGTGTCTGTGGCCATCGATGCCGGACACACCTCCTTCCAGCTCTATCAATCTGGTAATAATAATAATAATAATAATAAAAATAATAATAATGATAATGATAATAATACTAATAATAATAATAATAATAATAATAATAATGATAATAATAATGCAGTTATTCAATCAACTTTAATTTGTAGAGCACCTTTCCTATACAAGGCAAAACAAAGCGCCTCACAACCCACATCACATCATGCATAAATCAAACATTAAAATCTACACACACAAAAAACACACAATAAGAGCACAATACATATAAAAAACATAAAAAATACAATCACACAAGTAGTTTAAATCCTTAAAACATTAAAAACACAGATGTGATTAAATTAATAAATAGTCATAGTGCATTATAAAGAGTGAAGATAAATCCTTCAGTTGTAGCAGTTTTAACCGATATTTGAAGACTGCCAGAGAAGACGCCTGCCTCACATTCTCAGGAAGACTGTTCCAGATGTTAGCTGCATGAATCTGAAATGCTTATTATGTTTCTTATATATAGCGCTTTTTTTGACTTTCAAAAACGCCTCACATGTGATATTTTCATTCACTCGACACAGGCACACACGATAAGGATGAACTGATATGGAGCTAGTGTGTGTGTGTGTGTGTGTGTGTGTGTGTGTGTGTGTGTGTGTGTGTGTGTGTGTGTGTGTGTTGCAGGAGTGTACGATGAGCCTGAATGCAGCAGTTCGGAGCTGGACCATGGCGTGCTGGCGGTGGGATATGGCTCCGATGGAAATTCAGATTACTGGCTGGTGAAGAACAGGTCAGAGAGGTTTCTGGGCTCAGGATCTGTGGGTTCTTCCAGTACAGCAACAGACAAGGCACAGAACACACACAGACAATGTTTATTGTTTGGCAAGGTACTGCAGGTCTCAAGCAGGACAAAAACGGGACTAATACAGGTCTATAGCAGGTTTGAAGCAAGACTAAAGCAGGACTATAACAGGTTTAAAGCAGGACTAAAGCAGGTTTAAAACAGGACTAAAGCAGGATTAAAACAGGTCTAAAGCAGGTCCAAAGCATTGACCCCAGGGGCCGAGGCACTGGTGGTGGCGTAAGATCAGAGTCAAGAGGTGATGGGTGCGAGAACCAAAGAAGTGTATTTGGCGGGAAGTTTGATTGACATGGCTTGGCAGGGAGGTTGGCAGAGCTGTGTGATAGGCCGAGGGTGAAGGGGGCGAGCCTTGGTTGCGATGGGACTGAATTTCCACTTGAGCTGCTCGTCTCTGTCTCTGTCCCAGTGAATGAAACACTGTCTTCTTCTTTTTCTGCAGTTGGGGCCTGAGCTGGGGGAGCAAGGGCTACATCATGATGACCAGGAACAAGCATAACCAGTGCGGCATCGCCACGGCCGCTAGCTACCCCCTGGTCTGAGCTACACCCCTGGGCTGAGCTACCCCTCTCTGAGCAGGTGAGTAACACATGTAACAGTCACTTGAGACTTTTGCAATCTTTAAACCCAGATTAGATCATTCTGTGTCGTCTCAAAGAAACTGGGCATTCAATTTTCACAATTAAGAGGTCCCTTTCAGGTGGAACAGTGCAGACCTAAAAACTAAGGCTATAGACCCAGGACTGAGGCTGTAGATCCAGGAGTGAGGCTATAGACCCAGGACTGAGGCTGTAGACCCAGGACTGAGGCTGTAGATCCAGGACTGAGGCTGTAGACCCAGGACTGAGGCTGTAGACCCAGGACTGAGGCTGTAGACCCAGGACTGAGGCTGTAGATCCAGGACTGAGGCTGTAGACCCAGGACTGAGGCTGTAGACCCAGGACTGAGGCTGTAGACCCAGGACTGAGTGACGTGTGAGGGACTTCCTTCTCCTAATGTCAGACATATTGTTTATTTGCAGGTCTGGTGGAATCTCAGCGCGGACACACACTTCACGATGATCATGAAACCAATGGGCCTTATTATACTCACATCATTCCACAGCTGTACCTGTTTTTCTAATTTCAGTGTTTTTCATATTAAAACTGAATAAATTGGCTGAAATAAAAAGACTATTACTAATGTGTGTGTTGTTTTTACTGACTCTAGAGTCAGGAGTGTGTGTGTGAGTGTGTGACTGCTTGTGCATGTGTGTGTCTATGAGTGTTTATATAGTGTGTGTCTATGAGTGTATAGTGTGTGTCTATGAGTGAGTGTGTGACTGCTTGTGCATGTGTGTGTCTATGAGTGTTTATGTAGTGTGTGTCTATGAGTGTATAGTGTGTGTCTATGAGTGAGTATGTGTCTATGAGTGAGTGTATAGTGTGTGTCTATGAGTGTGTGTGTGAGTGTGTGACTGCTTGTGCATGTGTGTGTCTATGAGTGTTTATGTAGTGTGTGTCTATGAGTGTATAGTGTGTGTCTATGAGTGAGTGTGTGTCTATGAGTGAGTGTGTAGTGTGTGTCTATGAGTGTGTGTGTGGGTGTGTGACTGCTTGTGCATGTGTGTGTCTATGAGTGTTTATGTAGTGTGTGTCTATGAGTGTATAGTGTGTGTCTATGAGTGAGTGTGTGGCTATGAGTGAGTGTGTAGTGTGTGTCTATGAGTGTGTGTGTTTGTGTCTATGAGTGTGTGTTTGTGTCTATGAGTGTGTGTGTTTGTGTCTATGAGTAGTAAGTAAGTAGTAAGTAATCTTTATTTATATACTGCCTTTTCACTGCACATCGGAGTCTCAAAGCGGTTTACAATTGTTATTTTTGGGAGTGGGGGTGCCAGTACAGGAGGCACATGCCAGCCCTATTGTACATATTTTTAGTGGTAGGGGAAACCGGAGCACCCGGAGGAAACCTACGCAGACACGGGGAGAACATGCAAACTCCACTCAGAAAGGCCCTGTTCCGACCGGGATTTGAACCCAGAACCTTCTTGCTGAGAGGCGAGAGTGCTAGCCACTCAGCCACCGTGCTGCTGTCTATGAGTGTATGTAGTGTGTGTCTATGAGTGTGTGTGTGTAGTGTGTGTCTATGAGTGTGTGTGTTTGTGTCTATGAGTGCGTATGTAGTGTGTGTCTATGAGTGTGTGTGTGTAGTGTGTGTCTATGAGTGTGTGTGTTTGTGTCCCCCCCCCCCCCCCACCCCCACCCTCACCCACCTCACCCTGCCCTCACTCGCCCCCCCCATTGGAACTGTGTGTGTGTGTGTGACGTAGCATCACGCTCTAAGTTGTTTATCTCTAGTACTTAGTCATTTCAGACCTGAGAATAAACTTTTTGCCAACAATGACAATCCGTTACATTGAGCCCTATGTCCCCGATGCACAATCAGACTCTAAATATTTAGTTTACAGAAGTATACGGCGAGTTAGCGTCACTGCACTCACAGATGGGGGGGTCCGTGTTACGTCTTTTATGTTTTGTTTCCAGATCAGCTTTTGAGTAAGTCCAGTTCCATTGTCCCTGTAGTTCTGGAACAGTCTCAGTGAAGTGTCGCAGATGAACCGTTAATATAATAGATCCATGAGATGAACAGATTAAAAAAGTCGAGCCGCTGGACTCGGGAACCGGACTCAGGAACTGGCTGTACGCTCTGATTCGCTGTTTAGATCTGTCAATCACCTCCCGGCTTTTACTAATATTTTTATTTGTATTATTTCTGACAATAAAACAGCATACCTAATGTGTATTCTTTACACTGTTTTGACAAAACTATTCAAACATTTTAAATACAAAGCAAACGGGGTTATGTGCGTCATATTCGTCTTCAGAGTGGTAATCGTCACTGAACTGGACCCGAGCGTTTCTGTGCCTCACGAGGCTGAAGGAGAAAGATCGCTCTCTTACTAAAGATTGACAGAATCAATGAAAAAACGACTCTGGGTATGTGTATGAGGGCAAATAGCACAGTAATCATGTTTAGAGCAGAGAAAAGTCAAAAAGCGTGATATGGGCCCTTTAAAGCAGATACTGGTGGACAAGCCTATAGCGCCCTCTAGCGGCTGTCAGTCTGAATAATAATAATAATAGCTATAATAATAGTCATAATAATGCATTTGTTTCATATTATTGCTTTTTTCTCCCTGAGGTGTTGGTGCAGTACAGTGTTCATGGTTTTACACTGGTCCAGACCAGAGCAGAGAGGATTCATGGTTTTACACTGGTCCAGAGCAGAGCAGAGAGGATTCATGGTTTTACACTGGTCCAGACCAGAGCAGAGAGGATTCATGGTTTTACACTGGTCCAGAGCAGAGCAGAGAGGATTCATGGTTTTACACTGGTCCAGACCAGAGCAGAGAGGATTCATGGTTTTACACTGGTCCAGACCAGAGCAGAGAGGATTCATGGTTTTACACTGGTCCAGACCAGAGCAGAGAGGATTCATGGTCCGAACCAAGCGGATCCGATGAAAATCACTGAAGGAATGCTAACTTTTTGAAAAATGCTAATGAAGCATTTAGCATTTTACTTTGGACCAGAGCAGAGACAATGGTCCGAACCAAGCGGGTACTCCACCCAGAGGCTACTCCACCTTGTGACCCGTCCTGCTCCACCCAGAGGCTACTCCATCTCTGCTGCTGTGACCTGAAGGACTATCGTATTTATTACTTTACTCATTTAGAATGATCAATTTTATTTTTTTTATTTTTGCTGTTACTGGACACCTGCATTTCTCCTACGTGGATCAATAAAGTATCTATTTATCTAATTATGTTTAAAACTGCTCTGATAATGTTCAGGGAATCTGTAAACTCTCTCCCAGAAACGCTCACCGTGGGCACAAACCCAAAGGAAACGGAAAATTAAATCAAGCTAAAGTTAGAATGACCCTAAAGTCGATGTTTATCTCAGTGTGTGGAGTTAGGATTTGGAACTGTGTGTGTGTGTGTGTCCTGTGTCCTGTGTGAATGAGTGTGGAGTCTAAGTGAAATATACAAACCCTTTCCAAACCTTGTCTATTGAATGAATTATTCTGTTGTAAAATTATGTAAATGCTGTTTTTCGGAATAAACATAAACATGAAATGAAAGAATTCCCCTTGTGAGCTGGAGATGACAATGTGTTGACACAGATCAGAGAATCAACAGTTAAGACACAAAAAAACACATAGATGGTTTTTTCATAGATAGAACAAAAATGGTTTTAGAGCAAACCATTCCACTGAATCAGCAAACAGCTTCTTTATAGAAAATGTAAAAAGTAAATTAGATATATATCCCTGTGTTGGTGCAGTGTTCCTTGATCTTAAAAAGGCATTTGACACTCAGCCATGAAATTCTGATAGCAAAATTAACAGACTTCAACTTCTCGGCAGAGGCCATTCAATGGATGAAATCATATTTAGCTTCACGAAAACAATGTGTACATATTGGCAGTGTAAAGTCATCAATCCAGGATGTCCCAGTCGGTGTGCCGCAAGGATCAATACTTGGCCCCCTATTATTCTCACTGTACATAAATGATCTTCCCAAAACATGTGAGTTTTCAAATGTATGCAGATGATGCTGTAATATATACTCATGCAAGGAGCGTTAAGGAAGCAGCTTCCATTCTGACCTCAGCCATGGAACAAGTAAATGACTGGCTATTTAAATCATGCTTGCTTCTAAATTCTAAAAAAACGGTCTGTATGATGTTCTCCAAGCAATCAAAAGTGATGAAAAATTCTGGAGTTTTCTTGAGAGGGGAAGAACTGCAACTTGTCACAGAATTCAAGTATCTGGGTCTGACACTCGATTCCACTCTATCTTTTAAAGATCATATAAAAAAACTGGCCAACACCATTAAATTCAACCTTAAAATTTTTAAACAAATCAGGTCTTTTTTAACACTTAATGCAGCCAGAATGTTTCTCCATTCAATGATTTTATCCCATGTTGAATATTGCATCACAAGTTGGTCTCTCACCTCTGTAACCATTTGAAAATAATTGAATCTCTGTATAAGAAATCTCTTAAAGTTTTTGACAGAAAACCCAATTCATTTCATACATGCAATATTTTAAACAAGCACAATCTTTTAAATTTTGAAAGTTTTATCAACTTTAAGTATGTATGCTTCATCTACAAAGCGCTACATGGACTAGCCCCACCTCCTGTATCGGCCCTATTCAAACCTAGGACTTCAAGTGGCCTGAGGACTAGGGCCTCCTCCAGAGGAGACTGTGAGGTCCCCTTCAGAAAAACTACATTTGGACAGAACACTCTCTCTGTGAGGGCCATGAACATCTGGAACAGTCTCCCTCTGCACTTACGGGAGAGTCCTACACTGGTCACCTTTAAAACTCAAATCAAACAATGGATTAAGAGAAATCAGTCATGTGACCACTAGACTCTGAACTATTCTCTGTGCTAGTTGTATTATAGTGTTATTTTGTATTTTATTGTATTGTATTTCGTTATGTATTTTCCTGCCTAGGGACTACGGATGAAAACTAGCTTTGTAGCTATAATCCGGCATATTTACATTTGTTTTATACTGATGTTCATTAATGTGCATTGTCCCTATCAAATAAATAAATAAATAAATAAATATGAATCGGTCCATATGGAGAGACAAAGTATGAAGCCCCGTGAAGCAATATGAACACCCGTGAAGCAATAGGAAGTCCAGTGAAGCAATAGGAAGCCCTTTGAAGCAATATGAAGCCCAGCGAAGCAATAGGAAGCCCCGTGAAACAATATGAAGCCCTTTGAAACAATGTGAAGCCCCGTGAAGGAATATGAAGCCCTGTGAAGCAATATGAAGCCCTGTGAATCAATATGAAGCCCCGTGAAGCAATAATAAGCCCTGTGAAGCAATATGAAGCCCCGTGAAACAATATGAAGCCACGTGAAGCAATAGGGAGCCCAGTGAAGCAATAGGAAGCCCCGTGAAGCGATATGAAGCCCTTTGAAACAATATGAAGCCCCGTGAAGCAATATGAAGCCCCGTGAAACAATATGAAGCCCTGTGAAGCGATATGAAGCCCTGTGAAGCAATATGAAGCTCTCTGAAACAATATGAAGCCCTTTGAAACAATATAAAGCCCCGTGAAGCAATATGAAGCCCCGTGAAGCAATATGAAGCCCAGTGAAACAATATGAAGCCCTGTGAAACAATATGAAGCCCTTTGAAACAATATGAAGCCCCGTGAAGCAATATGAAGGCCCGTGAAACAATATGAAGCCCTGTGAAGCAATCTGAAGCCCCGTGAAGGAATATGAAGCCCTGTGAAGCAATATGAAGCCCTGTGAAGCAATCTGAAGCCCCGTGAAGGAATATGAAGCCCTGTGAAGCAATATGAAGCTCCGTGAATCAATATGAAGCCCCGTGAATCAATATGAAGCCCTGTGAAGCAATATGAAGCCCCGTGACACAATATGAAGCCCCGTGAAACAATATGAAGCCCTTTGAAACAATATGAAGCCCCGTGAAGCAATATGAAGGCCCGTGAAACAATATGAAGCCCTGTGAAGCAATATGAAGCCCCGTAAAGCAATATGAAGCCCCGGGAAGCAATATGAAGCCCTGTGAAACAATATGAAGCCCCGTGAAGCAATATGAAGCCCTGTGAAGCGATATGAAGCCCCGTAAAACAATATGAAGCCCTGTGAAGCGACATGAAGCCCTGTGAAGCAATATGAAGCTCTCTGAAACAATATGAAGCCCTTTGAAACAATATAAAGCCCCGTGAAGCAATATGAAGCCCTGTGAAACAATATGAAGCCCCTTGAAGCATTATGAAGCCCCGTGAAGCAATATGAATCCCAGTGAAACAATATGAAGCCCTGTGAAACAATATGAAGCCCTTTGAAACAATATGAAGCCCCGTGAAGCAATATGAAGGCCCGTGAAACAATATGAAGCCCTGTGAAGCAATATGAAGCCCCGTGAAGGAATATGAAGCCCCGTGAAGCAATATGAAGCCCTGTGAAGCAATATGAAGCCCTGTGAAGCAATATGAAGCCCCGTGAAGCAATATGAAGCCCCGTGAAGCAATATGAAGCATAAAGACGCTTAAACTGTGATCATTACTGTGTATGGCGCGTGCATAATAGATCCATGTGCGCGTGTGACATGCAGTGAGTGAGTGATGCATTTAAGGTGGCTCTGAAAATACGGGACAAAAGCTGTCCTGTATCAGTTCAATACGGGACGCACATAGTGTTTCTATAATACGGGACAATTCCGTATTTCAAGGAACGGTTGATAACCCTACCTATATGTGAATATTAGCACCATCGTAGGTCATCCTTGACTTTGCATTGAAACTCGCCTCAATTCATAATCTGGTGGGAACATGGTTTCAGGGACTGGCATCCTGCTGGGACTCTGAGGAGCACAAGGACTGGCCTCCGGCTGGGACTCTGAGGAGCACAGGGACTGGCCTCCTGCTGGGACTCTGAGGAGCACAGGGACTGACCTCCTGCTGGGACTCTGAGGAGCACAGGGACTGGCCTCCTGCTGGGACTCTGAGGAGCACAGGGACTGGCCTCCTGCTGGGACTCTGAGGAGCACAGGGACTGGCCTCCTGCTGGGACTCTGAGGAGCACAGGGACTGGCCTCCTGCTGGTCTCAGAGTCAGGACTAAACATGAGGAGGCAGCGTTTCAGATTCATGCAGCTATAATCGGGAACAGTCTTCCTGAAAATGTGAGACAGGCTTCTTCTCTGACAATGTTCAACTCCAGGTTAAAAACAGTTCTGTTTCGCTGCAACAACTGAAGGATTTTATCTACTGCTGTGATTACTGTGATTTTAATTCCTTGTGATTGTTTTGTATCTTGTTTTTCAGCTTTTCCAGTTTCTATGTGCATGAACTGTGCTATACAAATAAACTTGCCTGTGATATATGTTTTTCCCCTGCTCAGGACGCTGAAGAGGCCGCAGCACCACAGTCCTTGTGTCCGCAGGTTATTTTGTTCAACAAGAGACAATCCCAAGGTTAAAACAGTAATATAAATGACAGACACCAAACCTGATCTAGATGTTACTTTATATCAAAGAGTTTCCAAGCAACACTACTAATGGAACCGAACAAGCGTCGCGTCTGTCGGAGGAAGGGCCGGCCCTGGGGCCCTCACCGTCTGGTCGAAACACAAAGGCCCACACTGGAAACTACATTTGGAAAAAGTTTTATTTCGAATTTAGGCTCAAAGAAAAGTCAGTGTAATCCTGTAATATAGACATCAGAAATCATCCAGAACCAGAAGCACATGTTTATACTTTTCTATTTGAATGATACAAAAAGCAGTTACAGTGTGTATAATCCATGAGAGAAAAGAAAAACAATGTTTATATTTTCAGATGGTTCAGTTTGAAACCACAGACTTTCACCTGGTCCTTTATGCACAATAACAGACCTGGACTAAAGGAGCCTCAGAAGACTCTTCACTTCAACCACTTGTGCTTGAACACCAGTAAGACCAAGGAGATGATCATCGACTTCAGGAGAAAACCACTCTCCCACACGCCGCTGAACATCCAGGTGGAGGACATTGAGCTGGTGGACAGCTTCAAGTACCTGGGTGTTCACATTAACAATAAACTGGACTGGTCCCATAATAAAAACGCCCTGCACAAGAAGGGCCAAAGTCGCCTCTTCCTTCCTTCTGAGGAGGCTGAGGTCCTTCTGAGGAGGCTGAGGTCCTTCGGAGTAAGCAGGCCTCTGCTCAGGACTTTTTATGACTCTGTGGTAGCTTCTGCCATTTACTACGCTGCCGTGTGCTGGGCCCCGGGCAGCACAGAGCGGGACAGGAGTAGACTAAACAAGCTGGTCAGGAGGGCCAGCTCCACTCTGGGCTGCTCCCTGGACTCTGTGGAGGAGGTGAGGGACAGGAGGGTCTAGTCAAAGCCACCTCCATCATGGACAATACCTCCCACCCACTGCACAGGACTGTAGAGGAGCTGAGGAGCTCCTTCAGTGGAAGACTGAGACACCCTCAGTGTAGGAAGGAGCGCTACCGCAGGGCCTTTATCCCCACTGCTGTCAGACTGTACAACAAGTCACTTTAAGTCACTGCACTATGACTGAAAAGAAACCTGCACTAAAATTGACACTTTTCTCTAATCGCCACTTTTTTGTACATAATATATCCTGCATTAACATGCTGCACATTTCTTACTTTTGCACAATTCTTGAGTGTTCCTGTCCTTGCCAATGTGACATGTAGATTTCTCCTGTGTGAGATTAATAAAGTCTTATCTTATCTTACACCAGGATTTAGCAAATCTAGCAAAGACAGAGAGGAGCATGTTCTGGTCAGAAGAGAACCCCAGGACAGAAGCTAAAGAGTCACTGAGGTCCAGCAGGGGGCGCTCTCCTCAGATCCACCACAGACACAGAGGAACCTTCAGACCCAAGTCCAAACCCAGGAAACACAGGCTCAGAGAAGGAGGAGGTGACGGTGTGGAGGTGGAACAGTTCTCCATCAGAGCGGACCTGATAAAAGGACAGAGATCCAGCCTCAGAGTCCAGGAACACAGACACTCGACCTGAGAGACCGAAGAGGGAGAAGGAGGAGAAGAAGGAGAATGTTTGTCTGTTGTTGTGAAATACAGAGTAACGATCCCCACAGATCCTCAGACTCCAGGACTGATCATTGGTTCCAAACCCACTCTCTCTCGTCCCTCTGCGTCTGATTCCTCTGTGACTCACTGCGATCTCAATGACCTCCTCCCTCCTCCTCCTGGTCCAGTCCACCTCCCAGTAACAGCGCCCCCTCAGGCCAGTGCTGCTCAGGACCTGTGTCTGGTCTGTAAATCTGTCCTGATGCCCTGGACACTGCTGCTCCTCTGTCCCTCTGGTCACTGTGCGTTTATCCTCAGACACTTTGAGGATTCTGTGAGCCGAGTTTGGATCCAGAGAAAACTCACAGGAATCTGAGAAAAAAACACAAAACAAGAAGAAAAATCAGGTCCAGACGCTTTAACCAAAGAGTTTAGAAAACCTCTATTTCTAAAAAACTTCTATATATAAATACATTTTATATAAATAACTTCTATACTTCGATATCACTTCTGTATATACTGTAGATAACTTCTATACTCTTTGGTACAGTATAACGTGAAAGAAGTGAATGAGAAACTCACACTTCCTCAGACCTGGAACCATCCACTGTTCTCCAGCAGGATCCAACCTGCAACACACAAGGCACTTTAGACCAGGACCAGGACCTCAAGATTCAAAAATGTATTTGCCATTTAAAGCTGTGCAAGACCACCCCAGTGTGCATTAGACAGAGAAGACAGCACACACCAGAGCTTATGCCAGGATGCTATGTTTCTGGAGCCATGCGACAAATAGTAGAAACAGCAGAGGGCAGCAACATATATATCACAAAGACAGTTGGATAGACACATTACGTCTAGGAAGATTCTTCATTGGAAATAATCTCCAAAAGCCCTGCCCAATGTGTGCAGCCAGAGGGGACTGGGTAGAAATATTAGGAGAGGAACCACAGACACAGAGTTGTCTGCTGCAAAACTACAAGAAAATATAAATAACAAGATAGTGTAAGCAGTCAGGGCAGGAGCGGTCAGAGACATGTCTGCACTCGACAAAGGCTGAAGAGAGAAGCCAGAGACCAAGACTTGAACCTGAGACCAGGACCTGGTCCAGAGCAGGGTCAGACCTGAGTTCCTGCAGGGGGCAGTGTGGGTCGTCCTGCAGAGCCTTCAGCAGCTCTGATGAACCTCCTGGATGGTTGTAGCTCAGGTCCAACTCTCTCAGATGGGAGGGGGCGGGGCTTAGAGCTGAGGCCAGAGCAGCCCCGCCCCTCTCTGAGATCAGACATCCAGACAGCCTAAAGACACACAGCGTTACACTCATGTGGACACAGAGGACACAGATGCATCATGGGAGTCTCACCTGAGAGTGTGCAGTCCACAGGGGGCGCTCTTCAGTCCAGAACACAGCAGCTCCACTCCTGAGTCCTGGAGGTCGTTGTTACTCAGATCCAGGTGTGTGAGACTGGAGGAGCTGAGGACTGAGGCCAGAGGACCACAGCTGTGAGGGGACAGTCCACTGTCCCTCAACCTGAGGACAGAGACACATTAGAGACTAGACCCTCCACAGAAGACCTTCAACACAGTCTGGACTCACAGGGCTTTGGTGGAGGCTCTGACCACCGGCAGCAGACCCAGGAGAGCTCTCTCTGAGGCCTGGTATTTCCTCAGGTCAAAGTCCTGCAGGTCTGAGTCTGAGGACAGTAAGACGAAGGACACAGTCGACCACTGAGCAGGAGAACTTAACCAGGAGAGTGTTCCTTCTCTCATGTACTTCTGTATCTCCTGCACCAGACTGAGGTCGTTCAGCTCCATCAGACAGTGCAGCAGGTTCATGCTTCTCTCGGTAGACAGACCCTCTTCATTCAGCTTCTCTTTGATGTAATATACTGTCTCCTGATTGGTCTCTGAGTCACTTCCTGTCTGAGTCAGACCTGACAGCAGCCTCTGATTGGTCGGCAGAGACAGCCCCAGGAGGAAGCGCAGGAACAGGTCCAGGTGTCCGTTTGGACTCTGTAAGGCCTGGTCCACAGCACAGCGGTGTAGAACACTCAAGTTATTCTTTTTAAACAGCTGTTTGAAGAAAGAGGTTTGTTCGACCTCCAGCAGGTTCTCAGAGGACTGTGGTGTCTTCAGCAGGTTCTCAGAGGACTGTGGTGTCTTCAGCAGGTTCTCAGAGGACTGTGGTGTCTTCAGCAGGTTCTCAGAGGACTGTGGTGTCTTCAGCAGGTTCTCAGAGGACTGTGGTGTCTTCAGCAGGTTCTCAGAGGACTGTGGTGTCTTCAGCAGGTTCTCAGAGGACTGTGGTTTCTTCAGCAGGTTCTCAGAGGACTGTGGTGTCTTCAGCAGGTTCTCAGACGACTGTGGTGTCTTCAGCAGGTTCTCAGAGGACTGTGGTGTCTTCAGCAGGTTCTCAGACGACTGTGGTGTCTTCAGCAGGTTCTCAGGGGACTGTGGTGTCTTCAGCAGGTTCTCAGAGGACTGTGGTGTCTTCAGCAGGTTCTCAGAGGACTGTGGTGTCTTCAGCAGGTTCTCAGAGGACTGTGGTGTCTTCAGCAGGTTCTCAGAGGACTGTGGTGTCTTCAGCAGGTTCTCAGAGGACTGTGGTGTCTTCAGCAGGTTGTGTCCAGAGCTGTAGAAGGTCTGATGGACGTAAAGAGCAGCCAGAAACTCCTGCACACTCAGATGGATGAAGCAGTAGACCTTGTCCTGGTACAGGCCTGGCTCCTCTCTAAAGACCTGTGTGAAGACTCCGGAGTACACTGAGGCGGCTGCAGCGTCCAGCCCACACTCGCTCAGGTCACAGCCGTAGAAGATCAGGTTTCCTCTCTGCAGCTGCTCAAAGGCCAGTTTTCCCAGAGACGTCACCATCTCCCTGGTCTGTGGAGTCCAGTGAAGCTCCGCCCCTGATCCCTGCTGATACTTGATGTTCTGGACTTTGGCCTGCACCACCAGGAAGTGTGTGTACATCTGTGTGAGGGTCCGGGGCAGCTCTGGTTCCTCTGTTTGTTCCAGAAGCTTCTGTTGAACTGTGGAGAGGATCCAGCAGAAGACTGGGATGTGGCACATGATGTGGAGGCTGCGGACGCTCTTGATGTGGGAGATGATCGCTGTGGCCTGTCGCTCGTCTCTGAACCTCTTCCTGAAGTACTGCTCCTTCTGCGGGTCGGTGAAGCCTCGGACCTCTGTTACCATGGAGACGCACTCTGCAGGGATCTGATTGGCCGCCGCTGGGCGTGTGGTGATCCAGAGGCGAGCGGAGGGAAGCAGGCTTCCCCTGATGAGGTTCACCAGCAGCAGGTCCAGAGAGACGGACTCTGTGGGGTCTGAGAGGACACGAGAGCTGCTGAAGGCCAGAGGAAGTCTGCACTCGTCCAGACCGTCAAAGATGAGGAGCACCTGGAGGTCTTCAAAGCTACAGAGACCTTTGGATGGACTGAAGAAGTGCTGTATGAGTCCCACCAGGCTGAAGCTTCTGTCCTTCACAACATTGAGCTCTCTGAAGGAGAAGGGGAACAGCAGCTGGAGGTCCTGATGAGCTCTGCCTTCAGCCCAGTCCAGACTAAACTTCTGAGTCAGCACAGTCTTCCCCACGCCGGCCACGCCCTTCGTCAGCAGCGCTCTGATTGGCTGTGGTGAGTGTGGGCGGGGCTTAAACATGTCTTCACAGGTGATGGGGGTCTCTGGAGCGGCTGGTCTCCTGGACGCGCTCTCCATCAGTCTGACCTCATGTTCCTGGTTGACCTCTGAGGCCCCGCCCTCTGTGATGTAGAGTTCTGTGTAGATCTGGGTCAGGGGGGCGGAGTCTCCTGCTTTAGCCACGCCCTCAAACACACGGCTGAACCTCTGCTGCAGCTGCTTCTTCTGTTCATCTCTACAAACTCCAACAGAGCTTCCTGAATAAAGACAAACCAAAGCTGTGAACCTGTGACCACTAAATTGACCACCTCCATTAGCATTAGCCAAAGATGCTAACAAACAAGGCTAATAGCCCTTTCATTTGTGAGTCACAAAGAGCCAATGTACAAATTGTAAAACAGACTGAGCCTGAAGTGCGGCTGTTCAGAGCTTTAAAGGGACGTGAACATATGGATCTAAATGGGATGGAGCTGATGTGATGAGGCTGATTTCCTCATTAGCTACATTTGCTCCGTCTCTAATGAGCACACGGACTGTCGTGACTTCCACTGGTCCAAAAGAATGGTCTGATATGGGTGAAATCTGGGCCCATTACCGATGTGTGGTGAGTGTTCAGAGCCTGAGAGCCAGAAATGTGTGTGTCTCTAGTAAACACATGTTGTGTTGCTACAGACACAGAGAGTTCTTACTGCTCTGCAGGCGCTGGACCAGCTGCTCCTGCTTCATCCTCCTCAGGAAGTCCAGGGCGATGTTCAGAACCTCTCTGCTCTGCACCTCACTCTCAGAGCATTCTGGGTAATCTGAGGCCAGGAGCCTTTGGATCCTCTGCAGCTGCTCTTTGACAAAAGTCACCACGTCCTCCTGCAGACGCTGGAACAGAACAATAAGAGAAGAGTTCACAGAGAGACGCTGAGGAGCAGCCAGAGAAGGCCACACAAGCTGCGGTGGTGGACACTCACCCTCAAGATGGCGTCCAGCGGCTCCTTTGGACCTGGATCCCTGTGAAACACACTCAGCATTTATTTAGTGTGCACAATAGAAGAACACAGACTCAAACAGGAGAGAAAAGGACTGTTTCTATAAAGAGCTTCTACACAGCACTAAACCTGGGACTCCCAGCTTCAGCACCAGTGACACCAGACATTTTGCCACAGATTAAGTTGGACGTTTGTGGTGACTCTGAAGTGTTGCCTTCTGGCTCTACAGGCCCTGGGCTTCTTCACCTCATCATCATCACTTTCTCCTGTTGCATTGTGGTCTTGGTGTCAACATGTGTTGATAAAAAGTGCCCTAACAAATGTGAGTGAGCTTCAACAGATCTGTCAGAAAGCTCTTTGGCCACGTTCACACGGAGCTGATCTCAGATCTGCAAATATATTCTGTCTCATTCAGTCTTCCACATGAAGCCAATCCAGGCTCTGAAAGCGGCTCCAGAGAGAAGGCTTTGAAACCAGCGTCTGCAACTGTTCCATCTGATCCACAACAAAGACATTTATCTTTACTGCAGGGTCCTCCACTGCTCCAGCCTCAGGCCCTGAAGGAAACACATCCTCCACAGAGAAGTCCACATCTGTGAACAAGGACTCAGAAGCTTCTCTTTCCCTCATAGGCCATGTGTTCATGAAAGAGGTCTAGAATTTAACTTTCGTTCCAGGATTGTGGGTGTGGAAGAAGAACCTCACAGAGACGGATCGTGGCGCATCAGAGCTCCTGGAAGTTTATTAGGCTTCCTTCAGTTGTTTCAGTTGTTTTAGTTTTCTCAGACAGAACAAAGTCAGGACATGGTTTGTATAGTCATTGTTACGTCTCACATCTAAAGACATACGTGTCGCATCCAGAGACAATCAGAGCATATTCTTAACCTGTCCCCCCGCCCTTTATAAAGTCACTTTACTGCTCATCATACGTCACTTTACTTCACTGTACTGCTGTCACCTTACATTGTGTGCACCATGTGCTCTTGTATATTGTAAATAGTAACTGTAACTCTATTTTAAATTTAAATGTATTCCTTAGAAGTGTTTTTTATTCTTTATTTTTATTATCTCTCTCTGATTGTTGCACTGAGCCAAAGCAATTTCCAAGTATGTGACTTCCTGTTACTTACGTGGCAATAAAAATAATTCTGATTCTGATATTATGGTCATAACATGGATACACAATCAGAGTCCTTGTAGAGTCTTGCGTTTGTCCACCTGCGTAGGCCATAGCTATCTATCGACGATATCAGTAATACTTTCTTTTTTCTTTATGTTATTGCTAAATAGTTACAGTTAGCCGTGAAAAAGTTCCACAAACAGAATCTCTGTTGTTAATGTAATTTTTCTTGTCAAAGTTGTGATTTTGATTGAAATTTGGACATTTTAGCCTGATGTACCATGTTTGGGGGTTTCTAATTGCAGAACGACCTATTTAATCAAAAACAAAATAACTTGGCCATAGAGATCACAACAAAAATTATTTATTTCTGAAATATCACTATTATTGAAGAAATATTTGAATATCCAAAATCATTATGAAAAACGATGACATTCCAATTTGGGCACTAAACTGGAAAAACAGCCATAAACTGATTTTATGTCTAATGATTGTTGACTTTCCTTCAAATATGTAGGAAGTAATAATTCCAAAAATAAATACTATGAATTTAAATTAATAATAAGTACTGAAAAATGTAATGCATTTCTAGATCTGAATGTTGCAAAGTAACATAGTTGACTTTACACAACAAAGGAAAATGTGTCACATCAGTGATGGACCTGGGGTCATAGGGTGTTTCAGGTCTTTAAATACCGTATGCAGGGTTTGAATCATTTAGAAATAAAGTTTTAATACCATTTTATTAGAAGAGAACTACTAAAGGTTTCACAGTCTTTTTTTTGTCTGATCCCCTCAAATATAGAAAATACCATAGCAACGTCCTTAGAAACGGGAAAACTCATACCGGTGCTTCTCCCTCAGTGACGTCACGACGGGCACCGGTCTGGTCCAGAAGTACATCTCCTCCAAACTATCGCGGTTGTTTACATTTTGTTTGTCTATTTTTTGCACTAAATCGGTGAATATTCGAGATGACGAGAAGATGTGTTGCACCGCACTGCTCACAGACGCACAATAGGCTTCTGACCAAAGGAGAAGAGGAGGCTTTGGACGGTAGAGGAAGAAGAGGAAAGAGGAAGAAGAGGAAGAAAGCTAAGCTACTTGTGTTTGAGACGAGGATAGATCCATGGGATGGACTTGATCGCAGCCTCAGTGAGAACGGCCAACAAACGTGATCCGTAGTTTGTTGAAACTAGCGGCGCTAGGACTGAGACCGCGGCTCTATCAGAGAGACTGTGAAATACGTGTGAGTCTATTATAACTTAATGTATTCAGCCTTGTAGATTGATCATTATAAGAAAACGAGTCATTTAAAGTTATCACATTTCTATCATACAGATGTTTGAGTTTGAATATAGCGTTTGATTGTACCTTTGTGTTTAAAGTGATGCGCACGGACAGAACCATAGACGCGTGAACAGAACCATGGACGCGCAGACAGAACCATAGACACGCGCACAGAACCATTGACACGCGGACAGAACCATAGACGCGCAGACAGAACCATAGACGCGCGGACAGAACCATGGACGCGCGGACAGAACCATTGACACGCGGACAGAACCATTGACACGCGGACAGAACCATTGACACGCGGACAGAACCATAGACGCGCAGACAGAACCATAGACGTGCGGACAGAACCATGGACGCGCGGACAGAACCATTGACACGCGGACAGAACCATTGACACGCGGACAGAACCATTGACACGCGGACAGAACCATTGACACGCGGACAGAACCATAGACGCGTGGACAGAACCATTGACACGTGGACAGAACCATGGACGCGCAGACAGAACCATAGACACGCGCACAGAACCATTGACACGCGGACAGAACCATAGACGCGCAGACAGAACCATAGACGCGCGGACAGAACCATTGACACGCGCACAGAACCATAGACGCGTGGACAGAACCATTGACACGTGGACAGAACCATGGACGCGCGGACAGAACCATAGACACGCGCACAGAACCATTGACACGCGGACAGAACCATAGACGCGCAGACAGAACCATAGACGCGCGGACAGAACCATGGACGCGCGGACAGAACCATAGACGTCCGAACAGAACCATTGACACGCGGACAGAACCATTGACACGCGGACAGAACCATTGACACGCGGACAGAACCATGGACGCGCGGACAGAACCATAGAAGCGCGGACAGAACCATAGAAGCGCGGACAGAACCATGGACGCGTGGACAGAACCATTGACACGCGTTCAGGACCATACACAGCTTGTTGCAAGTGCCTCCTATGCCCAACCAAATCTCACAAAATTAAAGCTTGGGTACCTAAATTTCCCCTGCATTAAAATGCCTGTTGGGTGCCTCACAAAAGTAAAATGTTGTGAACTAATCAAACAGAACACACCACGACAGGCGGTTTTTTATTTTGCAAACTTAAGTGAGTCATTATAGGGCGACAGTCGCTCAGTTGGTAGAGCGTTGGCCTTGCTCACCTTCTCCACTGACTCCCACTGTTGTCTTCTGTCGTTGTGTCCTTGGGCAAGACTATGTGTACTGAGTAAGGGGAAGATGATGGATGGATGGAAGTGAGTCATTATTTGACTTTTTGGGCAGAGTGGTGTTTTTATATATTTTTCCACACTGTTAGTTGTTATTGCCAAACTCTTGTTTACTCATTGTATTGAGAAATATTTGGGCAAGTAACTTTTGACATTGGGCAATAAAATATAAATGGTACTTCCCCGAGACAAAGCTTAATGTCAAGGCCTGATGCATAATGATGTTGGTTGTGCCCAAACGTAAAATGTTGTGAACAAATCAAACAGAACATTGTTTTGATTTTTGTTTTGTTTTGCTTGTTTAAGACAGAGCCCTGTGAGTCATTATTTGACTTTGATTGAGTGGATTTTCTGAGCTGGTCTAAACTTTAGCATTAAAAAGAACCACGAGACAAATGGAGTGAGAACCAAACACCATCTCCTGGTACTCATCTGAGAACCTCACTGAAAAAGTTATGTGCACCCCTGAATACGATCATCCTTTTTGCAAACTTTACGTCATAATAAAGAGGCATTACTCACCCTCTGCCGATCACTGAAGTGAGTGATTGTTATTTATATAGCGCCTCAGACCAGAGTCACAAAGAGATTTACAATTGTTGTTTCTGGGCATTTGTCTCTCCCTCCAAACAGAGAGCGAGGTCACCTACAGCTCTCTCCCATCACAAGCCAGACCTATTGTACATGTTTTTAGTGGTAGGGGAAACTGGAGCACCTGGGGGAAACTGGAGCACCTGGGGGAAACTGGAGCACCCGGGGGACACCGGAGCACCCGGAAGAAACCCTGGTTGCCTCTTGCAACCGGGGGCTGCCATCTTTGTTGACAAACACACCGACTCACTGACTTCATGTCCAAGAAATCCGGCGCTCTGATTGGTTGAAACTGGGTCAATGGCGATTTACAAACTTTACATGATAAAAAGTTCAAATCTCAGTTGGCCCTAACAAAAATATGGAAACTGCAGATTGGGTTCATATTGTTATAAGCTTTCAGAAAACGTTGAAAAGCACAATTACTCATGACGCTAGAACGGAAGTAAAAAATATTCAATCTAGCACGCATGAAGACCCGCTCCCCGTGTCTTCATGCTGTTTGTTTAGAGAAGGAAAGTAACTAAGTATTTGTACTTGTAAGTGTATTCTTAGTAGTCTACTTTACAACTGATTTTTCAAACCCTCTTGAGAGTGACCAGAGAAACCAGAGAGAAACCAGAGAGAGACCAGTGAGAAACCACCAGAGACACCAAAGAGACAACAGAGACCAGAGAGACACCAGAGAGACACCAGAGACCAAATAGACACCAAAGAGTCAACAGAGACCAGAGAGACACCAGAGAGACACCAGAGAGACACCAGAGAGACACCAGAGACCAGATAGACACCAGAGAGACACCAGAGACCAGAGAGACACCAGAGAGACACCAGAGACCAGAGAGACACCAAAGAGACACAAGAGACCAGAGAGACACCAGAGAGACACCAGAGAGACACCAGAGACCAGATAGACACCAGAGACCAGATAGACACCAGAGAGACACCAGAGACCAGAGAGAGAGACCATTTTTTCATTTCTGGACAGTGTTCCTCCCGCTCCCTATGGACCAATGGCTCCTATGTGTTTTTAAATTCCTCAGTGACGACTGCTGTTCTGATTTAGAGCGATACACAAGATAAGATACAATGGACTTTATCAATCTTAAAATAGAGACATTTATAAAATACATCCCCTTTAATAATCCATTTCTGTGTCGGGGCGGCAGTCAGAGCTGCCACAATGACACACACAAACTACATTGGACTGAACTGGATCTGAGGACCAGTCCCAGTCTGATCCTGGACTTTAGACCCGAGGACCAGTCCCAGTCTGACTCTAGACCTGAGGACCAGTCCCAGTCTGACTCTAGACCTGAGGACCAGTCCCAGTGTGTCTTTCCCTCGGTGTGAAGACCCGCTCCTGGTGTCTTCAGTAGATTCTACATTCATGCTGTTTATTTACAAAGTGCCACAGAACCACAGTCTTTGATGAAGGACGAGACACAGAACTGTCAAAAAGACGACGCTTTCGCCGCCGACGGTTGCGCACATGTTTTACAAATGATCAATTTACTCGCAAACCGTAAATCTTAGCAACTTACTTTTTTATCTCTGTGAAGTACACATTCCAGCCTTTCTGGAACTAGCTTTGGTTTGCCTGTGTGACGCACGGAAAATAAACTGCGTGTGTATGAAAGTCAGTCCCCCAATCGGATCTTCGAGCGGTGCCCCGTGAGCCAGACACAGCCAATTGTAAAGTTGTTACTCAAACAGGGACTCAGACAAAGATCGCCAGAGAGTAGGATCTCTCACTCCTCTGTGAGATGAGTGTAAGCAGCGCTCAGAGGAACCAGAGGAGTGCGCATTATTGAGAATAGACAATAATAAATACAGTAAAATGATATTATGTGTATATAAAGTATTTACATATCTATATATTATAGGTTTTATTTATTTTTCTATCTTAGTTTCTATTGTTTTACATATTTTACAGCTGTGATACTGAAGAAACCCCAGCCTTATAGACAAACTGCTTGAGGAAGGGCATCAGGAGTACAGTGTTTTTGGCTTTTATAGTGGAGTTTTGTAAAAATTATAATAGTCACAGGTTCATTTTTTCCCCCGTTATCCCCAAGACCCTAAATAACATTTCTATGCAGTGTAAAAAGTTGTATATAGCATTTCAGTCTGTTTTTTCAATACATTTTTGTGAAATTGATTTTCCATTTCATTTTTTTTTCTTTGTCTTCATGATTCCATAATTTTTTTAGACCTTGGAGGGTTAACAACATGTGTTCAAGTCCCACCTTTGATCTTCAGGACCATCTTCTCTGAACTCAGGAGGTAAGCCTTTGGACCGGTCACTTTTCAGAGACACAGAGCTGGGAGCAGGTCTAGGTCTGGGTTTAGACCAGGGGCCAGATCCTCGTGGCTCCATGTTGTAGAGTCTGGAATCAGAACAACTTTATTTATTTATATAGCACATTCTCACAGACCAAGGTCACACAAAGACCTTTATAAGAGTCCATGTGAGACTTTAGTGGCTCAGGTCTGGACTTGGATCTGATTGGACGTCAGCCTTGTTCTGATTGGACGTCAGCCTTGTTCTGATTGGACGTCAGCCTTGTTCTGATTGGACGTCAGCCTTGTTCTGATTGGACGTCAGCCTTGTGTCCTGCAACTCATTTCTTTGTGCTGTGTGTGTGATGTCCTCAGTGTAGAACAGATAAAAGGTTCTTTTCTAGGAACCAGTCCCAGGTCTGAGCCCTGAGTCCCAGGTCTCAGCACATTTATCAGTTTTTTACAACTCAGGGAAAATATGAGTCATGTCTTTAGCAGAGAGAGACCAGAGAGAGAGACTAAAGAGAGACCAGAGAGAGGGACTAAAGAGGGACCAGAGAGAGAGACCAGAAAGAGGGACCAGAGAGACAGACTAAAGAGGGACCAGAGAGAGAGACTAAAGAGAGACCAGAGAGAGAGACCAGAAAGAGGGACCAGAGAGACAGACTAAAGAGGGACCAGAAAGAGAGACAGACTAAAGAGGGACCAGAGAGACAGACTAAAGAGGAAACAGAGAGAGAGACCAGAAAGAGGGACCAGAGAGACAGACTAAAGAGAGACCAGAGAGAGGGACCAGAAAGAGGGACCAGAGAGAGAGACTAAAGAGAGACACTAAAGAGAGAGACTAAAGAGAGAGACTAGAGAGAGACCAGAAAGAGAGACTAAAGAGAGAGACAATAGAAAGACCAGAGAGACAGACCAGAGAGAGAGACCAGAGAGAGAGACCAAAAAGTTCCAGTCTGACTCTGGACCTGAGGACCAGTCCCAGTGTGTCTTTCCCTCGGTGTGAAGACCCGCTCCTGGTGTCTTCAGTAGATTCTACATTCATGCTGTTTATTTACAAAGTGCCACAGAACCACAGTCTTTGATGAAGGACGAGACACAGAACTGTCAAAAAGACGACGCTTTCGCCGCCGACGGTTGCGCACATGTTTTACAAATGATCAATTTACTCGCAAACCGTAAATGGTAGCAACTTACTTTTTTATCTCTGTGAAGTACACATTCCAGCCTTTCTGGAACTAGCTTTGGTTTGCTTGTGTGACGCACGGAAAATAAACTGCGTGTTTATGAAAGTCAGTCCCCCAATCGGATCTTCGAGCGGTGCCCCGTGAGCCAGACACAGCCAATTGTAAAGTTGTTACTCAAACAGGGACTCAGACAAAGATCGCCAGAGAGTAGGATCTCTCACTCCTCTGTGAGATGAGTGAGAGCAGCGCTCAGAGGAACCAGAGGAGTGCGCATTATTGAGAATAGACAATAATAAATACAGTAAAATGATATTATGTGTATATAAAGTATTTACATATATATATATTATAGGTTTTATTTATTTTTCTATCTTAGTTTCTATTGTTTTACATATTTTACAGCTGTGATACTGAAGAAACCCCAGCCTTATAGACAAACTGCTTGAGGAAGGGCATCAGGACTACAGTGTTTTTGGCTTTTATAGTGGAGTTTTGTAAAAATTATAATAGTCACAGGTTCATTTTTTTCCCCGTTATTCCCAAGACCCTAAATAACATTTCTATGCAGTGTAAAAAGTTGTATATAGCATTTCAGTCTGTTTTTTCAATACATTTTTGTGAAATTGATTTTCTATTTCATTTTTTTTTCTTTGTCTTCATGATTCCATAATTTTTTTAGACCTTGGAGGGTTAACAACATGTGTTCAAGTCCCACCTCTGATCTTCAGGACCATCTTCTCTGAACTCAGGAGGTAAGCCTTTGGACCGGTCACTTTTCAGAGACACAGAGCTGGGAGCAGGTCCAGGTCTGGGTTTAGACCAGGGGCCAGATCCTCGTGGCTCCATGTTGTAGAGTCTGGAATCAGAACAACTTTATTTATTTATATAGCACATTCTCACAGACCAAGGTCACACAAAGACCTTTATAAGAGTCCATGTGAGACTTTAGTGGCTCAGGTCTGGACTTGGATCTGATTGGACGTCAGCCTTGTTCTGATTGGACGTCAGCCTTGTTCTGATTGGACGTCAGCCTTGTTCTGATTGGACGTCAGCCTTGTGTCCTGCAACTCATTTCTTTGTGCTGTGTGTGTGATGTCCTCAGTGTAGAACAGATAAAAGGTTCTTTTCTAGGAACCAGTCCCAGGTCTGAGCCCTGAGTCCCAGGTCTCAGCACATTTATCAGTTTTTTACAACTCAGGGAAAATATGAGTCATGTCTTTAGCAGAGAGAGACCAGAGAGAGAGACTAAAGAGAGACCAGAGAGAGGGACTAAAGAGGGACCAGAGAGAGAGACCAGAAAGAGGGACCAGAGAGACAGACTAAAGAGAGACCAGAGAGAGGGACTAAAGAGGGACCAGAGAGAGAGACCAGAAAGAGGGACCAGAGAGAGAGACTAAAGAGAGACACTAAAGAGAGAGACTAAAGACAGAGACTAAAGAGAGAGACTAGAGAGAGACCAGAAAGAGAGACTAAAGAGAGAGACAATAGAAAGACCAGAGAGAGAGACCAGAGAGAGAGACCAAAAAGTTCCAGTCTGACTCTGGACCTGAGGACCAGTCCCAGTGTGTCTTTCCCTCGGTGTGAAGACCCGCTCCTGGTGTCTTCAGTAGATTCTACATTCATGCTGTTTATTTACAAAGTGCCACAGAACCACAGTCTTTGATGAAGGACGAGACACAGAACTGTCAAAAAGACGACGCTTTCGCCGCCGACGGTTGCGCACATGTTTTACAAGTGATCAATTTACTCGCAAACCGTAAATCTTAGCAACTTACTTTTTTATCTCTGTGAAGTACACATTCCAGCCTTTCTGGAACTAGCTTTGGTTTGCCTGTGTGACGCACGGAAAATAAACTGCGTGTTTATGAAAGTCAGTCCCCCAATCGGATCTTCGAGCGGTGCCCCGTGAGCCAGACACAGCCAATTGTAAAGTTGTTACTCAAACAGGGACTCAGACAAAGATCGCCAGAGAGTAGGATCTCTCACTCCTCTGTGAGATGAGTGAGAGCAGCGCCCAGAGGAACCAGAGGAGTGCGCATTATTGAGAATAGACAATAATAAATACAGTAAAATGATATTATGTGTATTTAAAGTATTTACATATATATATATTATAGGTTTTATTTATTTTTCTATCTTAGTTTCTATTGTTTTACATATTTTACAGCTGTGATACTGAAGAAACCCCAGCCTTATAGACAAACTGCTTGAGGAAGGGCATCAGGAGTACAGTGTTTTTGGCTTTTATAGTGGAATTATGTAAAAATTATAATAGTCACAGGTTCATTTTTTCCCCCGTTATCCCCAAGACCCTAAATAACATTTCTATGCAGTGTAAAAAGTTGTATATAGCATTTCAGTCTGTTTTTTCAATACATTTTTGTGAAATTGATTTTCCATTTCATTTTTTTTTCTTTGTCTTCATGATTCCATAATTTTTATATGATTGATATGACAGCTCTAAAATATGAATATTCTGAAACCCCAGGTTGTACTGAAAAAAACAAAGTATACTGCTTGACTCTGCATCAAAAGATGACTGTTTTATGAACAATTATACACAAAGAAAACCAGGCGAGGAAAGTTCCCCAAAATGACCCTAGACCTTGGAAGGTTAACAACATGTGTTCAAGTCCCACCTCTGATCTTCAGGACCATCTTCTCTGAACTCAGGAGGTAAGCCTTTGGACCGGTCACTTTTCAGAGACACAGAGCTGGGAGCAGGTCTAGGTCTGGGTTTAGACCCGGGGCCAGATCCTCGTGGCTCCATGTTGTAGAGTCTGGAATCAGAACAACTTTATTTATTTATATAGCACATTCTCACAGACCAAGGTCACACAAAGACCTTTATAAGAGTCCATGTGAGACTTTAGTGCCTCAGGTCTGGACTTGGATCTGATTGGACGTCAGCCTTGTTCTGATTGGACGTCAGCCTTGTTCTGATTGGACGTCAGCCTTGTTCTGATTGGACGTCAGCCTTGTGTCCTGCAACTCATTTCTTTGTGCTGTGTGTGTGATGTCCTCAGTGTAGAACAGATAAAAGGTTCTTTTCTAGGAACCAGTCCCAGGTCTGAGCCCTGAGTCCCAGGTCTCAGCACATTTATCAGTTTTTTACAACTCAGGGAAAATATGAGTCATGTCTTTAGCAGAGAGAGACCAGAGAGAGAGACTAAAGAGAGACCAGAGAGAGGGACTAAAGAGGGACCAGAGAGAGAGACCAGAAAGAGGGACCAGAGAGACAGACTAAAGAGGGACCAGAGAGAGAGACTAAAGAGAGACCAGAGAGAGGGACTAAAGAGGGACCAGAGAGAGAGACCAGAAAGAGGGACCAGAGAGACAGACTAAAGAGGGACCAGAGAGACAGACTAAAGAGAGACCAGAGAGAGAGACTAAAGAGAGACCAGAGAGAGAGACCAGAAAGAGGGACCAGAGAGAGAGACCAGAGAGACAGACTAAAGAGGGACCAGAGAGAGAGACCAGAAAGAGGGACCAGAGAGAGAGACCAGAAAGAGAGACAGACTAAAGAGAGACCAGAGAGAGGGACCAGAAAGAGGGACCAGAGAGAGAGACTAAAGAGAGAGACTAAAGAGAGAGACTAAAGACAGAGACTAAAGAGAGAGACTAGAGAGAGAGACTAGAGAGAGACCAGAAAGAGAGACTAAAGAGAGAGACAATAGAAAGACCAGAGAGACAGACCAGAGAGAGAAACCAGAGAGAGAGACCAAAAAGTTCCAGTCTGACTCTGGACCTGAGGACCAGTCCCAGTGTGTCTTTCCCTCGGTGTGAAGACCCGCTCCTGGTGTCTTCAGTAGATTCTACATTCATGCTGTTTATTTACAAAGTGCCACAGAACCACAGTCTTTGATGAAGGACGAGACACAGAACTGTCAAAAAGACGACGCTTTCGCCGCCGACGGTTGCGCACATGTTTTACAAGTGATCAATTTACTCGCAAACCGTAAATCTTAGCAACTTACTTTTTTATCTCTGTGAAGTACACATTCCAGCCTTTCTGGAACTAGCTTTGGTTTGCCTGTGTGACGCACGGAAAATAAACTGCGTGTTTATGAAAGTCAGTCCCCCAATCGGATCTTCGAGCGGTGCCCCGTGAGCCAGACACAGCCAATTGTAAAGTTGTTACTCAAACAGGGACTCAGACAAAGATCGCCAGAGAGTAGGATCTCTCACTCCTCTGTGAGATGAGTGAGAGCAGCGCTCAGAGGAACCAGAGGAGTGCGCATTATTGAGAATAGACAATAATAAATACAGTAAAATGATATTATGTGTATATAAAGTATTTACATATATATATATATTATAGGTTTTATTTATTTTTCTATCTTAGTTTCTATTGTTTTACATATTTTACAGCTGTGATACTGAAGAAACCCCAGCCTTATAGACAAACTGCTTGAGGAAGGGCATCAGGACTACAGTGTTTTTGGCTTTTATAGTGGAGTTTTGTAAAAATTATAATAGTCACAGGTTCATTTTTTTCCCCGTTATCCCCAAGACCCTAAATAACATTTCTATGCAGTGTAAAAAGTTGTATATAGCATTTCAGTCTGTTTTTTCAATACATTTTTGTGAAATTGATTTTCCATTTCATTTTTTTTTCTTTGTCTTCATGATTCCATAATTTTTATATGATTGATATGACAGCTCTAAAATATGAATATTCTGAAACCCCAGGTTGTACTGAAAAAAACAAAGTATACTGCTTGACTCTGCATCAAAAGATGACTGTTTTATGAACAATTATACACAAAGAAAACCAGGCGAGGAAAGTTCCCCAAAATGACCCTAGACCTTGGAAGGTTAACAACATGTGTTCAAGTCCCACCTCTGATCTTCAGGACCATCTTCTCTGAACTCAGGAGGTAAGCCTTTGGACCGGTCACTTTTCAGAGACACAGAGCTGGGAGCAGGTCCAGGTCTGGGTTTAGACCAGGGGCCAGATCCTCGTGGCTCCATGTTGTAGAGTCTGGAATGTATACGTATGTCGAGCTGGACTCGACGCTGCCGAGCAGAACGTAACTCTTTACCACCCGCTCCAAGGACCTAGAGCTACCCTTTTTAACTACATTACAAGGGACTAACGCAACTGGCTTAACGGATAAGAGAGCCGCTTCCACCCCTGGCTCTCCTGGACTCCCAGCTAAGCCATCTCGCTCTGGAGGCTGGTCCGCGGCCCCAGTCAGAACACGTGTGAGGAGAAAGGACTGGTTACTTTGCCCCGAGGAACGAAAAGGTCCCGTGAGCTATCGCAGCGGCTGCAATCGGGCTTTCCGGGGAACAATACCACCTTTGTTCGCTACTACAGGCGCACGGATCCCACGGACGAGAGACCTCCCAGCCACCAGAGGCCTCTTCCCTCCTCCGGTCGAGAATAATAGCCACGCGTTCGCCCTATTCCCAGACCGCGTTAGTGAGGAACCAGAGACTACCATCACTACTCACAGTAAGATCGAAACACCGTGTTGGTTGTGTATGTTGTGTTATGATTTGAATGTGATTTGATCATTCTGGTTCATTACCCTATTCATTCTCTATGTGTAGTTAATAAACGGAAACTAATTTTCAGTTAATTGTCAGTGCTTCTTTTGTTACAATCAATGAGTTCCCTGGCAGGATAGTAACCCCCGACCTCCAGATTATGAGACTGGTCAAGGCATAAACCTAGTGGGAACTTTTGCAGAACTTTTCCCTCTGCTGGTGCCCTAAAAACGTTCATCTTAAGCCCGCTAGGCCGGAGTGCTGTGAGCCTTAGAACAACGCTTTGTGATGGTGAGAACCAGCACAAGACTTGTACTGAGACAATAGCACTCCCCAATTTTCTTCCCCAACATAAGAGTCCATGTGAAGACTTTAGAGGCTCAGGTTTGGACTTGGATCTGATTGGACGTCAGCCTTGTTCTGATTGGACGCCCTGAGTCCCAGGTCTGAGCCCTGAGTCCCAGGTCTCAGCACATTTATCAGTTTTTTACAACAACAGGGACCAGAGAGAGAGACCAGAAAGAGAGACCAGAGAGAGGGACCAGAAATAGGGACCAGAGAGAGAGACTAAAGAGAGAGACTAAATAGAGAGACCAGAGAGAGACCAGAGAGAAAGACTAAAGAGAGAGACAATAGAAAGACCAGAGAGAGACCAGAGAGAGACCAGAGAGAGAGAGACCAGAGAGAGACCAGAGAGAGACCAGAGAGAGACCAGAGAGAGACCAGAGAGAGAGACCAAAAAGTCCCAGTCTGACTCTAGACCAGAGGACCAGTCCCAGTCTGACTCTGGACCTGAGGACCAGTCCCAGTCTGACTCTGGACCTGAGGACCAGTCCCAGTGTGTCTTTCCCTCGGTGTGAAGACCCGCTCCTGGTGTCTTCAGTAGATTCTACATTCATGCTGTTTATTTACGAAGTGCCACAGAACCACAGTCTTTGATGAAGGACGAGACACAGAACTGTCTTAACAACATGGGTTCAAGTCTCACCTCTGATCTTCAGGACCATCTTCTCTGAACTCTGGACCTATGTCTCTGGACCAGTCACTTTTCAGAGACACAGAGCTGGGAGCAGGTCTAGGTCTGGGTTTAGACCCGGGGCCAGATCCTCGTGGCTCCATGTTGTAGAGTCTGGAATCAGAACAACTTTATTTATTTATATAGCACATTCTCACAGACCAAGGTCACACAAAGACCTTTATAAGGGTGCTTTCACACCTGTTGGTCCACTAAAGTGGTCCGCTTGGGCCCTAAAGTTGTTACAATGTTGCAGTTCTCAACTAGTTCGGTTCTCATTCACACCAGTGTTTTTGCAAATGAACCAACCACTGTGCATGTTACATATTCTGTCACCCATGTGGTGGCGCTGTTCACAAAATACTGTGTTTTGGATGATGTATGTGAAACCTGATTGGTGCAGGATGTGAAGAGGGAAGAATACCAGAAGAAAACAAACTTGTCAGATCTTTAACGATGAACTGTGCTGCTCTAGTGTCAGGCTATTTTTTTTTTATCATCGTTGCACACACACACAAAAAAACAATGTGTGTGTCAAAAAGTGAGCTACACAACAGAGCAGGGCCATATTGAGGCCGGTCTGCATTCTCACCAGCAGCAAACCAGACTGGAGTCCACATGGAACCGTACCGAGACCAGCTCCCTAAGGTGGTCTCGGCAAGGGCGTAGGTTTGCGTGGGGACCATGGGGACATGTCCCCACCAATATTTGGTGAGGACTAAAAAGTCCCCACCAAAATGACATGATGTCCCGGGACCCGGACGGTCCGGGACACATGTCTTCCGTTTGTGCACACGTCGCGCCTCCTCCTCGCCTCCAGAGCAACAGCAGCAGCAGCAGCACGTGACCCGTTCCGTTCTCTGCAGTGATTGGCTGTCTTCTTCAGCGCCAAACTGAAGCACTGAGCGACTGTTTCATTTTTAAAAGTTAGCCAGCGTGAAGCAAGTGTTTTTTTTCGTTCCCTGAGCGTTGTAGCACGTGAGTAATCAGAGGAAAGTACTGTAGATCTATTACCATTCAAAGTACTTACGTTATTTCTAATCTGTCAGCGCACTGTTTAATGTTCCGAGGAGCTCACACGGCACAGAGACAGAACAGAACTGGCTCCAATAAAGAAACAGGTTGGTTGAAAGGCTGAAAAAATACTTATTGTGCTCTTACTATCCAAAATGTATAAGTGGGTGTTTTGTGTGAATCAGGATAAACTAGGGATGAAAATATTCCACGGATCCACGATTTACAACCTTTATCTGCTGATAATGTAATTTCTGTGAAATGTGTGACAGCGGGCACTTGCTGTTATTTGCTCTAAGCACATTCAAGAGATGCACTCGAATGTGCACGTCCTGGTGCAGCTGCTGCCGCTTTGTAATGACAGCCGCGGCGCTCAGTGAAAGCACAGCTCTAACATGGTACCGAGCTCGGACCATATGCAGACAGAACCATGTTGCAAGTGCGGGTCTCCCTCGTATCTCCCCCGTTTCTCCCCTGTGTCTCTGACATGTCTCTCCCCTGACTCTTCCCAAAGCGCAACCAGCGCTCCCGAAATTAAAGCTCGGATACGTAAATTTTCCATTGCGTTAATGATGCATGCTGGTTGTGCGCAAAACACACCACAACAGGTAATTTAAGTTTTTATTTTGCATACTTGAGAGCCCTGTGAGTCATTACTTGCCTTTTTGGGTTGAGAGTGGAATAAAAAAAAAGAAAATATAGAAAAATCCACACTGTTACTTATTGCCAAACTCTTGTTAACTCATTGTATTGAGAAATACTATGTAACTTTTGACATTGGCCAAGTTATATAAATGATTCTGCAGTTCATGTATATGAATGTCTTTTTTAACAGTTGGAAAGTAAGTAAGAGAAAGCACAAGTAATAGCAAATTATGAATTGTGATGATTAATCTTCTGTTAACATACATAGGAAACTCAACCAACAAGAGAGAACAATATAGGGAATGTTGAGGTAGAAGCAACAGGCCCTTCAGTGCATCAGGTGAGGTTGGAATTTTGTAGGTATGCATGGGACTATGAATTGTTTTTAGAGATTGATTGTATATGTCAAACAATGTAGTGAGCTACTCACTGTAGATTCTAATTCAATATTTTCTCCTCTGTTTTTATTTATTATAGGAAATTGAAAGATCAGAGCATGATTTATTTCAAGTATCGAGAGCAGTTCCTGAACTGTTAGAGCCTCAGGTGAGGGCTATTATGTAGATTTGGATTAGGTTTAAGTCAGTATAGAATGAACGCAACACAAAACTCAGAAGCTCTGATCCAATTGATTTTGTTTTAACTATTAGAAAAAATCCTTAACTGCTTCTCATTCAGTCTACAGCTGAGTTTAGTATAGAAGGCAACACACTAATGGAGCTTCGCGAAAGTTCACCGTGGTAGACCCGGCTGCTGCTGCCCAGGCCACAGGCTGCTCTTCCTCGACTCATCAATACCAGCAACGCCCACATCCAGTCAACCAATAACCACCAGGACAGCAAGTTAAAAGCCGGAGACGCCCACTTCCCGGTCTTCTGAAGCCTGCAAGGTGCATGTCGCTAACGCACCTGTTCGCAAATGCATGCGTTGTTCTGGAGGGGTCGCTTCTGCTCACGTGTTGCTCGTGCGCGTGACCCGGCTGTCCTCAGTCTGGCTGCTCATGGTCTGCTCCTCCTCCGCGTCCCTGCACCTGCTATGGTTCGCGTGTCTCCACTGCTCTCCTCCTCTGCGGGCTCTTCTGCGGGCTGCTCCGCGGGGCCCCTCCGCGGTTCCGTGCTGCTCGTTCCTCGTGGTCTGCTGCCGCGCGCAGACGGTCTGGCGGTGCCGCGTTGTCCCGTTGCTTTCCCAAGTCTCCTGGCATGTGAGTACAGTGAGTGTGCCGACCGCGGACAGATTAATCCCGGAGTCTAGGCTGCAGGCGGCTGGTTTTTGCCCTACGCACTTGACTGCAGGCGTCAGTTTTCGCCCCGTGCTTGGTCTGCAGGCTCCGTTTTACACGTGTTTGAGCTAACTGAGGGACAATGCATCTTAAATGGCATCAATCTCCAATGTCTGAGGGATATAAGAGGAGCAATGTGCATTAATTCAGATTCATGTTCTGCCACTTGCAGTAAAACCACGTTGGAAAAAATGTGCAAAGACTACCCCATCGTGCTCCAGACGGCACACACAGAGCTCTTGCACGGCGCCATCTTTACAGCATCAATCTCATTACTCGCAAGTCACTATTGTTAAATGAATGTGTTTAAATTCGTCTATCTGCAGGAGGAAGGAGGGGCCATGCATTTAAATAGCTAGGTCACTAGTATTAAATTGGGTAACTAAACTGCAGTTGTTGCATTTCGAAGTGCAGCAGAAAGAAAAGGGGCCCAATGTGAATCTGCAATGGGTTTGAAGTGGAGCTGGAGCTAATGAACGCATGGATCAGTGATCGTTCATGCGTATCTGCCATAACCAAAGCAGCAAGATGGCTCCAGGGGACATCTGTTTCTCGCATGGGAATGTTCGGATTCGGGTTGATTTATTTCCTCAGGCTCTTAAACAACCGTGGGCATGGTTCTCTGACCGCCGCTGCTGCGGTCCCTGCTGCCGTTCCTACTGATGCCTGATCCCGCTGCTGCCTGTTCCTGCTGCTGCCTGTTCCCGCTGCTGCCTGTTCCTGCTGCCGCTCCTGCTGCTGCCTGTCCCTGCTGCCTGCTCCTGCTGCTCCTACTACTACATATGCCGCTGCTGCTGTTCCTGCCGCTGCCGCTCCGCGGGCTCCCAGGCTGCACCTGTCTCTACGGCTCGGCTCTTTCAGACACATACGTAACCTGGCTCACGGAGACAAGCGGCGCACGCTGGCGTGACACGTCTGTTATTCGTATGAATCGCATTGTGCTGCTGCTGCTGCTTCTGCTGCTTCATACTGCTACCGCTACTGCTGCTACTGCTGCCGCTAATGCTGCTATTGCTGCCGCTGCTGCTTCATACTGTTACCGCTGCTGCTGCTACTGCTGCCGCTACTGCTGCTACTGCTGCCGCTACTGCTGCATTGCTGCCGCTGCTGCTTCATACTGCTACCGCTGCCGTGCTGCTGCTGCTTCTTTACTTTGACACCTCTCTTCACTGCGCATCTCTTTTACTGAAACACTAAACAGCTTCAACTATATTCTACTGCGGGGGCTTTGATACAGGATTATTGCTGTTATTATCTACGGATGCTGCAGCTGCTGCTGCTGCTGCTTCATACTGCTACTGCTGCTGCTGCTGCTGCTTCATACTGCTGCTGCTACTGCTGCTGCTTCCTACTGCTACTGCTGCTCCTGCTAATGCTGCTTCTGCTGCTTCATACTGCTACCGTTACTGCTGCTGCTACTGCTGCCGCTGCTGCTGCTGCTTCATGTACTTTGACATCTCTCTTCACTTCGCATCTCTTTTACTGAAACACTAAACAGCTACAACAATATTCTACTGCTCTGGCTTTGATACAAGATTATTGCTGCTATTATCGACGGATGCTACTGCTGCTGCTGCTTCATACTGCTACTGCTACTGCTGCTGCTTCATACGGCTACTGCTGCTACTACTGCTGCTGCTGCTTCATTTACTTTGCCATCTCTCTTCACTTGCATCTCTTTTACTGAAACCCTGAACAGCTACAACAACATTCTACTGCTGTGGCTTTGATACAGAATTATTACTGTTATTTTCTAAGGACGCTGCTGCTGCTGCTGCTGCTACTGCGGCTGCCGCGGCTTGATACAGGACTATTGCTGTTATTATCTGAGGTTACTGCTGCTGCCGCTGCTGCTACTGCTACTGCAACCCACTCTCTCAGAAGCTTATCCTGCTTCTAATGGATGCAGCCCGGCTGAGTATGCCGCGCTGCGCCGGACTCGCACCTATGCTCCCAGGGTCGCTTCGGCGGTCGTGCTTCATCTCTCTACTGAATCTTCTGATTCTATCAGATGCAGCTGGCCGAGTAGCTGCGCTGAGCCGTCAATCGGACTCCTAATCAAAGGCATCCATACCTGTATTCTTCACTCTTCTGATCGCAGGCTCCCCATCACGCTGCCCATCCTGCAGCGGCGCTGAACTCCGGCTCATCTCCCAAGTACATGTCCGCCCTCCTCGCAGCATCTTCCTGCTCTCCTTCTATGGCTTCTCTGCGTAAGCGTTTCACCATTGCTCACTCAACCTTCATGCGGTCCGAGACACGGCTTTCCCGACCATCCTACTATCCTGATTTCTACTCTCCAACCCAAGGTTTCAAGCGTAAGGGCGCCTGCAACATCAATGGCCCTCTCCGACATGTCTCTGCCCTACAGGTCTCCGCTTCTACACGGACGCTGCCCCTTCCGTGGGTTTTTGGGGGATTCTTCCAGGACCACTGGTTTGCCGAGCGTGGCCGCTACTTTCCACCGGAGCATCTCCTCTGCCTACACGTGATATTCCCAGTGGTCGTGGCCTGCGCGCGTGGAATCACACGTGGCAGAGAAAGAGGATCTCTGTCACATGTGATAATCTCGACGTAGTGGAAGCATTACACAAAGGTCGCTCTTTTTCACCCAACATAATGTTCCCTGACCACTTCAACCTTCATCTCAAACATTCAAAAATCAAAGGTGCCTGCAATATAATAATAGCTCGCTCCGACACATCTCTCTGCCCCTACAAGTCCATGATGCGTTACACTCGCCTCCGCTGCAAGAAGGAGATTCTAACGGACCTCGATTTCTCACTCCAGACCACCTTCCCATGACAGCAAACTGGTTCAGAGCTCAGCTGAGATCCCTACTGCTCCTCTGTAATTTGTCTCCCCAGCTCTATACAGCCCACTCCTTCAGGATAGGCGCTGCCACAGGATAGGCGCTGCCACGCGCGCGGCCTCGCTGGGGCTCCCCCACTCTCGCTGCAACAGCTGGGGCGCTGGTCCTCTTCGGCCTTCTCCACCTACATCAGGCCAGATGCGACCGCTATCCTGGCAGCACAACGTCAACTGGCTTCCTCGTAAGCTCCCAGCAAAGCAAGTAAGCAATAAGATTCTGGTGGCGGCACGCACTTTCCTCTTACACTCAAAAGATTCCCCTGCTGCAGCGTCTGGCTGAACATGCGCGTGCGCGCATGTTCTCAGCTCGCTCAAAAATTACCCTGCTCAGCGTCTGGCTGAATATGAGTTGCTTCTCATATTCTCAGCTCGCTCAAAGATTCCCTTGCTGCAGCGTCTGGCTGAACACGCGCGTTCTCAGCTCGCTCAAAGATTCCCCTGCTCAGCGTCTGGCTGAACATGCGCGTGCGCGCATGTTCTCAGCTCGCTCAAAAATTACCCTGCTGCAGCGTCTGGCTGAACATGCGCGTGCGCGCATGTTCTCAGCTCGCTCAAAGATTCCGCTGCTTCAGCGCCTGGCTGAATATGTGCACGCTCTTATTCTCAGCTCGCTCGGCCCAAACAAACACGGGCCCCAGCCGACGCAGCCTGGCTGAGCGACCGCGCGAGAAGCCTCTCACTCATGCTCTCAGGCCCGCGCAGTACGTCCTGCTATCCCAATCCCAGGCCCGCTTTTTGGGGATATGTACGCGAGCAAGCGCAGTGCTCAACAGCATCCCTCCCGGGCCTAGGGCGCCAAACATGCTCAATCAATAAACATGCTTAAATCTAATAAGTCTAACGCATTTTCCTCATGGGTCTCTCCAAGGTGAAATGGAGCTTCGCGAAAGTTCACCGTGGTAGACCCGGCTGCTGCTGCCCAGGCCACAGGCTGCTCTTCCTCGACTCATCAATACCAGCAACGCCCACATCCAGTCAACCAATAACCACCAGGACAGCAAGTTAAAAGCCGGAGACGCCCACTTCCCGGTCTTCTGAAGTTTGCAAGCCGCCGCCGCCCCACCTCCTCCTTCTCGCATGAAGCGTGTTGCCTACTGCCTCTGCCGTCACCAGTGCCTAGGCCCCGGGGGGATATGTACGCGAGCAAGCGCAGTGCTCAACAGCATCCCTCCCGGGCCTAGGGCGCCAAACATGCTCAATCAATAAACATGCTTAAATCTAATAAGTCTAACGCATTTTCCTCATGGGTCTCTCCAAGGTGAATTGCAAATATAGTGTGTGATTACACAACAAATTCTGGGGGAGAAACTCTGGACCCCGTGTCAATGGGTGTAGACTCAGGTCGTAGTGAATGTCCCCACCAAGATTGGAACCAAACCTACACCATTGGGTCTCGGTACTGTTCTTTAGTCCGGACCAAATTTAACTGGTCCACTTTCACACCAGCTCAAACGAACCACACTTGCAGGTGTTCCAGACTCCAGTCCGTTTTAAGTGGACTAACACAGAGTGAGATGGATACGAGAGGCGATCGAAATCAGGAAGCGGGGAACACGGACCATCAACAGAGACGAGGGGGCTTTCACCTTGGCTCACACTTGGGACTCACTTCTCCAGAGACCACAGCGCGGCGGGGGACGCGGTCAGTCTGATGGATCTGTGAGATCTGTCAGACTGACTGCTTCCGGCAACAACAGCTGATAAGAGACGCGTCACACCATCACGTGTCACCTCTGATGAAGGCGGAAGTGTACCGCCGAAACATGTCAGGTAATTAAGCAGCACTAGCTTTGTTTTGCTTTAATTGTCTTATTAGAAGAACGTAAAAAGTCATAAACATAAGAAGACAAAATGAATTTTCTACATTTAATACGTGTTAAGAACGTGTATACATTCGACTATATTATCTTATAAAACTCGTGTGTGTCTGTCCGGCCTCCGGGAGTTTACTGAGGACAGCGGTGAATGTAGCTAGCTGTTAGTAGCTAACTGTAGCCGTGTTCAGAGCCATATTCCCGGCCCTAACTACGCGGGCCGCCGCCGCAAGGAAGCTCCGCTGTGATCGCTCCGTGTGTGATAACTTTCTGTGAAGCATGGAACTGCTGCAGGAGCAGGGACGAGGCGCTCAGAGCAGACTGCTTCGAAAGAACCGAAGGAAAAGCAGTTTGGGCTCATGGCAGAGCCTGATGTACAGGAGACTGTGGACTACAGTTCTGTGGAATATCTAACATATATCATTTGTTTTGCACTGTTCCTGTCTTTATTTGAATCTGCTCTCGTAGGTTATTGCATCTGTTCCATTCCTCCTTCACTTGTAAATACTAGTTCATGTTTGTCTCAGATACCACTTTTTGACGCTCGAACGCGCGTTGCCATTGAATGATCCGGTCTGAACGCAGCATTAGATTTGGGTCAAGCCAAACAGGAGAAAATGTGCTTGGTCAGGTACCTCTTACCCCTGCCTCAACAAAGCCTTTTTCACCAGTTCAGCTGAAAATGTTACAATCGAACGCTAAGACTTTCACTTTTATTATTGTACTTTTTCATCTCATTTGTCACTTTTGTCTTTCTGTTCATTTTTTTTGTTTTTTGTTTTTGTCACTTCAAGCCAGCAATATGGTGAATAAAGTCTAGACCTCCTTTAAACACATTTGAGAAAAAATCATGTGATATTGTTTTATATATATTGATTATTCTTTTTTTGCTTACAGCGTGTTGCAGTCCGACAACAAGAAATTGTCAATTCTGCCCCACCTGTGGAAAATGTCAAAGCGCGCTGGCCAGCACTTCATACAGAGAGACAGGTGTGTACATATTTTTTACAACTATACATTTAACTTGAAGTGTTTTATGTTTTTTTTGCAGGTCCTGGCAGAATTTAACACTAGGACCGCCGTGTTCTAAACATATCTTGCATCGCCCCCTGCGGTCAGTTGACCGCTATGTATTTTGCGCTGATAGAGCCTTTTGCCAAATTGATTTTTCACTAAACCAGA